TTCTGTCTCCTACATTCGTGTGTGCCTTCTGGGCCGGGGAAGAAGGCTGACTTGCGGGATCCCACCTGGCAACTGCAACGCCGTCATTTCCAGAACGTCAGCCCTGGGAACAAAGAGCCCATTCCGGTATCGTCCCTTTACCTCTAATTGGCGCGTGGCGGTTGACGGCGGCCGGCTGACGGCGTCATTCCACAAGGCGGCTTCCGGTCAGCGTGCCGTCGGTCGTCACTCGGTGCCACATTCAACGTCGTCGACCAATGCGGGTTCCACAAAGATCAACATCTCCTGTCAGACTGCATGGCCTGTCAGACTGCATGGCCGGACCGAACCACAGCGGAAAGAAACAGAAAAATATGGAACACTGCGGGAGGATCTCGTGAAGAGAGATTCGGCAGAGACCACGTACAACTCAAAAAGACAGGAAGGCCAACGGCGTCGAAAAGTCCGTTGTGCGAGACCGAGGCAGCTCGGCATCTCCCAGCGAGTCATCAACTGGGTGAAAGACGCCAGCTGCCGCTTTCGCGTTCTAGCTGCGAGTTGCGCGGAATCTGGGATAGTAAGCCGCTATGCATTCTGACCTTGGATGCGGAGAAGGATGGGAATCCTGGAGAACTTCAAGGGAAGGCATGTCGCAGCTTCTACGGATACTTTTCTTCAAAGGACTTTTCTGTCAGAGACCAAGTCTGACCAGGGTCTAATGTCAGTTATCTTTTTGCCAGAATGCGACCCGTTATGGAAACCAAACCTGGAGAGAGACGACCACTTTTTTTTCTTCACCCGGTCCGAAACATCAAGTGCTACGGTGAAAATACAGAGTACACCATCGATCAACGTCTGCGCAGCGTTGCGTTGGTTGGATTCAGCCAGGGTTTCAAGCAACAGTTGGCGTCGCTATTCTGCCTGGATGAGCGGATTGATCCTAGAGGGCGCCAGTCAAGCACATCCCAGCACATCCAATCCTCGCTCCCTCCGGGTTTTGGAATCGAACGTCTATGGTGTGGTGTCAGTCTCAACACTGAGCACACAGACGAGACTCTGCTGAATAACAACCTATGACCGAAGGGAAGATGCGCCGAGATACGAATGTACAACCCTGCCACCAGGTCGCCGAGAGGCGTCGAGTATCTCGTGGGACTTGCATAGGCGAGCGACAGATTCGTAAGTCGGTGTGACGGTCCAACTGCTAGCTGCGTGCTGTTGGGTCTCTCGAAATGGCGCTGATCGGCCCTGCGCGCCTGCAAGGTCCCGCGAAGCTCACATGGAAGCCCTAGAGAAGCCAGATGGCCTGTTTTGGCGGCCAATTCTATGCAAGTGCAAAGAGGCAAGTTCTCGTGCTGATCGCAGGCGCAGATGCATGCTTCGTACGGTCCAGAACTCATGAAAACCCTCGACACCGTCCGGACTGGTGGTGACTGGAGTCTGGACATGGGATGTGCCCATCACAAACCACAACCTGTGGGCCAAGGGCCACCATCTGCGAGGACGCGATCCAGGGTGATGCCAGCAGAACGGCTTCAGATCAAACCTCCCAGCTGTCAGATTGGCAAAGAGCTTGGACTCCCGACTGTTCGTCCTGTCACTCAATTCCCCCAAAGGACCTACGGCCCCCAACATCACGCCACCATCACCAGCTCGCATCTCAACCGTTCGAAGCGGCGTCCATCTGGATTACACAACCCTGACAAACCCTCCCTCTCCCCCATAGCGTCGATTTCCAAGATCATCCTATAGCACAGACTGGCGACAGTCTAGTACTGACTGAAATCGATCGAGAGTTTCGACAATAGTAGGACGGCGTCCCGAACAAGGACAATCCCGACATCCAAACATCTGCTCACGTTCCGCCTGCAATCCGGGTGCCTCATCACCGAACTACCTCTACTCCGACGACGGTCATAGCATTGCTGTGTAAGTATTACAGACAGTTTAAACTGCCGTTGAAAAGCAGCCTGGCAGCTAGATTGGCTTCCAGAAATGGACCGTTGTTTCAGTTATTTTGCCTAGTTGGGTACCGGGAGACGTCACCGACAAGCGATCCCTCTCCAGAAAGAGATGAACAGCGACGTGGTGCCGCGGCTCGATTTACATTCCCTGTCGCGACTCCGCGTTGCTTGAATCCGGTGTTCTGCCCGTATTCTTGAGAGACAACATATCTGTAATAACATCCTCCTCTATTATAGCGCGCCTTTTATGGTGCCTCAGCGTGCCGCTCTGTCGCGTTGGAGTTTCATCGCCTAGGCCGACAACAATTGGCCTCCTCTGGCGCTTCAAGATATACCGACTTGTTAAGACCGGACGGTGCAGACGAGACATGCACGGCGTGTAAGCGATGCGACACCGGGCGAAGACTTCACTCGCGGCCGTCCTCCTCCTCCGGTTCGGAAACACTCGAAACGATCCGGATATGGCATGCTCGCAGCAGTCACCCGTCGTGTGTCCGGGGCGGGTTCATGATTCCAAAACGCCAGAGGCCGTTACCGATGCCGGGCCACCGCCAAAGCTGGGCTCAACCCAGACGTGACTTGTAAATTCTCGACAATCGTCCTCGACTGGCGCGTAACGTGGCCCCATGTTGGCACGTCAAGGTTTTGCTCTCCGGCGCTCGGACGGTGGTGATCAGCAAACAAATAGATGAAGTGGGAAAAAAAGTCTTCTATGCCGCGCTCAGACTCGAATGTCGATCCTTACTCTGCAGTAGCGCTTCACCTTGGGCACCACCGCGTCAGTCGACAATCTGAGCGGGCCCCTGGGATGGAATAGCATGAGATGAAAGTCAGGCGCTGGTCGTCCTAGTCACTGCTATCCTCGTCCCTTTCGTTATCGGACAAGGCTCGTCGTATACTCCATGATACATCGTCTTGGTGGCTCGGCAATCCCAGGCGCTCCGCCATCACCGCCGACGCCTTTCCGTTGGCGTCTCCGACCAACGACGCGCCAGCAGCGGGGACTACTCCAGGGCCGTAAACCCATTCGCGCTACGGGCGGCGGGAGATGGGCGGGTGTGGCTTACAGTTTCTCATTGATATCTGATATCGCGAGATATCATCCCCACGGGACCCAGCCTGAACTGGATATCAAGACACACAAGATCCGACCCATCTCGCTGACAGCTCCGAGCTCTGGCCGTGCGTTGCGTTTCCGGCCCGCTTTGGCAAACGGCATACGTCTCGTGAGAGATATTTGACGGCCAAAGACGTTAAAAGGCACACATCAAAGTATGTGATGGGCACCGCGTCGTCGCCATCGTCCGGGGAGCTAGAGGCTGGCATGCCGCCGGCGTCGACGTTTCTCGCTGTAACTGCCGGCGTTAGTCACTGGGGTGAAGACTGACTATTGGAGAGACAGAAGCGGGTGGGAAGTCATGCCTTCACGCACCCCTGCGTCGAGATCGTCCTAGTTGGGCCAAAAAGCTGGTGATCGTCGCCCCCGTTCGGGAATATTTGATGTTTGATGCGGGCGAAGCCGGGCTGCCCTGCTAGTAGCAACCGCAATAGGTGAAGGCGATGTTGGATGGACCTCGTGTTTGCGTCCAGTGTCCACGATGCAGCTTGCGTTGAGTCCACTCGAGTGTGTTCTCGTAGACAGGGCTCTTCATCTCCCGCCTTACGCGCCTTGGCTGGTCCCCGATGGATGTGACTAAGTGCGCGACTTATCGTGAAGTTTGACGTGCCCAGGTCGCGCCGTTTCTAGCCTTTCCGCCTCGAGGCCGTTTTGTCTTGGCCCTCAAAGTTCTTGAGATGGAAAGGGGGGTTAGCTCAACCCATAGTGTCGCATCACACCCAGTCGGAAGTTTGTTGGACTGTCAGAAGCCTAGGGCTTGCTAGTGTGAGCCCGTTGATCCAACATGAAGGCTAAGGACCTGCTGTCCCGAAGTCAAAGTGAACCGTCGCCTCGGGCTGCTGCCAGTCGGCCGCGCCCGTCGTGGAGTCGCGTGTCTCCGCATACTCTTGCTTCGTCGCGCTGATGACGCGGTATCTTTCAGAGTTTGATAGGGCGAAACTCACAAACTCTGAAGAGACTTCGTCCGGCGCCGCGCGTTGAGATAGTGAACCGGACCGATGATGTGCTCGCGTGCTAATCATCAGTCTGTCCAAGGAATTCCCAGCTGCTGTCGTCTTCCAACTATTGATACGTAATTCGCACGCGGCAGTACGGTCTGTCGAGAAGCTGGTCCAGACCTCAACTGCTTGTTGAAGGAGCACTCACCCATGGTCCAGCAAGCCCTTGACATTCGCCAAGTCTGGAATAGCAACGTGCCATGCCCAATAGAAAAGAATAATGATGCCGAGGACTAAGGTTGGCGGAGCGCGACAGACATGGGAAACTTTCCCTCCGTCGCTTCCTACGGGGTTGAACTGGTTCACAGGTGACGACTAGTCATTCAGGTTGATGTGTCGACCTACGAGAAACAATGTTTCGGAGCTGAGCCCGACGAACTGGTGTGGAAGTGGAGAAATTCAAGAAGATCGGATCAGGCGCTTAACAGAGCTGACATAGTTTGAACTTGTGTTGGCTTCCTTCCACATGTTCATCCCGCAGTGGCAAAAGCCGTCGTCGGGAGGAGGAGGCTAAAGCAGCTAATCCGGCGTGCCACTTGGCGTCGACTTTGGCTTAGCTTAGAAAACCGTCCGAGGCTTGATGATATCTAAGATGGTGTCATCAAATGTCCGGACACCCAGAGGCTTGCTCGCCGAGGTTGTTGATGCCCTCATGCTCGTCGGTATGTCCAGATTACCTCGGAGCTCGACTCCTGAGTAACCACATCTACCAGGCGCTCGCAGGATCTCAGTTCGGGCCGGGAAGAACAGGAAGCTGGGGTAGAAGGACCGAAAGGGAATGAAGGAGGAAAACTGCATGCCCTGTTACAACTTTTCATTCTCATTTGCCCAATCTTTGCTCAAAATTACACTAGTCACTTACAGGCCCCGAGGAAGAAAAAGTACCCAAACCCCCTTTTCCCAAAGCAGAAGACAGAGATGCGATGTGATGATTGCTTGCTTTCATTTCCAGAACCAGCTGCTCTTTTCGTCCGTGTCATTCTCTTGTCGTTGTTGGTCCTTTTTGTTGCTGCCGCCGCCAGTCGAGAAGCTTGCCGACCATGTGTAGTCGGATCGTCTCTCGGTCTGTTTGCCAACCTCCTCCCCCTTTTCGTTGAAGGTCGTCACTGTCTTGGTGACGCTTATGTTTCCGTTTCCGTCGTTGCGCTCCTGTACGTTTTCTACTACTCTCCAGCCCGAGGGGAGGCCTTGTGGCGAAAGATCCCTCGTGGAAGAATGAGTTTTGCCGGTGTCCGTCTGTCGCGAACCGCTGAAGCGGGCTTTGCCCGTTACTGAAAAATAGGAATCTTCCTCCGTCTCTCTGTTTTCCTCTTCAGGACGATTTTGCATCGCCTGTCGAGGTTCGTTCCTCGTAACCCCCTCGTCCTTCTTTACGTCAGGCTCTCTGGCGTCCGGTGCCTTTGGAGAGGTGTGTCCTGGGGCGGGCAGAGCCCTTCGTTCGTGGAACGGGTCGTCTTGCTCCTGCAGCCAGCGCTGCCATCTCTCGCTGATGGCTCCTTCGAGCACGCCTGGCCTGGGTGCCCAGCCGTCCCAGAGACCCTGACGGGTGAGTTGGTGAAGCCACAGAATAGGTGGAAGTCCCTTGGGGAACTGCTCCCTCCATTCCCTCTTCACGCGGTGCCGTTCGTGAATATCTGGCAACCCCTGGCCGCTGCTAACCATGAGAAGGTCCTCGAAGGCGTCCTCGAAACCGAAGAGAGACGAATCAGCATCCGCAGGAAGATCCTGTGGTGTCGGCTGCGGCATGTCGCGGAGGGCGAGTGGCGAGTAAGGAGACTCTATGAGGAACGAGATCCACATAGCCTGGTAGAGGGATTCGGTGAACTCTTCGGCCCTGAAGAGAGCCTGCATGGGAGACATGGCGGAGAAGAGTTCAAAGACGGTTGGCTGGGGGAACTGGGAGGACGGCGTGCGCGGCTGGACGGTGCCATCCTCGGGGGTCCTGCGGTCATCGTCGAGGGATCGGGGAGGCTCGGGCCAGTGGCCTTTGAGATTGTGAGTGACGACGGTTGGTATGCCGAGAACACTCTGGAAAGCGGATGCGATGTGGCCATCGACCTTTTGCTTGAAGCGGATGAAGACGTTGTCAGAGGGATCGTTGTCGGGCATATTGCGAATTTGTGAATGTGTGTAAATGAGGCTCGTCGGATGTCTTGGGTGAGGTTCGAGATGGACAGTCGAATTGTCTCAGTCGATGGGAGATGAAGGCAAGTATGAGTTTGAGTGGAAGTAAACGTGTGTGTGTGCGAGCAATCACGGAAGGCTTCCGGACGCAGAGAGAGCACCTAAATCTTCATGGACAGCGGGACCGTTCAGGTGTCGTTGGAACATAGGTCTCATGAAAATGACGAAGTCGAGTTTTATCAGATCAGATCAGCTCACTTGGTGGCAAGCCGCGACGGCGGGGTGAGGGTGAGAATCCAATGAGGTGGCAGTTGAGTTCGGAGACTCTGAAGATCCGACAATTCCCCAACAGACGGGACTGGACGGGCTTGGGAAATGGAACCAACTGGGCGATTGCCGGGAGATTCCAGCGACCCAGTAAGAATACCCTGGAAATATCCAGTCAAATGCCCCCCTCTTCGACAGGCTCTCCGTCCCGGGAGGGAATTCCATGGCTACGGGGGATGACGGGACCGAGTCCAGCCACAGCCCAGTGGTCTGAACCCCGGCACGTGTGGTGACGACAGGTCCACATTCTAATTGGACCAGGCCTGATTATGTAAGTCAGGGTGACATCGAATGCCAGTGGTCCCGTTGGCCCGGTCGCTTCCGACGCCACAACCAGCGGGAGACCCGCCCTTTAACGAGCATTCCGCGTAAACTGGGTGTGGCTGCCACTTCCAGGTGAACAAATGAAGGCCCGGGACATTGAAGTCTGGGCGAGGTGGGGCCCGCTGCTGGGCAGAAGAAAGGAAGCCCGCCCGACCGTTCTCCCTATGTACGTACCTAGGTACAGCACACGTGCAGCCATTCCACATGAGACACGAGTTAGGTAGCAGCAGTATCTACAGTACTGATGCGAATAAAATGCACTTCAGAAGCTACGGGCAGCTCCAAAGTCAGCGACGGGCGCCACAACCCGACATGATGGCATATTGAAGCAATCACCCGGGGCTAAGCCACACTTTACAAGTTCAGGGACCGTTTCCATTTCCATTTCCATTTCCATTTGGATTTCACTGGGGGCGTGGACCCTCCAGCTGTGACCAGGGCACCTCGCGGGCAACCTACTATAGTAAGCCTGTGATTGAATGTGGGGACGTGCCTGCTGCCCAGACCCGCGTCAGAGGTGTCGGTCCTGGTTTGCCGACCGATGCGTCGAGTGTCGGACCCAGTTCTTGGGGATTGAGGAGTGTTGCCTGTATCCGTAGCGTATGCGTATGCGTCTTGTCTTGCGTGTGTGTGAGAGAAAGAAAGAACTTGACCAGGAAACAAGAGGATAAGCAGCACGCGGCATCAGCGTCAGTCAGGTCCTCGCTATTTTCTGCCCATCTCAAACTTGGTTAACATCGCCTCATCTTTTTTGGCTGCGCTAGCTAAGCTTCCAATCTTCAACTCGGCCTTTTTTCCTACCAATTTCCGTTTCTCATCCGCAGATCCCCATGGCTGGCTACAACAATCTGCTGTCCAACTCTTTCTGACTGCCTCTCCCGCTCCCGCTCCCGACTTCTCCGGTGCGTTTTGTCGCCGTCGCGTTGCGGGTTGCTGGTGCTCTGTCGCTGTCCAGATGATACGACATTCGTCCGAGTCCAATACCATCCAGCGCGCTTGGATGCCGGGCGAATCGATTTGAAGCGCCGTCGTCATTAGGCATCGCCAGCCTCGCCTAACTAGCACCAATCTTTGGTTCGAAAACAGAAAACGTTATACGCTTGTGATCCCGCCTGCCGCCTGCGGTCACCATTTTCCCATCTTCTTTCCGACTACTCCTTACCCGGCGGTCATGATAGCCTCCGTGGTGATCGCCGCTGACCCTGCGGCACGACCGGGCCACGGCGACGGCGACGACAACAAGGACCTACAGAACTGGTCTTCGCTGATCGGCATCATCACAGCCATTGTCGGCAACATCCTCATTGCCCTGGCCCTCAACGTCCAGCGCTACGCACACATTCGATTACACCGAGAACGCGTCCGAGTCCGACGGAGAGCGAAAGAGGCCCTCAAACATGCCCAGAACGGAAACCAGACCGGTCCCTATGGCTCTGTCGCTCGCGACAGTGCTGATCGAGCCGAAGAACACCATGACCACGGACACCACGATGCGGGCGAAACCGAACCCCTAACAAGATCCTTCCGCTCCGAAGAGTCCACCGGTTCCGACTATTCCGGCGACGACGAGAAGGCCCCCTCCACGTACCTCAAGTCTCCATACTGGTGGATGGGACAGATCCTGATTACCTTGGGCGAGCTGGGCAACTTTTTGGCTTATGGCTTCGCGCCCGCTTCGATTGTGTCGCCCCTTGGCGTCGTTGCCCTGATATCCAACTGCATTATTGCGCCCATGCTGTTCAAGGAAAAGTTCAGGCACCGCGACTTCTGGGGCGTCATTATTGCTGTTGCTGGCGTTGTCATTGTGGTTCTGAGCGCCAAACAGGAGGAAACCAAGCTTGATCCCGACGATGTTTGGGGTGCCATCACGACCTTGGAATTCGAGATCTACCTGGCAGTTACGATATCACTCATCATCGTCCTGATGTGGGCGAGCCCAAGATACGGCCACCGAACCATCTTGATAGATCTTGGTCTGGTTGGTCTATTTGGTATGTCATCCAGTTGATACGCGGTAGTCATCGCCCTGCTGACTGACTGACTTCTTTCCCAGGCGGCTACACGGCTCTTTCTACAAAAGGCGTATCCTCCATGCTTTCATCGACCCTCTTGGGAGCCTTCAAGACCCCCGTTACATACGCGCTGCTCTTCACTCTTCTGTTCACTGCAGTAATGCAGGTGCGATACGTCAACAAGGCTCTGCAGAGATTCAGCTCCACCCAGGTCATTCCTGTACAATTTGTTCTATTCACCCTCTGTGTCATTGTTGGCAGTGCCGTCCTGTACCGAGACTTCGAGAGAACATCGGCTGAACAAGCCGTCAAGTTTATCGGCGGCTGTCTATTCACCTTCTTCGGTGTCATCCTCATTACTAGTGGTCGACTAGAGGAGGAGATCGAAGATGGGATGTCTGATGTGGACGGAGTGGAGGAGACGATTGGCCTCGCCGAGCAGGATACCACGCAACCGCTTCCTCCTGCGTCAACCTCGATCCCGTCTCCCAAATCGCGGCGGTCCTCGAAGGCTTCCGTTGCGTACTCGGCAAACAATGGCTCAAAGCCGTTCAGCATGCAGCGCGATTCGGGAATTCCTTCGCTACGTGTCCCAACCGCCGCGTCAGCAGGAAACCTTGTCGGCGCGGAGTCCGAGCCCCTCCTGACCAACCCATGGAGCAACAGCGCAGACGAGGTGCTTCCTCCGCCGGGCACACGGACAATTTCGGATGAATCGATATCAACCTTTCCTCACTTGGGTTTCTCGCCGTCAGAGCCAGTTACGCCCATGTACGACGGGCAGTTGCAACCCAGCTTCCCCACGGACAGGCCAGTCACGCCTCGTCCGCCGTTGCTCGGCCAGCGGCCTCACAGTCACCAGTACCATCCGGGTCCGCTGTTTTCTCCATCACCGTTGTCATCTACGGTCAGCGCGGTGGTCAAGGACACTCTTCTTAGGAGCGCAGAAAGTCCTCTCCTGCGCAGAGCTTCCGTGAGAAGGTTGCGCTCAAGTATAAGAGCCAGTCTTTACATGCCCGAGGATGACGATGACACGAATGGCGACCTTGAAAGACAAGACCTGATGAGCAGATCGAATGGAAATGACGGTGGGCCTCCCGAGCGCACTCGGACAGCAGGCGAAGGTGCGTCCAGAGAGCACCAGCCTGGCAGGCCACGAAGTTTGAGCGACACACTGGGCGAATTCTTCAGAGTGAAAAGGAAAAGGAGAGACGTGAATACCGACGCGGAAGAGGATGAGGTATGAAGGAGAGCAGGGCCCAAGCTCTTTACGGGGGGGGTTGATTTGGCTCTATGTCCAAAGGTTTCGATCAAGGACTTGGGAGGCATCGTTGTTTACCTAGCATTGCATATGGGCGTTCCTGGTAGAGTCGAAAGGTTATGGGTACACTATCCACTGTCCATCGTTTCAGGCGCGCGGAATAAGGCTTCGGGAATGCGTTGGGTTTCTTCTTGTGTATAGACATTGCATTAATCTCCCCCTACAATTGTAGCACGAACGAGATGGATTTTGCCTCTTCCAAATGTCCTCCACAATTCGGGGATTGAAATATCGAAATGAATGGCGTTCTATCGGACCGCGTGACTACCACTTGTGGCGGCATTTGCTCCATATCCAATGATATGACGATGCAAACAGTCCTCGCACGATGCCTTCATGCTATCGTCTTACCAGGCGCAACACAACTGCGCTCTTCCTGTGGCCCAACCTTCTTCTCCGCCGCTTGAACCGAAGTCCCAGAAGATGTATTCCCATCGCTGGGTTCCTCATCCCTCTGCTCCGTCACTTCTCCAACTCCTGAGGCACCACACCCTTCTTCGTCCTCAGTCGCCGAGGTTTCTGCCTTGGCCGACCTCCGCAAATACCATTTGAACACGTACACCAGGATCTGTGCCATGAAAACCTGCTCTATAGTGTACAACAGCACCGGTATCTGGATCAGAGCGCGCGTGAGGTCGTCAGACTGCGTCCACATGGCCGTCGCCAGCGGGATGCCCAGCGACGTCGTCTTCGCCGCGCCACAGAAACACACCGCAATGGTCTGTTCCCGGGACAGCTGCCTCGCCGTCACGATCCGTCGTAGCAGGGAAGGCGACCGGCGCATGAACTCGGAGTCGGCCACGCGGGGGTTCACCGCATCGCACAGCCGTTTTGGCGGACGGGCCGAGTAGAAGCAGATCAGGGTGAAGAGCATGTAAAGCCCGACGTTCATGAAGACGTTGAAGATGATGGAGGCGTGCGGTGTTTGGTAGAGAGCCCCCGTCTTAAAGGCAGCAGAGAAAGTCGTCCTGTCGGCCTGCGTTAGCTAATACGCTAAAAGACTGGCCGATGCGCCCGCCCTCGTAGGCGCGATGGGATCCATTTCAACTCACCAAACAAGCAAAATCAGACAAAACGTCGAGACCTTTGCGAGATAAAACGTCCTCAGCGCCCAGTCGACCCTCTTTTCCCAGAACCACCGCAGGACCTGCCCGACGGCCAAGGGCAGCAAGACGCTCAGCCCGAGCTGCTTCAGCACGTTCCCGTACATGGCGCCGAGGGTGCTCGGGTTCGCGGGCTGCCAGTCCCTGAACTCCTCCGTCTTGGGGATGAAGCCGTAGATCAGGCCCGGGGAGATGAAGGAGCCGAGCACGTTGCCGATGACGACCTCGATGATGGCCGCCGCGTCGTCGCCGCCCGAGGCCCGCGTCATCACCACGTTGGACGCGATGGTCGTCGGCAGGCAGGAGGCGACGACCATGCCTACTATGATGGGGGTTGAGAGGACACCATTGCGGAGGCCGCCTGCGGCGATTATGATATGGATTATGACTTTGGCAGAGGCGTCCGTCAGTCAGTCCGTACGTTTACTGAGTGGTCCGTCCGGTCACGGTCTGGCGAAGGGTTGGGGTTCTTACTTAGGAGTATGACGGGTATAACGATGAAACTAATGCCCTGTACGATGATGTGCAGCCGCCAGTTGGTGACGTTCTGCCGCAACTTGGTATGCGAGAGCTGCAGACCGCTGACGAGGAAGATGATGGCGATGCCGCCGTATATGATGGAATACTCGGACCTGATCGGTCCCCCTCTGGCAGCAACGTCTGTTTTGGTCAGTCGTGATCTGACACCAACGTGCTTCTCTCGTCGAACACACAACCGCCTCTACTCACTCGGAAAGAAGTACGCGAACACGCAGCTGAGTGCGAACCCAATCACCAACCACTGCGCCAGCACGAGCTTGAAGATCTTGACCGCCTTGGCCCGGATACGCGCCACAGTCGGCCGAGGCCGAGAAGCCTTCTCGTTCTCAGCGGAGCCGCCCATGGTTGCTTTCCGGAGATGAGCACCGGAGAGACATCATACGCCCCGGGAGGTTTGTCAAAACAAAACGGCGAAGTGGAGTCCGATGCGAGACGGCCCCGTTTACTCCCGCTGCGAATGGAGATGTGGTGGCGACGGACTCTGACAGACGGGGGGAAACTTGTCCAAATAATTCCCGGATATATCAGGGGAAGAAGGAAAAAGTACGACACGACAAATTCTTGAATTCGGCACGTAAAAGACATCCGCGACGAGTTTTACAACCAACATCCAACCCCCCCCCCCCCCCTCCCGGACATGTCTTCGTCCGCAAGGTAGGGAATGGATGACGCCAACGCCCAGGGCTCGCGAGCCGGGTTATTACCGACCGCAGCGGCCAGAATCCCGATGTCGGGACCGTCCGAAATGATGCGTGTGAAAGGTCGACGGCCGGCTGATCTTACCAAACACCCGCGGCGGGGGAAAGGCAGGTAGGTGGTTGGTCGGTGAGCATCAGCGATATGGGACGGACTGATAGCCCGCGTGGTTTGTCGAGGCCACATGCCTCGGGGTCCGCCGCATCGGTGCCGTGCCGGCTTGGCCGAGGAGATTTGGGGCCGGCGGTCGTCGGCGCGACATGTGCCACACACACACACACACACACACACTCTTGGCCGGACAATTTCGACAACGCACATTATACTTAGATCCTTGATTTGGTTTATAATAACATTGGCATTCGCTATGAAAGATTTGTGATGTGATAGAAAAGCCATTGATTCGTTTCGGTTTATTTCTAAAGCGAGCTGTGCACCGTGTAACACGGCGGTCGTGGTCACGACGTCTGAGCGTGGTGAGCCCAGTCTGACATGCTTGACGCGAGTGAAGGCCGGGGCGTGACGTCTAACGTTCTAAGATATTCGTATTTTCTAAAAAGCTTCTTCTACATCTATTTTCTAGATTTATCATTATGTTTATGACTTATCATGGACCTGACTTTGTCCCGACCTGCCATTCTGCGTGGGCATTATCCAATATCTCTCAGTGAATTCGTGCCTCCCCCTTCCCACGCCACCACCTTCCCACCCGCCAGATTCTTTTTCCACTGCGACTGCATCATAATCCGTCATGGTATCCAAGTCCCGACGTCCTGTTTCCCACGCAACCCAGTTGTATCTGCGACCCGGGGTATCTACCAATACTAAGAATTCAAAAGATAGTAAGAAAAGAACAAAAAGGAAAATAAGAACACCTCTTAGGTATCATATGTGAACAAACTTGACGCTCAAGAGTCACGCGCACCTTGCTGCATCCTCCTCATGGCTTCGCGATGCAAGTCAAACATCTCACCCGTCTGCATACGACTAGTGAAAGCCTGGTTTGCCCGCTCCTTCTCGATCCTCTCCTTCTCCCGTCGCTTGGCCTCTGCGTCCTTCTGGCTCATCAAGAAGCTGCGCTGCAGGTCGATGTTCCTCTGCATGTCAGCTTCCCGAGAGGCAGCTTGAGCCGCGGCCAGGTTGGAGGAGCTTGCGGCACGGAACATCATGGTCATGTCACGTCCGTTGGCACCTGCTGGCGAGGCTGCCATTCCCGCTCGCAGATCCCTTTGGACCGAATCGCGGAAGCTGGCTAACCTCGCGTCACGAGCTTCCTGCGATGGTGCGTTTGAGAACCGCACTGGCTGGTGAGAGTCGAATTGGAGTTTCTCGGCGGACGTGATCGGCAGATAAGGGTTGCTTGACGACCTCTTCTCCGACATGGAGCTTCTGATGGTGCCCATGCTGCTTTGGCGACGGATGATTTCCTTGCGTTGGCTGAGAGGAAGATCGTCGAGAGAAGCTGCTGGCATCTGCGGCTGGTACGCGGAGTAACTGTGCACAGAGCCCACTTCGCTGGGTGGGCGTTGGGCGGCAGCGGCGAGATCAGGCGTCGAGCTGGCTCCGGTCAGAATGCCGTACGTCTTGTTGCGTAGGGTTACGCTTCTCTGGGCGAGCAGGCTCTGTGGACTACTGAAAGGCACAATGCCCGGCGGAGGGGGAGGAGGCACGAAGCCTCCAGGTGTGACGGGAGAAGCGGCGTAGGGCATGTACTCGGAAGCGCCCGCGACACTGGGAGACCTGGATGGCATTTGGATGCCTTCTTCTGCGATGGTCTGGACGGTTGGAATCTGGTTCTTGCTCGACTTCCTCCGGTGGTGCATGTTGGGTTTGGGTTGCTGGCGCATCATTGGAGGCGGCGAGGTGGCACTCTCAATGCCCGAGCCCCAAGAGTTGTTTCTTGAGTGAGTTCGCGCAGGTGGAACAAAAGTTGACATTGCCCTGGCAGGTCCTGCACCAGGCATTGGGCCTGGCGAAGGTGTTGGGACCGGGGCAGGAGTTGCAGTCAAAGCTGTCTGCTTCAGTTCTTCCACCATCACAGGCACTGGGATTTCCGTGCGCTGCGGCTTGTCTACCGGTTGCTCAACTATTGGCAGCGTCTCCGGTACTGGTGCTTCGGCGTGGCTTAGATGCTTCGCCCACTCATTCGTCCTGTAGTGCAGCGCAATGTTCGAAAGGGCAGATGGCAGGTGTTCTCTCGTCAAGCTCACGGGTGTCGAGTGGTTTGAGGCAGTCGATTTCGCCTTCTGTGAATGCGTTGCGGACTGGGCTGCGTCCTTGGCCTCGTGGTCCTCCGTGGTTGCTTCCTCACCAGGTTCCGCTGTAGTCTTTGCGGCATCCAAAACTTCTGTCGCAGGTTGCGCCGCATTGCTATCGGGTGAAGGTGCAGGAGGCTTCACATCTTCCGAGTCCATGGCTTCCTCGGGAGAAGATCCTGCCTCAGCGGCAGCGACTCTCTTGTCTGGCTGTTCGTCTTGAGACTGGGTGATGACCGCGACGCTTTGGAGACGGGCGTCTGGGCGGGTGCTCGTGCCACTGTCATTCTCGGAATCGATTGTCGCAGCAATGGAGTCGTCAGTCGGCTTCCGCAGGTGCTGGTGCTGGAGGACAGCCACCTCATCTTCGTTGGGAATGTTTCCGTGGCGTGATACCGAAGTACGCTGAGATACTCTTCGCATGAGGGTGGCTGATCCCTGAGACACACGCTTAGCGAAGGAGCTTCGCTTGCTGACAGCGTCAGCCTGGTCCTCATCGTCGTCGGCAATTGTCGCGACTGTGGAAGCTCTGGTCCTAGGTCTGCTATCGTCGAAAACCGGGAACTTGAACGGCAGCGGAACCACTTCCGGGACCGGGGGAACAGCACCGTTTTCATCGTGGATCTCTGTCGTGTGAACCAATGCTTGCTTCTCGTCAATCAGTTCGCGAGCGGCATCAGAACCTGCGGGAACTCCGTCTGGGGCGACTCGCACTGTTACCGTGCCGTCGTTTTCCTTTTCAGAGGTCATCAAAACCTGTGTCGTTGTCTTCGGGGGGACAGGAGGGGGCACGTCACTGCCCTGCATCTCGGCGACCAGACGAGGTCCGGATCCGCGGATGGAGGCGCTCTGGCTGTACCGAACTGCCTTCTCACTTTCACTGTCGCGGGCGAAGCCGGAGTCCTGATCACCGTGAACTCTCTCCCAAGCTCGTCGTTCGCGGGCATTCTCGGCTTCGATTTGCTTTCCGATGTTGACTTCTTCCTCGTCGCGTTCGCGTTGTTCCTCGGCCAATTCTTCCTGCCTCTTGGTGCGCCGATCCTTGATGACGGACCATAACCTCTTCTGGGAAATGATACCGGCGCAGAATATCACGATGATGGCGGCAAGCTCAACTCGGATGCCCTTGGTCAGAGGATACGTAGTGGTACCCACCGGGAAGAGGTTGTCGTTGAGGTGCCAGACGTAAGCCCAGAACTCCTTCAATCCGGCTCTGCTCAGACAGTCGATGCCAATGACGGTTGACGTCGCTCCGGTGAATGAGATGTTGATGATCAATGACCAGTCTCGGGTCCAGCGGGTAAAGTATGTGGCAAAGGACGCCAACGTGAAGACGACGATGAAGACAACCTTGGCTACGCCAGAAAGCAGTCCACCTTCGTGGAGACACAGCAGCCACATGCTGAAGCAAAAGCCGCCGAGCCCACATGCAAAGCACTCGGTGATTTCGTTGAACCACAAGGAGGCGACAATGCCTACCACGACGCCCGGGAGTATCGCGGCGACTACGAATCCTCCCTGACTGCCGTTGCTGACAGGCAAAGGAACGAGATACACAATCAGCACTGTGATGCCCAAGCCTGCTGCAAAGGCAACAGAAAGGGTGTTGTGCATGACCGGGTGTCTAATGCCGATGAGCGTGTAAACGATACCGACACACAAGAGAATGACACCAGCGACAGCCCATCCTGGGGTGATCTTCGGTTCGAGAGGCAGCTGGCCTTCTGGGATCGTGGCTAGGGAGATGTTAAATATTTTGGCCATGAGAGAATGCAGCGGTGCTGTGTTTGTGTGTACATACTGTTGAAGAGGGTCGAGTTGTCGAAAGTGATCCCATCAGTAGCGGTTGGCGATGCCGACGTGCTCGAAGGAGTGTGAGAAACAGAGATCGATCCCGGGACGGAGACTGCGGTTGAGCTGGCCGAGAGGATCAACGAAGAAGTTGGCCCCCCATCTCGAGTTGCTGTTCGTGTAGCAGAGGTAACGGCCGCCGCAGAGCTCTCTTGCCTTTTTAATACTGGAACGATGTGGCCAGCAGCGAGCTGGAGGCAAAGGAAGAGAAGAGCGCAAGCGAAGAAACGGTTGAATCTCGCCATGATGATCTTGTACCTGCCCGGCCGTATGTTGTCGAGGGGAATTAGATGTTTCCGACGTTCTCGCCCCGGTGGCGCCTCGCGGGAGAATGTAATTAGTGATTGACAATGAAGGGCGTCTCGAGCATGATCAAGGTCGACGGAAGGAGGGATGCCGGCAAAGAGGAAACAGCGGGACACTAAGCGCGAGCGGAAGAGAAGGCCGGGGAGGGGAGTTATTAGTCGAGTGAAGGACGTCGAGGCAGGTGAAGGTGAGGTGCTATTCTAACCCCAGAGACCAGTGGGGTTATGAGACAATCCAGCTCTCCAAGAGCTGAGGCTGGCAATAGGAGAGGGGGAGGAGAAGAAAAGAAGGCAGAGACAAGGGCAGGGAAGGGCCCAGCTGTCGTGTGGAGGGGTATCAACCCGGAGGTGATCAAACTATATAGGACATGGAGGAGGGCCTAATGCCGGAGGGGAAGATCCATGGTTTGAGGGATGTGGATTTCGAAGGTAGCACTGGACGAGGAACCAGCGGAGCGGAGCACACGGCGGTGCTTCGTCCATCACGAATGCGTAGGTAATGAGAGATGCGGGCAAAGAGGGCCCTCGATGGTCTCCAACGCGTTTGTACTCTGTACGGTGTACGGGGCAACTGGATTCATTACTCGAGAGTGCATGGGACTAGCAAACGGAGGGGCAATAATCGGAGTCATTGCATGAGCATCCGAAGTCCTAGTCCTCGGCCATGGACGTCGGGGTGCAAGGGACAGCAGGGTGAGAAGAAGTTGCGAGGTCGGACGGAGCTCAGAGCTCGGGGCTGCGTTGCATGCTCGGTGCGGTCGTCTGACGACGAGCAGACAACTAGCCGGGGTGCAGAAGAGCCATGGCGGGCAGGATTAGGAGGGCAAAAGGCACGCGGGTGCAGGAGATGAGAGCCGCGACCATGGAGGGTCTAAGAAAAGAAGAAAGCGGGTGGCCAGCCAAAAGGATGAGCAGTCTACTTGGCGGCGTAGAATACAGCCGAGTTACCTGCGGCTCTCGGCCAGACGAAAGGCGAAGGGAAGCAAGCATTGGATTCGACATTCGATACACGGCGTGTTGGCCATTAGAAGTAGTACCTTGGCGGTAATCCTGGTTGAGGATTTACATGTCGTGCCGAGGACGGCACTGACTTGTACAAACGGAGAGCAGGCAGGCATGCAGCTGCAATGCAATTGAATATTGGACGCGAAGCAGGTAGGTGTCGACGCGATTACGGGAAGCAAGATGATGTTAGGTGCGGATACGGATGGCAGAGATGTAACCTGCAAGCCGGCACCTCATGCGCAGCGGTAACTCGACGTCGGAAGTTGAGGCGCATCCATCCTAAATTACAGGGACAGGGGGCGATCCCGGCATATCCCACGGTTAGCGTTGAATCGGATGGGTATGCGTAAGTCAAGGTAGCACAAGACAATCAGGAACAAGGGGCAAGAAAAGAAGAGGAAGGCTGATGATGGAGGGGGGAAGAGAGAAAGAGGGGTCCGTGGGGTGTGAGCAACCCAAGCACCAAAGTATGTGGATGGAAGGGAAGGCTTGGGATGAGAGAGAAATTGAGATGGAAGATGGGATGAGATGAGATGGTCATTGAGGAGGGGCGTGCTCGCGGGATCAGAGGTGAGGTGAGGATAGCCCAGCTTGGTGAACAAGACCAACACCACCCGTAAGAAGACTCTTTCCATCGCGAATGACGTCTCTCAAGGTCTTTTCTTGCACCACTTAGTCTCTGCGATGTCCAGGTAAAAAGTAAAAGCAAGGCAGGTGACCCCTCGCCGCAGTCCGTTCTCAGATATTCCCGGATACCTCACCTTAGCTTACCTAAAGGTAGGTAGGTAGGTAGGTAACCTTCTAGGTTGCCGTAAGAAATGCCCCGACAACGCTCTGGTGCAGCTGCAGAGCAGAGCAGCGCAGTGACGAGCGTGCATTCTCGCATCAATGGCAACAGCACTCCACTGTCAATGGTAACGGCGTGGGCCACATCGTGGTGATGTGGAAATCACTTTGGCCATACTCCTACTGGGCTGCATAATATTTCGCCCTGATTCTTGAGACTGCCACCGCCACACCGTCTTGGTTACCGTAAATGGCAGAGGGAAACCTCCAATGTCCAATATCAGGCATGGCCTCGTATCCCGATGCGGACGCGTTGGGCCACCGGGGTACCTTATGTGCGCGGTGACTGGTGAATGCATTTTGCGAGCTTCCTTTTTCCTAGCGGCGCCGACTGCATCTTCAGTCCGCATCCATAAGCCAAGGTAATTCGGCCGACGTCTCTCGCTGCTTGTCTCACTTTTACTGCAGTGCTGATGGCGATGGACGCGACCGAATATTGCGAAGTAAATCAGGCCCTCCGCGGGATCGGTGGCGCCCGCAAGGAATCTATGAATTCCTGGCGAAGGACATGACCAGTTCGAGCCGCCTGCAGGCTGCAGCCACCCATCCTGACCTGTAAATATCAGCTTGATGTGGTGAGAAAAATAGAGGTACTCAAGGGGGCGCGGTTTGCTCCAAAGTCGCGATGCGTTAAAATGAAAAGTCGCACCAGCGCGCCGGGACCAAGACCACCTCATCCCGTCTGCTTCACTGGCGCCGTCGTTAGCGAGCAAACGCAAGGGCCAGGCCAGGGCAACCCAGGAAGGCAGTCCAAACCCCAGTTACCGTTCCCGACTGATCTAATCCTCTTTAGGACTAAAGGGCTTTTTAGCCAGGAACCAGGAAAGAAAAGAAAAGAAAAGATCCATCATCCATCCATCCATTTCGACCTCAGCACTTCAGGTACAACAAACGAACACCACGTTTCCAAGGCCGAGCACGACTTCAATGGCCAAAGCCGGTCGACGCGATGGGACCTTGTGAAGTTTCTGACAGCCTTCATCTCGTCGATACCACGTTGCTATCCACCACATATCCAGAATCCCGACAAGCTGCCAAGGTATCACTATCCCGTCTCCGTCAGAACCACATCATCGTGACAGACCAGGACGAGGCCGTTGTGTCAACGTCTCCGTTGGCTCGATCAACCTGGAAGATTTCGAGATTCCACTCAAAAGTCCTTACGGTAACAAGTCTCACCACGGCCCATCGCAATTCTACACGATCCAATCATTTAATCCTACCCCGTCTCGCTCTCGGGAAATTCCAGAACTCTGCCAATCTGGCCTAAGAAGTCAACGCAAAGTCTGATCACCAATCAACACCGACCCCGCAGACGCATCTTGGAACTCTCCATCATGCCAACCTCTCGAAACAAGCGCCACCTGGGCTTTTGCCCCAAACTTTCCCTCGCTGTAAGCAAATGACACTTCGCGGCAGTGGACGAGGCCCGGCGATAGCGATATCCCTACCTACGTCACGAGAGCTTTTGACGGCTGAGAGACAAGACAGCCTTACCCCCCGGCCAGAGACAGTTTGTCCCAGATTGTCTGATCAGCTCCGGGCCATTGGCACGACCATGTAGTCATAAGCACATTGGGCTCACCCGATTCCGACTCTTTCCTTCTTGCCCAGTTTATTCAATAGCTTCCTTTTCAACGGCATCTTGTTCTAACGCTTTGTTTCGGAGGCGTGCATTGGCAAACAATGGCTTTTAGGGTACATGGGATGATACAGAACAATCTTGCCCAGATCTCATCGGCGGCTGTATTCTGTCGGTCAAATGGCTACTTGGCTTGAAACATCGTTCAAGCGGCTATTTCCCCCCCAGGAGGCGTCTGACCGAGGACGCCTGCGAGATGGAAGGTCCACCCATTCCTCGGCGCACGCTCTCGTCTCGCAAGAAAGGAATGCCGTTCATCTTGTTCTCGCCTTCTTCCACCTCGTCTGGTTTCTGCCTGTCGCCGCCTTGTCGACAACCAACAGAGTAGAACCCTGAGAGGATTCCGATCGACACATGGTCGTTGCGTCGGAATGGTCATCTTCAACGGCCGACGTTGAACTCGATCCACCCGCTCTGCGCCTCATCGCATAAAGGGGTTTCTGCATCCTTGCCCGCTTTGATACGAGCAAAGCCTCAATGCATGAGCCTCCCCCATTCTGGTGATCCTGAGGAATATTATTCGAAAATCTTTTTTTCCCGCCTCAATCATGAACGGAATCACCGCCACTCAGCTCCAAAATCGAATAAGCTGACTAAATCCAGCCGGGAGGCATACCAAGAAAAGAAACAACCTAATTTCGGCGCCGCAACACCGGACCTTTCCACCGCTGTTGTCCGACGCAAACGACTGACTAGTTCGTCCTGCTGCCTGCCGAGCGCCGTGTCTGCGGACTCCCGTGAACCAGTGGCTGGTCTTTCAGCCGTCTCTCAATTCGTTGGAAGATCGTGTGGGGGCATGCTTCGAATCATGCCGCTCCCAAAATGTTCCGACGAGACTGACTGACTGACTGACTGACTGACTGAACCATTCTTCCTGAACGGTTCGTCCGACGTTGCGGAGACTGGGCATGGTCATGATGGGCTTCCCCTGCGACGATACTTTCCAGCTCAATGCCAATCCTGGACAAGCATTCACAGCCACGGAATAAGACATCCGACTCATCCAAGTCTACGGCATATTCTTCGACCAACCGAGTTTTCATCCCATGTCTGCCGAGATTCCCGCGCCGTGGTTCGTCGTCACCACGACATCGCGAACCCAGCCCCAGCCCCGGCCAACCCGCGCTGGGCAACCGCGGGTCGGTGCCACCAACCCTCCTCCCCCCCAATGAAGGATCTTCGCCAGGATCGCGAGTTGCCCTTGAGCAAGCCGGATCCAAAACGGCGGGCCCGTCCAACCCTCGGGGGTTGTGCGTACGAACGGGCCTCGCCTAGCTGGCGCTTTCTGATCGCCGTTTAGCACACCCGTTTCCCGCGGAAACCCCTTGTCACCATCATATAATGGAGAGACCACCTATCTTGCCGAGGCCGCGGGGCATCTTCACAATGGCGCTGAGATGCCCTGCGGCTGGCCTGGCGCGCACAATACCATTGTGTGTGCGCGCACACCGCTTTGACTTGCCTCTGCTCTGACTTTTATTTTCTTTCCCCTGGGCTTTGCACTCGAAAAACGTGTTCTCGCAACCTTAAAGGGGGCCCAGGCTGCTGGTTCTAGTCGAGTCGCGGAGGTTCTGTTGTGAATAGCAAAGCGAGCGGCACGTGGCAGCACTGATGTTCGACCGTCTTCGTGTCTACTCTACGTCCAACAGGTCGATATATCAAGTTTCAAAACCCACCAGACTTGTTACGGTGGCATGGATCGAACCTCGCGATCACAGACCATCCATGTTTCGAAGGCAAGTTGTCACAGCGACGAAGTCGATCTCGTTCTGCCGAGTTCACGGGTGAAAGTACGGATAACAGTTCCAGGACGGAGGTGATTTCACCAAGGTGAGATTATCGTGGCAATGTCACGTCGAAGCGCGGTCGTGCCATGTATCGTCGAGACTATGATTCGACACTAATAGAAGATAAGTCATGCTCATCAATCCAGCGCAAGCCATGCGCCGAGAATCCGTTCTAACGCCAGTATTCCGATTCACCGTATGCCGCCCGTCATCCCCTTGAACCACCCTTTTTGAATCCCCTGACCGTGGTCGCCCTTGTTGACCGTTTTGACTCCACGAAAGCACATATATCTGATGAGCTCTCACTCAGACCACTCGCCGCCTTCCGCATCATCTTTTCGAGACGCGACTCGGTGGCCGGTCCGCCGCTACTCTGCCGTGGCCCATGGCCTTGCCGTTGCGGCTCGATCTCGAGCTTCGTTCCGGCAACTGCTTCTTCTTACGCTTCAGGAGCCCGCGGACCGTCTTGAATGGCAGCACGAGCAACGCAACCACAGCATAGAAAGGCATGGTGATGATTGCCCACACAGACTCTACCAGCCACTGTAGAAACCCTGGGCGGGCGGCACTGTTTTTCGCCGCCGCCGCAGCCAGAGCAATGGCGTCGTTCAGGCGGGTGTCAACGGCCGCAAACCGAGACTCGGTCTGGAACGCAAGCACCGTAGCTTTCTTCTCGTACCGTCGCACGGCTCGGTTCAGGGCATCCAGATCGGGCTGGATGGCGTTGCGAACATCGCGGGCTATCGCAGCCTCTTGCTTTATTTTCGAGTTGTCCGAATTGCCGTTGTGTTTGATTGGCATTGGTTCAGGTCGTGACTCCAGCAACTCCAACCTGGCCATCAACACTCTCACCTGATCGGGTGTAACGGTCTCTTCTTTGAAAGGGTTCACGTGAACATCGCGCTGAAGCTGGAGCGTCCGACACTGAACCAGCTTCATCAGGTGGGAGAGCGGACGAAGCTCTGCTGCCAGTAGGAAAATTGTAAGATTGTAGTTGGATACCAAACCCTCGGAAGGGCGGCTCAGCTGCGCGCGGATTGCATGCAGCAAGTATGCGCCTAGCATGGGGAACATGAAGCATGACACCAGAGCCAGTATCTCATGCACCCAGAGCTCGGCCATAGCGTCATCTTTCTTCCCAGCGTGTACGGCCTTCGGTGGCTGTTCATGCACCGAAGACGTGGGAGTGGTAGGGATTTCGGAGGTGTCATCCATGCCGCCGTTGGCCGCGTGGCCGTTGAGGGTGGAGGCCGTTGACGAAGGACTTCCCACTGCTTGCTCATTTTCGCTGTCGTCGTCAATAACGGCGCTCGTGTTGGCTTCTGCCCGGACGCGTACGGCCTGTGCCGAGTGGTACCAATTCCTGGGCAAGATTGTCAGTGCTCGGATGGTCTTGTCCCCCGCAGCGAGCAACAGCAACGACACCAGGACTTACCAAGGATGCGTCACAGACCAGTGCAGAAACACTGCTGACAAGCCTAGAAGCATCACGTCCGTCACTACGGCACTCCCGTTCTTAAACAAGAGACCGCCGACTGCCGGGAGAAGGGCGAATGCCAGAGGCACCGAAGCCCAGTTTGACATGTCGTCCGCTGTCGACGATACGCCAGTAGGCCTGGGGTTCAGCAAATCTCTAGCCTCCCCGAAGCTGTAATCCGACAAAGTCGAGCTCCTCCTTCTATGGAGACCTGCTCTTTCGACAAATGAGTTCTCCGTCGGAAACTGGCCGAAAGGCATCCTACGCCGCATTTGCGAGGCTTCATCGACCGTCACGGAACGCTTGATCGAGTGACCCGAGGGGGCTGGTGATGGTGTCGCGCCCGGCGAGGACACGGTCTGCTTCCTACTGATGTTGCTCGTGGCCGTTACCGGCGACATCGGTGTTCGGGGGCCGTTCTCGTCGGACATGGCCAAGGGAATGTGAATGTCCAAAACGGGCTTTGCTTGCTTTCTATGGCCGCGGCTTCCGCTGTGTCTGCGTCGTGTCTTCGTTATTATTTCGTGAGTGTTGCGATTGCGTGGGTTTCCTTTGATTTGGGGACTTGGTCTGGTTCGAGTCGGAGACGTGCGAGTCCGGGCTAGGGACAGGCAGTCGAGGGGTTTTGAGGATTCCTCATCCGACACAGTATACGCGCCAGAAAGTTGGAGATTAGTAGGCGGGCGGGAACAATGTCGTTCAAGACTAGAGAAGGGGGGAGAAAAGGAAAGGGATGGAGAGAAAGAGAGAGGAAAAGGAGGAAGAGGGGGAAGCGGCGGCGACGGCGGCGTGCCACTTGTCGTGTGTGTGTACGTGCGACCGAACCGGCTCTGTCGTTCAAGGGTGAGTGAAGCGCCACGAGCTGAGGAGTGGTTTGTCGCGGCGGGAATGGACGTGGTTTTAGTTTGGACTGGTGGCGACTTGGATCGTCCCTGCCTTCCCTACCTGAGCTAGACACAGGTGTTAAGCTGCTGAAGGTACCCTGGCCAGCTTGGAAGTAAGGCAAGGTACCGCTCCGTGATTGGACAAGACGTCGAGCCGGAAGCTGCTTGAGTCGGTGTGTTCCAGATCGAGGCGCCGAGTACAAGTGGCGAGGTATCCGTACAGTTCCTGATCCCAAGCATGGAATGACAGCTACTACGTAGGAGGTGCTCGACGGTTGGGATGGATGTGAAGTTGAAGAAAGAACTGGGCGGAGGATGGGGGATTGGAGGAAGAGGTGGAAGGAAGAAGAGTTGAAAGCAAGGTAAGGTAATTGATCTCTATGGTTTACTCACACAGAAGTACCTTACTTGACATGCCTACCTACCTCAAGGCAGGTAGGTAGATATTTAGACTCGCGGCTGGCTCAGCTGGCCGAACTCCTGTGTCTCCCTCCCCCTTGGTACCTACTATTTCCTCCATCCATCCGGCCACTTTCTTCCTGCGTGCCGTGCATGGTAAGCGTTAGGTAGGATGCCGCTTACTGCAGGGATGGTAATGAGTGTGATGCACCTCCAACGTCACCCCCACCAAACCACTGGCTGCAAGCCCAGCTGCCCGGGCTGCTTTCTCCAGATTCTCGGCAGGCTGCTCCCGCCGCCCTGTCCACCTTTTACCCCTGTACGGATCCACTACCCACGCCGTCTGCCGGGGGTGAAGGGACCTGGAGCGTCCACGTCCAGTCCACCTCAGTGTCTCCCGTCCGCTGCAACCTCGCCCAGCGCCTCCCGTCATCAACCACAATCAACTCGGCATCGAACCTGGAACAAACCACAACCGCAGCCGTGAGCATCATGCATTGGATATTATACAATCTCCACCTCTCTCGTCCTAGTGTACGTAGCCACGGCATGCTCACGTTGCAATCGTCTTCGTTGCGTCTACGTCTACTAGGTACTGCCATCGTGCCGTGCCTCGGTCCTCGCGCCATACACGAAGTAGCGGCACTTGAAACAGCCATCTCATCCCTCTATTTGCCTTCTCGGCCGTCATCTAGAACCAAACCCGCCTGCACGACACTCGGGTTGGAGATAGGACGTCCAAGTTTGCGGCCTGCACATGACATCTCCCCAATAACCTTGTCCATCACCCGTCGCGGCTCGCGGCTCCGACCTTCTCGTACAGGAACTGTCGCCCAAGAGCTGCTTCGAGGAACGCCCACGGCGAATATGTCGAGTAGCATCGGAAGCAGGCCAGGCCAGCCACTTGTGCTCGGCACTGCAGTTCATACGTTGGTGCCTTATGCTAGGTAATCGTCCTTGATTGACGGGTAGCAGCATTTGGCTTCCTGTAGCCTTTCGCTGCATGCTTGGTTTCCGTAGACATCCGCCCCAACAAAACATGGACAGTTGCTTCGCGCATCCTGCCATCACTAGCTAACCCCCGCCCCCCTCATATTCTATATCCCATCCGAATCCAGTCCGGGACGAGCGAGGGAAGGTCTGCCGGTGGGATTTGTGCTTTCCGAGGCCTTTGCCATATAGAACGGCCCTGACACTCATCAGATGCGAACCGTGTTGCCGCCCAAGTGTCACGAGACAATCAGAAATTGCCGTGGAATCGATCGAAAGAATCCGTGTCATAGTCTCAACTGGATACAAGAGCCGGAAGAGGGCAGGCTCCAGAGCTGCGTACAACACCGCTGGCCACTTCGGATGAGCATGTGTTCTATCAAGGTGACCGAGGCCTTGTCCAACTATTTCTCCCAGCCCTGTCCGTTCCAGTTCTGTGTTATCACTTTTGATCATATTGGGATGAGAATGTTCAATTTTCCTGGCCCCACCCGACAAGTAAATGCGCAGTTTGCGAGGTTCCAATGCTCCTCGCTGCGCCAGGAACATGCTTTCCTCGATTGCACCTAACAACCACGGCGCAAAGTGTAATCGGACGACGATCGTCGTCGTTGATTACTTGCCAATCTAGGCAGGCCAAAGCAGAATCGCTTTTCCCTGTTGCGAGCCACGTTTTACCGCCTTGCTTGGGCTCTTTTCGGGTGCGTGTGCGTAGGAAATCAAGACGTCAAGACTTACATCTGTCATCGTGTTACTCTCCTGGGATGACGAGGCTAGCTGTAACATGTCTGAGAGTCGGGTGTTATACGTCTCCCCGCAATTCCTCCATGAGCTATGGCCGTGTCTCGCTGACATATTTTCCAGTTGTTGATCACACATCGAAGCAACTAAAATCCGTGGTTGAGTATGGGGCGTGACTTGGCGGAGGTGCGGAAAACCGAATTGTTTGCTATCAACCACGACCGCATCGTCTTCCAGTCATGATCGTAGAAAGCGACAGCCTAAGTCCTGGTCAGTGAACAACTGCGTGCAGCCGCCTGTCTCAGTCAACAGCACGATCGACGGAATGTCCTACCCTCCTTCGTGTCTCAAGGACATGAACAATAGAAACCCGAGACACCCAGCAATACCATCATTCCGCTTGTAAGGGATAAGTACCATTTTCCCACCAGTGCCGTCTTCCCTTTTTGTCCAGAAATCAGACTCAAGACTCAATCTGCAGCGGGAAGCCAACGCAACGAGACAGCAACTTCAGCCAAGGTAAGAGGTTTCTGGTAAGATATTCGCTCTGTCAGTCTTCCAGAACTCCGTGTTCCCAGTCGGAGTAAGTCAGATGCATAAGTGGTCGGACTGTGGAATCTAGAGTGGCGACGAAGTTGGTGAACATGAAGCCGGCATGCTGCATAATGATAATCGAACTTCGTCCGCGCGCTGCCTACTAGACTAGGGTCATTCATTGTCTGGTATCCTCAACGCGTACCGCGCCTCGGCCGAAGTTATGCATGACCAGGGGTTGCAGATTGCATGGCGGGAATCACCGCCCCACTAGCCGTATCTGTGGTGCAGTAGTTGCTAGAATTGGAACACGAATTTGCGGTTCGAACGAGAGATCGGTCGGATCTTAGGGCAGCTGTGTTGGGGAACCTGGTAGATCAGCGTCCCCTTCTGGTGCTTGTTTCTCGTCTTATTGATCTCTCCTTGGGCCGGTTGGAAAGCTCGGTACGGGTATAACGTGTGCGCAAAGGAGAGCACAGAGAGACCGTATCGAATTGACCAGTTTGTCAGCTTTTCGGGTTGTCGAAGTATCGCACATGGCAGCATCCCATTGTGTGTGAGATGAGACGCACAGACGGGTTGGCTGCGACGGCGTTTGCTTGATCACCGCGCAGAGGAAAGATGACGGGAATCGGAACACGAGAAAGGGCGCGCGGCGTGGGGTTTGTTTGTTGGCGCAGCTCAGCCGTTGTACCTCTTGGAGAATTTCGAGAGAGCCTCTGACGAAGCAGCGCTTCGATTTGCCGTTTGAGCGACCCATCCCACAAAAGGGAGGACTTTTCAAGACCTGCGTTGGATAGTGTGCTCGGATCGTATTGCGTCGTCGCCCTCATCCCGAAGGAACGTCCCTCATCTTTTCTCTTATCCCAACGGGCCGGAAAGCAGAGCCGTATCTCTCGCGACTTGCGCCGCAAGGTGTCGACGAGCGAGTTGTCAACGCGTGAAAAGGTGCCTGCCGACCCGGACAACCCCGTCGAATCCTGGCCTCCTAGGCTCCGGGGAACAAGGGGAGCCAGGATGATTCAATGGGTCCCGGACGGCGTAGCGCGTCACCTGAAGCCAAGCAGGAAAGGTTGCCCAGCCGCAATGATTGAGGGCGAGCGGCAGGCTGGGTGAAAATCTCTGCAAAATCCAAAATAGTCAATTTAAAGCACCATGTCTGGTGAGTCGGCAAGACAGGGAGCTGCCAGGCTGAGGAACTTCTGGGATGGCTGCAGGCTTTGAGGTTGGTTTGGGTCGGCCGTCGTCACATATTGTTGGGACGGCTCATTGGCGAGGAAGGATTCCGGTATCGTGTCTCGATTTTCCTTTCCTTTCCTTTTCTTTTTACTGTGAACCCTCCCGCCTCCACCGAGCGACGCGTGAGTGGAAGCTTCGACTCTGTATCTGTGACAAAAAGTGCCTGAAGGAACGTCCGACTGTCGAAATCTGTCGTCTCCTCGGCGGCGGGGCCTCTGGTTTTTAACCCGTTGGCTGTCTCTTTTTTGCATCCTCGATTCTTTTGCAATCGGCTTTTTTTTTCTTGTTGTTTTTGTGGCCGACAACCCCGACGGCGGCGCTCCGAAATCGACAACTGTGCTCTGCGGTATCTTGCGACTCATCGTTTCTTGGAGAGCAGCTGGTACAGTCGGATACGGATACAGACGCTAGTCGACCACGAACCTGTATCGACGACAAATTAGGAGGGCAAAGACGAGGAAGAAAAACAAAAAGAACAAGCTTCCGTCATCTGGACGTTGGCTTCTCGCACGAGGACAGCAGCAGCCACCACTGGAAATACCTTACTCGACCTGGAAGCCAGCAAGCAGTGAAGGACACACCAAGCAGCAACCGGGTGTGGTGTACCTAGGCAGGAGCATCTCATCTTGTCCGCCCGTCGTGCAGGATTCAAGCAACGACAAGACAAGCGCGCAGACACACACACCACCACACTTTGCGATTGAAGGTAGGTTCCTGCATCAACGGCAGCCCGAGGCGGTCTCGAAGCAAGCCCCCCCTCCTTCCACCCCACAAACGACCAGTAAGGCGGGAGCCTGTTTTGCGTCGGGGAACTTGGGAAGGCATCCCCAGCTTATCGGCCTCTTGAGGCTCCAGAGGCTCCGAAAGCTCCAGAACGGGAGGCTCCAGGACCTGCTGAGCTTTCCCAAAATGCCGGGAACGAGACTCAGGGCTCACTCACACGCTATACCAATCTCGGCCGCTCCCCTTTACCCCCTGAACGCACGATCCATTTCAGGTCAGTCCTCGGCCAGTCAGCTGCAGACTTGCACAATTCACCCCGGGCCTGTCGAGGCACCATTTTTTACCAATAATTGGCCGTCAATCACCAACGCGAACCCCAATTCGCATTTGCCCGTTGGAGTCGTCGCTATCCGTCCAGGGTCGTCCGAGAAGATCAGCAGCAGCAGCAGCAGCAACAGCAGCGATAGCAGCATTTTTCGCCCTGCTTTGCCGGCACGAGCCTTCATTGGCCGCATAACTCACCATTGCATTGAGAACACCAGCACCAGCACCACCACAACCACCACAACCACCTGCTCAGCGAAAGCTAAACTTGCTATCCGAGCCACTGCGGTTGCCATCATCGTCGCTGCAGTCGCTGCTACCAATCAAGTCGTCTCCAGCGCTCTGCATTTCTTTGTCCAAGGCTCCACTCGCCTAGCTGCAAACCTAATCGTCTTGCTGCTGCAGCACCTTCACCACTCGAATCTACGGATACGCCTACGCCGCATTCTCACCTCCAGTCACATCTCTCCGTCCTCCCCTCCATCTTGGCCGCCGTTTCGATCCCATCTTTCGCCGTCACTGCCGTTGTCGTCGCTGTCGCTGTCGCTGTTGCTACCGCTCAAAGAGGATCCCGCCATCTCCATCTCCACGCGCCTGGCCCAGGCGTCGTTGCAAACTCATCTTCCACGACCTGACCCGCACTCCACCGTGCCCCGTAAGGCCGTCGACTCCTCGGCGGCCTTCCTCGAACCATCTTTCCCACGGCTTCCCACGCGAGAAACACCTCTCCGTACCCCGACCCGGCCACCTTAGATGCATTCGCGAATCCTCGCCTTGCTACGCTATCGCAGCAACCTTCATACCCCGGCGCTTCGCCCGACCTTGAACGTCCAGTAGCCGCTGCCGGCCTGTCTCAGGGCCGCAGTCCCTCCTTCCTTCGCAATTACGATCCCAAGGATTATTTCACCCAGTCTCCCTTTCGGAATCGTGCAGCCTCGTCCGCCGCCCGCCGACTACCGCATCTATCAGCTGCTCGTCTCTGGAACCCCACGAACTCCACCCCAAGGCTCCCCGACAAGACTATCCGTAAACGACGTCCATCGACACCGCCTCCTCCCACCGTTCCTCTATCCCATCCGACAATCGATCCATACTCCGTCGACCCGTCTGACCCCTTAGGCATCGGCGCCGGCGACTACCCGCTCTTGACCCTTCCCGAACAACGTCAGACCAGACATTCCGCCTCTAATCGCACAAGCCTGCAAGTCGACCGAAACGCCGAGCATCGCATCAGTCTCCCGAGATCGCTTCGCCATTCTTACGACGGACGGAGATCCGCTGACCCTTCACCCACGTTCCCTGTGGACACCGACCAAGGCCCGGCCGACATTCGGCCAGACACACCCGAACCACCGGTCGAAATCCGAGTCACTGGGCTACGAAAGCGAGGCCAAAGCGTTTCAAACCCTCTCGTTCGAGACTTCGCATATATCGACGACAAAGGGAAAGGAAAAGCGGTCATGGAGTCAAGTGTCGATGCCCATGCGCGAGACGCGTCCAAGGACTTGGAGCGGGGGCCTGATGTGCTTCCACGCCTCTCCAACGTGTCAGCCGGCGATGGCATCGGTTCGGCTATTTCGTCGTCAAATTCGTCCATAATGGGAGAGGAATTACCACCAGATCTTGGCGAGGAATGGGGTCCTCAGCATCCATGCTTTCCTCACTTGAACCCGCACGTCCCTGTCGACTCCCCCGAGTTCCAAAACACTCGCATCATTCGCATACGTCGAGATTGGTTGTTGGAAGGAGACCTCGCGCCGACGTTCTCCAACCTGTACCCTGAAATTCTGGATCCAGCTGGTTTGTCGGAGCAAGAATTCCGCAGGATTATCGACAAGCTTAACGGTGAGCTCGTGCCCATCTTTAGCCCGTACAACTGGAGGAACGTGGTGGACGGCGTTTTGGGACTGGTGACAGGGTGGTTGTGGGACGATCTGGGCTTCACTGGCGTCAAGGCTCGGCTGAAGCGCCTGGAACGCTGGGTTGACCAGTGGAACAAGGAGATGGAGAAGACGATTGGCAACGACGACACATCGATGGCACCGCACATAATATCACTGAGGCGGACGGGCTACATGACCGTAAGTTCATCCTTCATCCTGTTTGAACTTTCACATGCTAATCAGAAGCTCAGCTGGACATTCAAATCCCTGATCCAGAGATTGCCCCGGCGCCCAGCACCCCGGCAGGGTCAGGTCAGATGCCCATGGAGCCTCCGGCCGCCGTCACGGCATAGCCTGATCTTGGCGTTTGGCTTCGCTTCGCTTCGCTTGTTTTTGCGCTCTTCTTTTCGAATCCGCTATTTTACCGTACGCTCTTTCTAATATCGGACCGGCTACGACCTCTATTGTGAGCGCCGCCGAAATGAGTTTATACGACCACAGTCTCGCTCTCGCGGGCTCTCGATATCCTTTATTCACGGGGAATACTCTTTTGCTACCCCACCTACCACACTTCTTCTACCTTATACCAAAGGCATGGCGCGGAGTTCAGGGTCCCTTGGCTGGGAACGGTTACGAATGTGATTCGACGACGTTTATTCAATTTTATTTTGGTTTCTCGGCTTCTTCCAAGTCTTTTTTTTTTCTTTTACCTTATTCGCTTTTATTGATTCGGCTGGCAACTGGAGGATTCGAAGCACGAGATTGGAGGAGACGATGACGGAGAACCCTATTATGAATGGGCCTGACGATGGAAGGGAATGAGCGAACTCGTTGAGTGGTTGCTCGCCCGAAACAGAGCCAGAGTAAGCCCTCGGGCTGCCTGTAATTTTACGTAGATACCTAGCAAATCCTTTGCCTTCTTTGGATATTTATCTCGTTTGAGTCCTATCTTGAGCTCACACGCGGTCAACACACACGCGGTGAACACGGTCGTCTATCTGTGAGAATATCATTTCAAGTGGATATGCGTATGCTTCGAAACTCTGGGACAACTACCAGCAGTAACGTTGTCACAGGCGGCCTTCATGTCTCCCAATCACCCAAAACAATGCTGATTGGTCTTCTGTTGCCCTTAGATGCGCATTCCCCAGCCCGGCCCGATTATCGTTCACCCGCGTCTATGTGCTGTTTCCGTGTGACTGTCACTGTTTCAAGCGGATAATAAATAAGGCTTGTAACCTCAAGAGTCAACCTCAATCGTTCTGCGTGACAGTGTGACAGATGTGTTTCGTGCTACAAATGAAATACCTACACGATGAGCTAGAGGAAGTTGCAACTCACGGGGATGCAGCCCGAGTTCATGGTCTTCCACCAGATGGTCTGAAAAACCTCCCAACGCCTTGACAGTCAAAAGGAAGCTCTGATTGCGTACTCTGAGGTATACCGCACAGGTTCCTTCCGAACACTTCAGATTAGCCAGTTGACTCACGGTTGTAGTCACAAGAGTGCGCAATTTGCGTCCGAATCATCTCGATAAGTTCCGGCTGAGGGGACAATCGGGGCAGCCAGGAGTCATGCGCTTCATTTTTGGCTTGTTCGTGGTCCATGTCCGACCCAGCCTGGATTTCCGCGCGGCGGGATCTAGCCATCGGGATGACCATGGGTTGTTTACCTGAAAACCCGTGTATTCCAAATCGAGTTCGCGATGAGCAAGGTGGTGCTCCAGGGGCAGACTGTTGGTGGCGGAGGCATCGCTTACAGATGTTAGACGAACCATGGCCACGGATCTTGGCGGTGACGGGGTTTTCGCAGCAACAGGGGACGCAATGCTTGGGTGCTGTGACTGTGATCGCCAAGTCATCGTTGGCAGGACACAAATACACCCCGTGTGTGGTTGTACTGGTGCCTCTAGAATAGGGAGGGGGTGGTGAAGAAAGTGAACCAGGTGTTCTTGGAGGCTGACCAGTATGGACGGCTCGCCCAAGAGCTTCCTCGTCCAGTTTCGCCGGTGTCGCTCTGCTTCCTTGTTAGCAAATGTTTATTCGTGGCGGATGCAACACTTACACCGACTGTGAACCATAAGAACCCATTGGCCTCAGATTGCCTCTAGATTCGTTTTCGTCTCGTAGTCTTGGAAACATCTTGTCCAGACGCAACGCTAGGAAACAATGGCGATATGTATCCTTGGCGTCTTGTGTCAGGCCAAAGAAGAGGAAGATAGCCACAGCCGTGAGTATCGGGAGGTAATTAGAATTCAGTTCGAAAAATGTGAGTTGGTCATGCGAGTAGAGTATTATCGAATCCCACGAAAACGGATTGTTTCCGTAGTGAATTTCCCCAAAGTCGAAACCTTGCCAGGGGTAATAAGCCTTCATCTGTAAGATTGCGTGAACGCAAGTGACCGGGATGTAAGGAATCAGGATACAGGCTGTCATGAAGAAAAGACGTCGTCTTGTTCGATTGGATCTTGCCTCCGCCGAAGTGTTTGACATAATCGCAGAGCGAGTACTTTGTTTGATTTGCGAGTATCGCCTCCACGTCAGACCTGCAGGATATTGTCAGTTTCAGCAACAAGTGCAAGTTGGAAAACAGACAGCGGCAGCTTACTTGAGTAAAAGCCTCCCACCAAGGCGACGATTGGAATCGGAAGAAGGAAGAATACAATGCACACCCAGTTTGGTGTGGTGCTCCATAGACAACCCTTGAGTGTGCCGACTGTGTATCTCTGTCCAGAGAGAGGATACACCCAGCCCAGTTGAATGATGGGAAGTGGAAAAATGATCAAGGCTTGCAACCATGTCCTTTTGCGTTTCTCGATGACAGTCAGAGGCCCGACTCGTAACAAGTTCACTTGCTCGGAGAGATTCCGCATGATGGCAACCACCGATGTTGCGTATATTGTCAACGCCGGCTGGTAGATGTAGGGGTGTACATCGCACCAGACCCAGCCCCTCCACCATTTCTCGATATCGTCGTCGCGCCAGATGAGGGAGTTGATGATGGTATCTGTGTTGAGAAATATGACGGTGGTGATGAAGACGACGGCTGCGAACTCGCCATTGCGGCAGAGATTCTTGAGAGGAACCAAGCAAACCACATTGGCGAGAAAAGCAAGGACTACCCGGCAGACGAGGTTTGTGGTCAAGAGAGGTGTTGTAAAAGGTGTTGTTGCAGGGCGAGGGATGATTTCAATCGTGCGCGCCACCAGTGTATGCGAAATGGGAGACATGTTGATAAAGATTGGTCGAATTCGGCCGTCGAAGTATGAGGATTTATGGCTGACTTTATTGATTTTCGAGGTGGTGCGACCGGCGCACAATGTTCCCCTCAGATGGCCATCTGATGTGGCCAAGATTTGGCGAGTGTGCGATGGGTGGTAGAACGTCTAGGACGTAAATTTCCGTAACGACGAGAAGGAGTCCGAAGAGGGAAACGAGAATCCAGGGCATTAGAGAAACCGGCAAGACACCGGGCATCGGCTTGACTTGCGATAGAACCTGATTCTACCCTCAAGCAAGGCAAAACTCGGTTGACGAATACAAGAGATCAGTATAGAGCATTGGTATCGAAGGAAGGTAGGGAGATACCTGACAGAAGGGGCAGCCACGAAGAACTGATAAGGAAGGCAAAGGAGGTAGGCGAGGCAAGTGCTGCCAACGAAAAGAAATCGATGACCTTCCCACTTAAGGCTGGAAGGGAATAGTTCACGAAGAGAACACCTGCCTTAAGATAGGTGAACCGCCTATGTAACCCTGGAAGAAGTAGGAGCAGTCCCGCCGCCTTGAACGCAACTTGGAAACTCGATGTTGGGTGCTGTCGTCCGAGGAAGGTATACTAAATCAAGGACCCTAGGTAAACACACCGAGCACTTCTCCTTACGAATTTCGTCACATCAACTTCTAAGACTTGATACATGGCTGTCACAGGCGGCGCGACCGTCACCGGTGACCTGCGTTGTGGACTTGGGCCTCTTCCTTCCGCAAGGTCTGCTTGCAGTCCAAGAAGTTGACATGTCGCTGATCGGATATGACCAGCATGCGCCGACAATGAATACGAGCGACATTGTGGCGACAAAATACAGATGACCGATACCCACGAATTCCGACTTGATGTCAGAAATCTCAGGCTAGCTCTGCGCCGTGCTGTGGAAGAATAGGTATGCGCTGTCCTAACCACCTGAGGACTGCGCTTCTCAATTGGCTTCACATCCTGGAGTGCAGGTTCATATCAGAAGACATTAGAAGATATGAGCGACGCTTCTGCGACACTCGTGGCAGTAAATGCGATTCAGTAAAGGACGATGCTGGTTGAACTTGTGATCTTGCGAGCTTGTGGTTGCTGTTGTTGAATCTTGGTCTAGTAATTATTAGTCTTGCAAACACGTAGTCCGCTTAAGTGCATAAGCACAAGCCACGCACTGTGTCATTTACTGTGTGTAATTAGTACCGACTCCGGATCGCGTCGCGCGGCGCGAACAATTTGACAGCTGCCCTCAAACGATTGCTACCGACGTTCTCCCAACAAACGACAAACCACTCTCTGCCCTTTGTCCGCATCCGTCCACCGGGATTCTTTCAAACCAAGCAGTTTTTGCAAGCCGACTCCGACCGCCATAATGTCTGCCGCCCTCTTCCGCCGCGCCACCGCTGCCCCGCGCATCGCCCGTGCCTTCAGCACCTCCCCCGCCCACAACCTCGCCCGCATCAACATCATCGGCAACCTCGCCGACACTCCCGAGCTCCAGGCCACTAGCACCGGCCGTGAGATTATCAAATACGCCGTCGCCAGCAACAGCGGCCCCCGAGACAACCGCCACACCAGCTGGTTCCGCGTCACCAGCTTTGCCCCCGAGGGTCCCAGCCGTGACTTCCTCCAGAGCTTGCCCAAGGGGTATGACTGATTTCCTCGCGTTTGCTGTCAAGCATGGCTCGCTAACATACGGGCCATTGTAGAACTCTCGTCTATGTCGAGGGCGATGCCTCCATGAGCACCTACCAGGACTCCGAGGGCAAGACTCGTAGCTCGCTCAACGTTGTTCAGCGTAGGTTTTCCCACTCACCGATCCGCGCGCATTCGCCATCCTGACGTCTTCCCCAGGCAACATTGAGGTCCTCAAGCGCGGCGCCCAGCAGAGCGAATGAATAAGTTTCTCCCAACACGGATCAAGTTCATGTCATGTTGAACCATGACGACGAGTTCCCTTTGAGAAGATGATATTTTGAATGACAATTCTCCGCTCTGTATGGGTATTTTCTTTGTGTGAGACGATTGACATAACGGGCCTCTCAGAGGCGTATTGTACAAAAAGCAGGACGGCAATTGATACCACGAGTTGCGGCTCTCTAATGCTACTTGTTAGTGTGAAATTCGTCAAGTGTCATCGAAAACTGCGAGGCTAGTCAGGGCGAGAGGAAGGTTTCGGAGCAGTCTATGGTCTATTTGATTTGCTTCGTGATCAAGGCTGCAACTCAGACAAGCGTACAGCTGTCCATGCACCCAAAGCCGGCAGCTACTCCGCCTTCGTTGCTCGTATCGCCCTTGGTGCGAAGCAGGTACCCAGCTTCCTTGTTATGCACCACCTCCCCAGTGCCCTGATTCCAAACAGCCGTCCCGTAGATACCAAGCTCGCAAATCACACCTCCTTCTTCTAGGTCCCCGTTTCGCAGGATGATGTTGTTTTGCTTGGGAGGAGTGATCAACTCCATCAGAATGTACGAGCCCCAGTGTGATTCCGGGGTTTGCTTGAGAAACTTTGGGATATCCTCCCGGTAATGGTTGTTACCGCCACCTTCTCGCTGTGGCTTCAAAACGTAATTCTTGCACAGTTCCGGATCCTGCGCAATCTTGCGCGCATCGAGACCGGCTCTGGAGTCATCCATCGGGAAGATGTTGGTAAATGTTGACCAGACCTCCGCCGTCTGAGGGGAATTGTCGGGAATGAAGCGACCCAGAATCGAGGGCGAGGACCCGGACTGGGGCGTTGCCAAGACTTGCTGGATTTTCTTGCTGCCCGCCAGCTGGGTCAGAACAGTAGGGCACTTGATGGCCGAAGATCTCTCGAGATGATAGCGAGCTTCCCATGCGCTTTGGTCTGGGTAGTCAGACGGATCGTACCAGCATCTCAGATACGCGACAGCGACCTCAAAAACCTTGGAGGGATCCCTGGGCACCCTATAGAGAAGCTGACGCTTGGGTGTGTTGGCGATCTCTGTGTGCTGAAGGAGCTCAGAGAAAGGGATGCGGAACACCTGAACCGCATCAGGAGAGCTGGCAAGTGCGTACTCGAGGTGACGTTGGTCGAAGATGTTGCGCTCGCCACCTTGGACGACGAAGATGACACACTTCTTGTGACCAAGCTCGGAGGGCCCGTACGAATCAAAAGCAGCACGAATGCCACCTGCAAGGCCTTGGACGCTCTGGTTCTCAGGCTGATCAAGAGAGCCAGCCTCGATTGGACTGTTCAAAAGAGGATACTCCGACACGGAGAGGAATCTACCGCAGTCAGTAACAAGAAAGCCCTGGGAGAGGGTGCCATGCTTACTTGTGAAGCATCGATGTTCGGGAAGATAGGCCACCGAAAGAGGCGGCTATGGTGTTGAATTCGACTTGTTTTACCTGACGCTTAGGCTCCCCAGCCGAGGTATCTTGGTGCACAAGGTAATCTGATCTAAACAACCCGAGGGATAGGTCCTGGGAACTCATCAGCACAGCTCCGACGAAAAAGCCGAATGGCATACTTGGGTATAGCCCTCCTTCTTCACCCGCAAATGAGTGTCCCACAACTTGCCAATGAAGTCATCACCGCCCTTCACCCTGTATCAAATCAGCCACGATTTCTACCCGCGCCCATATGTCTGAGCCGGTAAGCCATAGGCTCGAGCTACGGCGACAGTCCAAGCGCAAGCCGTAAGGTCAACTTACTCATCAACCATTTCGCTCAGGAATTGTTCATCCCTGCTGATGGCCGCATACAGCTCGTTGTAAGTCTTTTGGACCGCCCTCGCCTGAGCGAAGCATTGTTTGGGGAACGGGCTAGGAAAGAGGGTTACAGGCACATTGACTGCCAAGATGCCTTTAGGGTCCGTCTCCGCCGACACCACAGCGGGAGGTGGCCGAACAGATAGACCATTGCCAATGGCCCAATCCTTGATTGTCTGCACGAGAGCATCCTGTTCCGACTGAGACAACCGGGGCGGGTACTGCTCCTTGGTGAGCGCAGGAGTGGCCATCTCTGCGATTGACGACTGGAGATCCGGCTATGGGAAAGATCCTGGACTTCCGACTCACGCGGTGGTGAAATTTGGCGTGTTAGAAGTTGACAGAAAGGATATCTGGAGGATCGGCGAATATTAGTAATTGGAAGGCCGGGCGACGTGAGGTCTAGTTTTCTCTCAGATGCTGAGAAATCGAAAGGTGGGGTCTTTGAGAACGACTCGTGCAGGCCAAGCCGAACCAGATATCTTGAGGGACTGTGTTACGTTACGAAAGCTTGCACCTACATCTGTCTTTCCCAAGGTCAACAAACTCAGCGTTCCACAACTCAAAGTATAGGTTGAGGGATGACAGTGTTGTTCTCAAGCTTGGAGGGGCAGATTGAACAGAACAGGAGGGGTTGGATCTGCCCCACCAAGCGAATGTCAACCCCGCGACTTTCCCATCCGTACCTAAGGTAAAGGTACCTTGGGTGAGCAATCGCTTTGCATTCCGATGCACGTAAGACGTGATCAATCCAATCACGCAAGGCAGGTCCAGGAAGTAAGGTAGAGAGGTGATATCACATCGCTGCGAAAGCCCTGAAATCTTTAGACCATACTCCTATAATTTCCCCACAACAACACCCTGCTTTTGGACTGCTGCAGTTTAAAACATCAATGGAAACCACTGCAGATGCCTGAGCATGAACTCGCTCCCGGTCGAGACTTCCATTGACCCCTCCCTGAGTCCGGGCAGGTCTTAATCACCTTATCTTATCGCTGGATGAAGCGCCTGCAAAGTGCCGACACGCCGATGACACCTGGTCACGTGCTGACGTCACGAAAGGGAGCCTTTTGATTGGACAGTTGCGATCCACATTACTACCCCGTCGAACCTAAGTGCACTGAGGAAAGAGGCATCCAGGCACCTAGGCAAGCACTTGCCGCTGCTAAAGCACTAAACACCTAATTAGCACCTGCCTGAACCTGCGCGGTCGTGATGGGTGGGGCCAGCAACTTCCTCCGCGACGTCTATCGAACGCGTCGAATTTTAAGGGCACTGCTTGCCGACGTACCTACCTTACCCATACCTAGGTACCGAAGGTAGGAATATAGCTTCGCCCTTATGCCGAACCACATCTCTGCCGTTTATGTACCACTCTACCAGACAAGTGTCACATCTTCGGTTTCTTCCCCGAGAAGCAAGCTCTGGTCTTTCACATTCAACTACCCATCACCGTTTGCCTGACTAAGGTCTTTTGATTTCTTTGTCACCTTTTCCTTCTCCCGGGCGATCGAGCTTTCTCTCAAATAGGTAATTCGCCTCGATTCGATCTCAGGAGGCTCCCCGGTCCCTGGCGAGCATACATCCAACACCATCCGCGAAATTCACACCTTCTCATACCTTACCGAGCCAGGGCTTACAATCGTCAGATTAATCGTAAGATATATTCCTTTCCTTCACGTCCCGGTCCATAGCACCTTCCGCTGTTGCTGTTAGGACTCCTCCTGAGGCCACCGCATCTCGACTTGAAGATCGAATCTGGAAGGTGCCCGCCAGTTTTCGAGTTGCCTTCTGGCTGGCCTTGCTTCAGTATATTCTGTCTAGCCCGACCTTCGTCTTCAGTTCTGTTTCTCACTTCTCGTCGCCCTCGCCAAATCAGACCTCACAGGACACACAGCTGACATCTTGACAGCGAGCCACCGATGATCTGATCAGCATACATCATGGCAGGCACCGACGGCGATCCCTTCGACTGGGATGTCGACAAAGTCGTCCATGAGCTGTGTGCCGTTGATAGTCGCCCCTGGCTGCCCAGGCTAGCAACCAAGCGGCCCGATCCAGCAGCTTTGTCGACAGCGCTGATCGAAAACGACATCGACGGTGAGACTTTGCTGACATACGAGGATGTCATGCCGTCAATCAAAGATCTTTTGGAGACACTTGGTCTTTCGAAACCGGCACACCAGATGACGCTTGTAAAAGCCATCAAGTACCTCAAGTCCAAAAGCCCTGACTATCAACAGTACAAAGTCGACTCTGCGAAGCATGACCTCGACATGCAGGGCAGCTCGCAAGAAGATCGGATCGACTCTACGGGGGAAGCTACACCTCCAACCACAGATCATCCCGCAGAAAGCACTCGGCCTCGAGATGTGCCGATGCCTGATACACCACAGCAGTCGCACTCTCTCACTTCTGAGCCACACACCTTCAACTCTGTCGTTTCGGGATCCAGCAACCTCACAGCCTCATCTAAGCCTGACGAGGCCCCTGACGGACCGCTACAAAAGAAGCGGAAGATAGCACCAGTCTTGATTTCTACGGATGTTACTGGAGCAGGCATCTCGTCTCTACCCAATGCCGCCAGCGGTGTTACGCTGCATTTCCCTCGCAGAATACACACGGAACCGGTTGATCGTCCCGCCTCGAACCATGCTGCTACCCCTGGACCCACCACAAAGTCAAAAGCCGATACGCCAGCTTGGCTGGACAGCTCACCGGGTGCTTATTTCGGGAGGAACTCGCTCATCACTGCGGACTGGGTACCGAAATCGAGCGTCTTCTTTCACGAAAATGAGGTTCTCGAAGAGAATCAGCCCGTCGAGCTGGCTTACCAAGCCATGGTACCGGCAGGAAAGCGCGTTCTGGATCTTTACACTCATAGTCTCATTCCTCCAGGCAATCGTCGTCAAATAGGCCGAGCTATTCGACGGCTTCATTTGAGGAACAACAAATCCTACAACTTGCTCAGAAATGGCATCCATCCCCAGATTGAGCCCGAAGACGATGACGATGAAATTCTTCCCGCCTTTGGTGACTCGGATATCGATGAGGAGTACGATTCAGATACCTTGCGGGAAATGGAAGACGAAGAAGAGCAAGTGCGACTTGAGAAGGAACGGAAATCGCACAACCTCACCCGAGAAGAAGTCAACCGAGTGATTGAAGAAGAGATTCTGCACATGGAAGCAGCCTGGGAAGAACGAAAGTTGCCTGGCAAGCAAAGACGAGCAAAGGCGATCTGGAACCAAGCACGCCGACGCGGTCGCCACCACTTGATTGCTCAAGCGTCGTCGCGAGTGGATAATTTCAACGGTCGAATCGAAAGACTCTGTAACGAGATGCGCCGCGACGAATGGCAGAACGAGGCTCAACTGAGAAGGCAAGTGTGCTGTCTCGAGGCCACCGTTCACGACCGCAAAGCAGATAGGTGGCTTCTCAACATCCTGCGAGGTCCAGAACCACCCGGTCCCGAAACTATGCCGAGGCTCCTACCTCCACCACCTCGGCACGAACTCTTATCGGATGAGGATGGCGAGATCATTTCAAGCGATGAAGATGATGGTTTCATCATCGACGATATGAAGGGCGTTACGTTCTCTCCTGAACCAGAAGGGATCCGACAATCAACCCCTATGGACTTAGATGACCCTGGCGAGTCAGCGCAACTCGAACGCCCAGGCCCGTCAGCACCAGCAAATGGGTTGATCACGAAGACTCCTGTTGCAGCTCCTAATTCCGATGTCATCGATTTAACGGGGTTCGACTCTGAACCGGTCTCCGAAAAACGGCGTATCAACATTAACCTCATCACACCCACCAAGTCAAAAGCCTTGCGGCCGAGTACCGAGGTCGACGACGATGATCCGGAACATGTCCCCGAGGAAGAAGACTACAACTTTCCCTTCGACCAGCAAGCGGCCATCGCTGCTGTTCCGCCCGTCATCTGGAAGGACCGCAAAGATCGCGAGCGACTCCTGATTTGTATCCTCTGGAACCTCAAAAAGAAGGATCGAAAAGCCGTATTCTTCAAGTTTATCCGCACGTTAAGTTCTGATCAGATTTGGGAAGAGGTTATGATCCCGGCATTGTCTCATGGTGATGCTGAAGAAACCGAACCAACTCAAAAAAACTGGGCCGAAGCAGGCAATATGATGGCTCGATTGTTCAGGGTCTATGAGTTTTGCAAAGTGGAAAGACTAGGAGCAAGCATGTTCAAGAAGCTCCCTGCTGGAAGGGCCAAGAAGTTGAGTTCACAATCTGCCAACTTCGAATCTTTCTGCGACTTTGTGAGAGAACACATCGCACCCTACTTCGTGGAGCAACACGACCCCAGTCCTGAGAACTCCGATCAGTTTACAGATGGCGACATCGAGGACAGCCCGTCTCAGACACGGAAGAAACTTGTTCTGGATCAAGCAGCCAAAGATCTCAGAGAGAACGATATGCAACGCTTGCAAGAACAGGAAAAACGACGAATCGAGCTGCGTAAGAAGTTGGCCGCGTCAGACCTCATCTCAAGTGACAAATCGCGCTTGATCATCAACGAATCCAAGCAAGACGACCAAGGCTTAATCTACGTCAACGAGGATATCGGCAAACGTATCAAAGACCATCAAATCCAGGGCGTTCGCTTCATGTGGAATCAGATCATCTGCGATCCCAAGGCGCGACAAGGCTGTCTTCTAGCTCACACCATGGGCCTCGGAAAAACAATGCAGGTTATCACACTCCTTGTCGCCATCGCCGAGGCAGTCAAATCCGACGACGATTCGATTCGCTCGCAAATCCCAAAGGACTTGCGGCAGTCGAAAACCTTGGTTTTGTGCCCTTCTCTTCTGGTCGATAACTGGATGGATGAGTTGCTGATGTGGGCGCCTTCTGGCCTCCTTGGTCACTACTTCAAACTCGAGGCTGTGACAAGCAAGGGCGACAGACTTCCTATGATTCGACGATGGGATCACGACGGCGGAGTCATGGTCATTGGCTATGATTTGTTCAAGAGATTGATCGAACACCCGGACGAGGACCAGCCACAGAATGATACTGGCAAAAACGCGTGGGAGATTCTGACGCAGAGCCCCAACATTGTTGTTGCTGACGAAGCCCACAAAATGAAAAACGCGGAGTCAAAGCTTGCCTCGGCTGCTTCGCACTTCAGAACTCACAGCCGCATTGCGCTGACCGGCTCTCCGCTCGCAAACAGTGTTGAAGAGTTTTACTCCATGATCGACTGGGTGGCTCCTCGTTACTTGGGACCTCTTGCAGAATTCAAGACATTATACAGCATTCCGATCCAGAGCGGCCTGTACGAGGATAGCACATACTCCCAGTTTCGTGCGGCGAAGAGACAGCTTTCCGTGCTTGAGAAGACTGTCGCCCCCAAAGCACATAGGGCTACTGTCAAGAGCCTGATGAAGAACGATCTTCCTCAGAAGACGGAGTTCATTCTCACCGTGCCACTCGAGGCTCTGCAAGCCCAGCTGTACGACGATTACATCGGCTCCATGAAGGTCGAACTCGCCGGACAGGGCACAAAGGTGCTCTCGAGTAATCACCATCTTGCTCTTATCGTCAACCACCCACGCTGCTGGTACAATAAACTCACCGAGGAGCGCAACATCATGAACGGGAAAGGCAGCATTAGAAGCGCATCCAACATCACGTTGTCTCACAAAATGATTAGCACCGGTCTGAAGATGATGTCTCGCCCGAAGACTGATATATCGTCACACATGTTGTCGTGGAAGACCCGACTGCTCGTGGCCATACTGGATGAGAGCGAGAAAGTAGGCGACAAAGTTCTCATCTTCACGCACTCCATTCCAGCCCTTGATTTGCTGGACAGTCTCTTCCGCCAGCAGAGACGAAAGATTGCGCGTCTGGACGGTTCAACGCCGATCAACCAAAGACAGCAGCACATCAAAAATTTCAACACTGGAGACACTCAGATTTATCTAATCTCTACGACTGCTGGCGGAGTCGGATTGAATATTTTTGGTGCCAACCGAGTAGTCCTGTTCGACTTCAAGTACAATCCCGTTCACGAGCAACAAGCCGTGGGACGAGCGTACCGAATTGGCCAGCTCAAGCCAGTATATGTGTACAAATTCCTCAGTGGCGGCACATTTGAAGCAGCAATGCATAACAGGGCTGTCTTCAAAACTCAGCTCGCATCTCGTGTGGTGGACAAGGAGAATCCAAAGCGGTGGTCGAAAAAGGACAATGAATACCTCAAAGATCGCGAGGAGCCTGCCCAACAAGACTTGAGTCCTCAGCTGGGCAAGGACGTCGTTCTGGATCACTTGCTGCTGGACCCCGAGCTCGTACAGGGTATTCGCAGCATCGAGACGACAGACACATTCGAAGAGCAAGATCCGGATGACGTTTTGACACCCGAGGATAAGAAAGACGTGGAAAATCAAGTTCGCATGAATTCTCTACGCATCACCAACCCTGCGGAGTATGAAAGGCTGGAACAAGAGAGACTCCGCCGCGTCATGTCATATACGACTGCTGGAGTACCCAATCAAACCGCCGGGCCAGCTCATGCAACCGAGACGGCGGTGCCTTTGCCCCAGGTTCCGACGGCTCAATTGCCGCAGCTGAATCCAGGTCTCCGGCAACGACCAGTTGGCGTTCCACCACACACGGTGACACCTTCAGGCCAGCCTGTGCAAGCTCACCTGGGCAGAGATACCTCACAGAGTGTAGCCGATCAAGAGCTACGACCCGATCGACAAGGTGCTCAGTCTCTCAGCGCGACAAACAATGAGTCAGTAGAGGCAACTTCCAACCCAGAGACGCACCATTCGCCAGAAGTCCCAGTAGAGGTATGTCCCCTTACGGTCTTTTGTCATGTTTGCTAACCATTCGTGCAGCACCGGGGTGTGCCGCCCATGCCCATGGCTGGTGCCAATACACACTTCAGAACGGCAGAGGTTCCGCCACCAATTGCGTTACAGGGTTCTACCGCAGCTGCTCAAAACGGACCAAAGTCAACGCGGAAGACGCCTAAGAGGCCATCATCTGAGATTGACTGGGCACTTCAGTTTGAGGAGAAGATATTTGAGGCGCTCCAAAAAGTTACCGACCCGGAGGTGCTTAAGAAATTCACAGGAGACCATCATGAGTTCGCGAAACGGATTGCCCAGTCAACTTGGCAGGTCAGATTGGAGAAGAACGATGGCCCTCTGCCGGACGCAAGCCACATGAAAACGCTATGCGGTATGATGGCAAGCCACAGGTTCGCCCTGGCGGTCTTGACCGGGTTTCTGGCACCGGCACAACTCGCCCTCGCCCCGACATTCAGCGCTCTAGAGGGCATGGAGCAGGAGCTGGCACTGTTCACCGAGGAAGAGTTCCGCGAGACTTTGGGACTGGGCAGTCACAGTCCCGAAGACCACAACGTATGATCCCGGCATTTTTCCATACCTTGACGTTTTCATAGCTTTGCAGCCGCTTTTCCTTCATTACGCACCCAGTCACGGCTAATGACTTGATCGATAGCACCACCACCACGTGCTCGACCGAACGAATGCGAATACAGAAGCGACGCACAACCAGACGTCGCCTGCACACACGATGAATAACTTGCAGGGATTGCTGTATACGGTGGATCGAAGACAGCATCGCAAGCCTAGACTCCCGACATGGGCCAGCAGGGCTGTTGAGGAGCATAGGATCGGGGAACCACATCGGCGTCCACGAGACCCATTCCAATCGTCGCCCTCGCCAGAAGGTTAGGCCAGAGGATGGTATGGGTGTAAGGTTGTCGCATGGGGAGCTCTCCATTGAAGGTAAAATTTCTTTTGATTTTGGTCCAGGAGAAGGGGATTCGGGAGTTTCATGGCATCAACTTGTGTTATTATGATACCCTTTGCAATATCAAGTTCTCGGAGGAGACTGGGTTTTCGGAGGTGGTCTGAGGGTTGCATTAGCATGGGCATTGGGGCCCAGCATACGGATACGTAGAAAAGAATCAGAGAAGCTGAGATTTCGGTTGAAGAGCTACCAAGGCGTGGGCCATTGAGTCTAATATCATCGGGATTGCGCCGTGATGGTATGTGCGGTTTTTAGTAAGCGATGAATTTGTGTTCGCCGTCTGCAATTTTCGACTTCCCGGGCCAAGGGCACGACGTCAGCCAATGTGTGTTATAGCGGCAGTGTAACAGCGACTCCTGTCGGCCCCATCTTCGAAGATTACGCCTGGAACTGGAGGCTGGTGAGGACTCGAGGAGAATCTAGCCGAATCTCGACAGACCGACCGGGAAGCACCGTAACCGGCATCTTCGTACGATTCCGTTTGATCCACCCAACGGCGATTAAGGAGCACCGGACTTGGGCATTGTGGGTGTTGAGCATATTTAGTAGATACCTTCGGGCTGTGAATAAGTCATCAACAACGGGAAGGGATACCGAAAAACAAATAAAATAAAGATGACAGCAAACACCGGGATTGCAGAAAAAAAAGGGTGCAGGTACTGGAAAGTGATCTGAGGTCTGGTCCCTTCAGACAGGGGTGGACGGGTGGGGCTCGCTACCGTCCAACGAGATGGCAGCCAGTTCCCCAGAAATTGGCTTTGGCAAATCGGTGATTGGCCCAATGGGAATGTTTTTTCTGGACCCTGCAGAAGCCGAGACGCCGAAAATCGAAAGAAGGAAACAAGCGCTACTTCGAGTTGGTGCTAGTGCACATAGTAGTCCGCCGCCCATGGGTATCCCCCCCCGTGCAGTGAGTCCAGCAGGTGCAGCCCTCTGCAGCCCAGCCCACTGGAGGGGTGTCTCTCAGTGGCCCAGTGCCGCTAGTCTCAGGTAGGTAGACTTCTGCCCCGCCATCGTTGGCTCGTCGGAGTGCCTCGTCTGACCCGGCCCAGTCCCATTGGATGTACGTACTTCGTACCACTGCACTCGTGTATTGCCGTACCCTGCGCCCTGCGCCGCCTTTTTTGTGTCATGGCGACTCTTCACCGGACGCACTAATAAAGAACGGTCCGAGAATCTGCTCTCATAATTCTCGCCTCCTCTCATCCGCCAATCCAACTTCTTCTTCCCCTTTTCCACCCAATCCCGTCTTTGTCGACCAAAGCCGCATCTCAACTATCGCCAATTGACTTGTGTTCAGCTTCTGCGCTGTCACTTTTCTCTGGCAACGACGCTGACTTCGTACTCGTTCGCCAACGTTGCGCTCGATTGCCACACCGAAACACCCACAACAAAACCTGCTCCGTACCGCCGTTTCCGACCCTTCCAACACGAACCTTCACTCGAAATCGCTGTTCGTCGTCATGGAGGCTGCTCTGCGTCAATCCAAGGCCATGTGCCCCTTCTTGAAGAAGGCCTCGCCCGCTAAGCTCCGCGCCTTGTCCACTTCGGCTCGTCCCCACGCCATCCAGGCGGCCGAGACTGCCCTCACCGTCTCTCCCTGCGGTGGCACCATGTCCAAGCTGCAGCTGCTCGCCCACCGCTGCCCCGTCATGGGCAAGGCCTTGACGGTTCAGTCGGCCCAGTACGGACACGGTCGACCGGCCAAGGCAGCCAACTCGTCCGTTGCCGGCATCCGCGCCTTGAGCACCAACTCCAAGCCCGGCCGCGCCAGCATCCACACGAGCCGCAGCAACGATGCCCGCGCCGTGGACACTCCGTTCATTAACGGACGTGACAAGGGTACGTCGAATTGCATCTGCTAGGCGAAACGTTACGCTAACTCTGTCCTCAGCTCAGCTTCCCCCGAACATGGCCGCTCGCCAGAACGGCGCCAATAACCTCGGCATGGGGAACTCGGACGCCTCCAAGGCCAAGTTCAACTATGAAGCCTACTACACTACGGAGCTGGAGAAGAAGCACAAGGACAAGTCGTACCGCTACTTCAACAACATCAACCGTCTGGCCAAAGAGTTCCCCCGCGCCCACATGGCTGACAAGCAGGAGCGTGTTACGGTATGGTGCGCCAACGACTACCTCGGAATGGGCCGCAACCCCCATGTGCTGAGATCAATGCACGAGACTTTGGACGAGTACGGTGCCGGTGCTGGTGGCACGAGAAACATCTCCGGACACAACAAACACGCCGTTGAGCTCGAGGGAACTATTGCCAAACTCCATGCCAAGGACGCCGCCCTTGTCTTCAGTTCTTGCTACGTTGCCAACGATGCCACGTTGGCAACCCTCGGCAGCAAGATGCCTGAATGCGTCATTTTGTCCGACAGCTTGAACCACGCGTCCATGATTCAAGGCATTCGCCACTCTGGAACGAAGAAGATCGTGTTCAAGCACAATGATGTCGCGGATCTTGAAGCAAAGTTGGCCTCGCTTCCTCTGCACGTCCCCAAGATCATTGCGTTCGAATCCGTCTACAGTATGTGCGGTTCCATTGGTCCCATTGAAGCCATTTGCGACTTGGCGGATAAGTACGGTGCCATTACCTTCCTCGACGAAGTTCATGCCGTCGGTATGTATGGACCTCATGGCGCCGGTGTCGCGGAGCACCTGGACTTCGAAGCGCATCAGCAAGGCCGCCCGACGGGCAGCATCATGGACCGTATTGACATCATTACCGGTACTCTTGGCAAAGCGTATGGATGCGTGGGTGGATATATTGCCGGCAGCGCCAAGCTCGTCGACATGATCCGGTCTCTTGCCCCTGGATTCATCTTCACTACCTCCCTTCCCCCTGCCACCATGGCCGGTGCGAAGACGGCCATCGAGTACCAGATGGAGTATGACGGTGATCGTCGCCTCCAGCAACTTCACACTCGCGCAGTGAAGGAGGCATTGGGCGACCGCGACATTCCCGTTATTCCTAACCCATCTCACATCATCCCCATCCTGGTTGGCAACGCCGAGCTTGCCAAGCAGGCCTCGGACATGCTGCTCCAAGACTACCAGATCTACGTTCAGTCCATCAACTACCCCACCGTTCCGGTTGGGCAGGAGAGGCTGCGTGTGACGCCCACCCCGGGCCACAAGAAGGAGTACCGCGACCAGCTTGTACAGGCTATTGACGAGATCTGGACCAAGCTTGGTATCAAGCGCACCTCTGAATGGGCCGCCGAGGGTGGATTCATTGGCGTTGGAGAGGCCAACGCGGCCCCCGAGGAGCCCCTGTGGACCGACAACCAGCTTGGCATCGAGCAGGCTGCGAAGGAGATCAAGGCTGCGGGTGATGTCAACAGCGGCTTCGTTGAGGCCCTGTTGGAGCGTGAGGCCAAGGCGGCTGGTCAGGCCGTGAGCTCTACTATCTGATTCCGTTCTTGGTTGGGATTTCACCCAGCATGTTTAACGTTGATATCTATGGAGGGCTCAGCGGACCTTGACCACGTTCTTTGGAGCGATCAACGATTATTTGGATTTTACCACGCCCCTGCCTGTTGTTCTTCTTCGATTTGAGATTCGTGTACCTATGGTATTCCATCTCAGTGTTGGTCGCAACACCAATAGTTTACAAGCAATATGAATGTCACATTGACACATTTCATCACTTATCAAGCCTGCCATGCCATGCCATGCACAGTGACATGCCCGTCCGCGTATTGATGCACTTCGTCTGAAATGTGCAGGGAAGGCATGCCGCGCCTCGGTATCGCAAAAGGTTTGCGAATGCGGTTTGCGACATGCGGTTCAGCTGACTCAAGCCACGATGAACCCAGTAACGGCCACCACGGAGATCCGTTCGTGCCGTTCAGCTGAGTGAAGCTTGCGTTACGTACCGAACGCGGGGACTTGAACGGACTCCTTCGAGTCAGCTTAGTCATCCCATCTCCCTGCTCCGCCGGAGTGCTCGCAACTCCGTCTCCAACGGAGGGACGGAGCAAAAACCCAACGACGAACAAGTCGGGGCTCACCCTATTGGCCGAAGCCTCCCAGCCATGACTTACACGATTTCAGGAGAGCTGTCATGAAGACATAACCTAGTGAAGGATTACGACGCGATTTTCCTGCCTGTAAAGACGCCGCGTTTCGGCTCTTTCCTATCTCTTTTCCTCTCTCTCTTTTGATTCCCGCGATTGTCGTTATCGTCGTCTACCAACGCTGTACCAATGCAAATGGATGTTGAATCAAAGAACAAAGGACCTCGAGCCTGCACTACCTGTGCGAGGGCGAAATCACGATGTATACCAGGACCGGAAGATAGCAATAAGTGTGAACGGTAAGTGGAATCCGAACGGAACCGGAGTATCCGGGACGGCTTTTGACAGCAACATCTTAGATGCCATCGGCTTCGGAAGCCCTGCGGCTCCCAGATCCCTGCCCCCCCTAGGGCAAAGAAGGACCCCAAGCCGACCAAGGTCGCGGAGCTGGAGAAGAGACTGAATGAGTTGACGACGCAATTGGGCGCTCAGAGCGGGACAGCCGGGGTTCCAGCCGCTGCCGCCGCCGCCGGGGGTTCCAGCGGCAGTGGTAGTTGTGCCATCGACAACCACAGTAGTCCTCTTCCCATCACCAACAGCAACAAACCAGTATCCGCCCGCATTCCGATCAATGTTGACCACCTATTTCCCCCGGCAGAATTGCCGACGGACGGCGCTTCTGATACGTCACCAGCTGCGAGTTCGTCGACTGTTGATGATCACCACACAGTCAACAGCAGCTCCCAAGGCCAGTCGGAACGAGTGGAGTCTCCTTGGCCGCTGAACAATGAGTTCAGTATCATGCTGCAGACTTTCAAGGATGACTTGCAACCATTGTACCCCTTTGTCATTGTGCCGCCTCACATGAGTCCGGCGCGACTCGCGGCGGAGAGGCCGTATCTGTGGAAGGGTATCATGATGACGGCGTGCCATCTCGATGCTACTCGTCAGGTGACGCTTGGTAATGAGTTGCTTGGGGACATTGTGCAGGCGGCATTCATGAAGCCGAAAAAGAGCCTGGATGTCCTTCAAGGGCTGCAGCTTCTTATTGCATGGTATTGCAGCAATGCCCCTGGTACCACTGTTGACGCGAAAGTAACTAATGTCATCCAAGGTACCACTACAACATCAACAGCTTCCAGCTCACGAATCTTCTCTTCCTCGCAAGGTCTATGTGTATTAGCCTTGGGTTCAAGGACAGCCCCATGTCGATCAAAGAGAAGGGGATCTGCATCATCGTGGAAGACCCATCGGCGCCAAAAACAGAGGAGCAAACCTCGACTCGTCTAGAATTGATGAGAGCCTTTGCTGGATGCTACTACCTTAACACGCTGTAAGATCCGTTTCGCGTATGCCTGGCAACCCCAACTGACAACCTCCAGTGTATTCACAACAAATAAGCGACCAGATGCCTTCATGAATACTACGTATCTTGAATCTTGCTGTAGACAGATTCAAGACAATGCACAGTATCCAAGCGACGAGCTTCTGGCACAACTTTTCAAAATCCAGCAACTCGCCCAGACCATCTCCCTCACTTTAGGAGCAGAGAGCACCAGCTTTCAATCCCTCCAGTTGCCCTTGACAATGGTGGTCCAGTCTTTTCAACAGCAGCTTGATATCTTCAAGACGTCAATACCCGCTCATCTCAAGGACAATGGTACGTTTCGAAATAATCGTTGCCTCGATATTCGCCTGCTAATGCCCCATAGCCGGTCTCCTGACACACGTCAGCATAGCGGAGATTCTGCTCTACGAGATTGGCATCCCGGAGGGTCAGGGTTCCGCATCGTATATCTCTCTGCCAGAACGCCTGGAATTGCTCTGGGGGTGTTGCAACGCGGCCAAAACATTCCTCGAGCTCCGCTTCCCTCGTAACAACAGGAGTGTGCAGCCGCGCTTCACCTGCCTCTCCTCTTCCGACTTCCTCTACGTCTTCATCGTCTGTCTGAAACTGATGACTCTAGAAGTGCCCGGCTGGGACCTCCCCGCGATCCAGAAACACATCGACCTGGCGGGTGTCGTCGACAGTCAGGTTCGGCATCTGGAAATCTTCACTGCACGGAGGGCTAGGCGACCAAGTGCGACAGTAGTAGCAGCAACACCGGCAGACTCTTCTGATATCCCGGGCCCCAAGGTCGTTGACCCCTTCTTGCGACTTACGGAGATGCTGCGGTATTTCAAGGGACTTCTCGAGGGAGAACTGAGTTCTTTCAGAAACCAGCCTGCTATTCAAGAACCTATCCAGCTTCCAGCCAATTTGTCGGATGGCACGCAAGCCATGATTCGAGACCTGGACGCGACTTTCTGGAACGGTATGCTCGGCGAAGACCCTGGTACTTGGGATGTTGGGACGATGTTTTCTTCTATGGATTGGACGGCAACCTGAGCTGGCCGGAAAGTCGAATGCTTGAACTGTGAACAACAGCACCAGAAAAAGCTGCATCTTGATGGAAATGGATGTTCACGTACATCAGACCGCACGTGCTCGCTTCGTCGAAATGGAAGGAGTTTGACAAACTCGGAATTAGGGGAAAAACAAAGTCGAGGAGAGTCGATCCACATCACTTCCAGGAAACGAGGGAAACGACGACATGACCCTCATTAATGAACTGCACTTTCGGGTTTTCAATTCCGACTGCCAAAAAGATGGCTTGTACAGTATCGCAATCAACTCTCCATAGAGATCCATTTGGGCAGAGGACAAGGGCGTTAATGCTAAGAAATATCAGATTGGAACCGGACGGCAAGATACTCCTATGATTGAGATACTTCGGGAATGTACCGCTCGATGATGGCGCATGCCCGGCGACAACTCCGGATTTTCGCCGGTTATCCATGCGGGGATCGGAGGCGGAGACCGGGCACACATCTGGATGATTCCTGGATCGGGATGTGATGGGAGGGAAGAAGATGTTTCAATGTTTTTCAGAGTTCTGCCCGCAGCGCTCCCGCCGTTTCACAAAAGTCGATATATTCCATCTGATGTCGTCGCCAATGCCGCGTCACGATAAACTTCATCGCAGGTCTTGAGATTCCCCGCAAAGTATCCAGATTTCCACGAAAGCCAACCTAATAGTTGATGTCATCCCCCGCCTGCAGCCACATCCCGCGCCATCGGAGCCCTCCTTGGCCGACCATATCCGCATTTACACGAAGGGTTAAGGGAGAGAAAAAAAAAAAGAGGGCGTAGGACCAAGGCGTGCTTTAATCTCACTCATCCAACAGATCAGTGATCCACTCCGTTTAACACTCATTTATCTTCATCATATTTTTCTAAATATCTAACCCGTAAAACACCTCCCGTCGGATTCGTGAAGAAGAAACGACGGTGAAGAAAAAAAAGCCGCAAAGATGTCCAAGCCGCAAGTGGATTATTCCCTGTACCTCGTCACAGACTCCACTCCCGCCATCCTCGGCGACCGCGATCTAGCCTCCGTCGTCGAGGCCGCCGTCAAAGGGGGCGTCACCGTCGTGCAGTACCGCAACAAGACCAAGGACACCGGGGACCTCGTGGCCGAGGCCAAAAAACTGCACAAGGTCACCCGCGCGCACGACGTGCCTCTCCTCATCAATGACCGTGTCGACGTCGCCCTGGCTGTGGGCTGTGAGGGTGTGCATATTGGACAGGATGACATGGGTGAGTATTCAAAACCCATTTTGAACGACAACTTTATAGTGCTCTTCATGGGCTACGATGAAATAGAGACTGAGACATACACAGACTTGCCAACGGCGAGAAAACTCCTCGGCCCAGACGCCATCATCGGCGTAACGGCAAGCACCGTCGATGAAGCACTCAAGGCGTGCGAGGACGGCGCCGACTATCTAGGCATCGGAACCGTGTTCGCAACCTCAACGTAAATCCCATCTTACTCGCCACATGCTGCTCCCTACTAACATGAGGACAAAAGCAAAGACAACACAAAGCACATCATCGGCACCTCGGGCCTGCGTTCGATCCTGGCCGCCATCAACGCCGCCGGCCACTTGCCCGCGGTCAAGACGGTCTGCATCGGCGGTATCAAGTCCAACAACATTCAGCGCGTGCTCTACCAATCCGCCATACCCGCCGGCCCCTCTCTGGATGGCGTCGCCGTCGTTAGCGCCATCGTCGCCGCCCCGGACCCGGAGACCGAGTCCCGGAGGTTGCTTGAGCTTGTGAGATCCCGGCCTACTCACCAGGAAGTCGTGAAGAACGGAACCGGCGTGAGCGACGTAAAGCATCTCCTGGAGCTCGTGCCGCACGTTGTGAAGGCCGTCGCAGAGGCGTCGCCGCTGTCGCATAACATGACCAACCTCGTACGTTCACCCATCCCCTTTCCCCTGTTGACCTGGAAGACTTACATGGGCAAGGTCGTTCAAAACTTCGCCGCAAACGTGGCCCTCGCCATTGGGGCTTCTCCCATCATGGCCAACTACGGCGAAGAGGCTCCCGATCTTGCACGCCTGGGCGGCGCGCTCGTGATCAACATGGGCACCGTCACGCCCGAAGGACTGACGAACTACGTCAAGGCCGTGGCCGCGTACAACGAGGCCAAGCGGCCCGTCGTCTTCGATCCCGTCGGCGCCGGCGCGACAGCGATCCGCAAGTCCGCCGTCAAGACCATCCTGTCGGCTGGATACCTGGATCTCATCAAGGGTAACGAGGGCGAGATCGCGACGGTGTACGGCCAGACGCTGCTGGAGCAGCAAAAGGGCGTCGACTCCACCTCGACACTGTCTCCCGAGCAAAAGGCGAAGCTCGTCAGGGATCTGGCGGCGCGGGAGAGGAACGTTGTGCTGATGACGGGCAAGACGGATTATGTGTCTGACGGTATCCGGACCTTGGCAATCGAGAACGGACATGAGCTTTTGGGACAGATCACGGGGACCGGGTGCGTGCTGGGAACGACGGTCTCGGCGATGCTGGCCGCCAAGTCGGACGATAAGTTGCTGGCTGTGGTAGCTGGTCTGCTGCATTTCGAGATTGCGGCCGAGTGGGCTGCGGTCAGGCGAGATGTGCAAGGTCCCGGCACGTTCGTGCCGGCCTTCATTGACGAGCTTGCGAGGATACGCCAACGCACTGGCGATGGTGACCTGAAGTGGCTGTCGGCAGCCAAGGTGAAGAGTGTCGACGTGTAATGAGCCAGAGCCTTGGGTTCAAAGGACAATTCGAAAATGAAATCAGAAGCCAATTTGAGAGAAAATCTCTAGATGCCCATATGTACGTGCGTCTAAAATCCCTGGTTTAAATCTTGGGTACCAGAGCCTGCAAACCCTCCTTGGTATCCTTGCCTGTCTCCTTGACGAGACCTACAATGCTCTTGAACTCGGGCACCGCAGCATCGCCCATCAGCTCGTACAGGATACTCTCGCTCGTTGTGACCGTAACACCTTCATGCCTCAAGCGCGCCAACGCGATGGGCACCTCCTCGCGGTTGCAGCTGCTCACGCCGTCCGCGAGAACGTAAGGCTTGTGTCCAGCCGCCAGGACATCCAGCGCAGTTTGCGTGACGCAAATGTGTGACTCAATCCCCACGAGAATCACTTGCGCCGGCCCCTTGCCCTCGAACTGCCTGCTTATCTCCGGCACCCACATGCTGAACTTGGTCTTGTCGACCGGCGCGCGAATGAGGTCCGACTCTTTGAGAAGTGACGCGAGCTCCGGGACGGTATCTCCGAGGCGGGCGCGGTTCTGAGTTGTCGTGTAGACAGGGATCTTCAGCGTTTCGGCCGCGCGGAGGAGCTTGCTTGTCGTCTTAACCACCTTGTCGAACTCGAAGATGGCATTGCGGAATTTGTCTTGAAGATCACAGACACTGTTATGAAAAGTAGTTAGCAAGGCGAGCTTGTAAACAAGGTCTAAACAGGATAGTGCGGCTGTAGCTACTCACAAAATGACAGGCCTTTGTAGGCGACGTTGGTGGGCGGTATCGGACATGATCGATGTGGTGATGAAGCGGGGTCGGAAGAACGATTGTCGCGGTCGAGGTCTGAGTATTTGGACAGATGAAGCGAATCCAAATGGCCGTACTAGAAGCATACCCCAGAAGTCACGAATTCGATATGCCTTTTCGTTCTGCTTCCCTCGATTTGGCAACCTTGGTGGTTTATTCAGTTCACGGTGACGTCCACCTGCGCGGGGCAACGGGTCGTGTGGGGGAGGAGGTGGGGTTAACCGTTCGCGACGGCCCCGGTCTCACTTGGTCCCTGAACTACCTAGGTGTCGGTTTAAAGCACATTCGTGCAGCAGAAGTGTCTCTACCTCCACTGCAAATACTTGTAGGCAGTTGCTTTCCGGCTGGCTGGAGCATGACGGCGGAGCCGGCATGTACTCCGACTTGTCTTCAGCAGCTGTACGCAATTCGGCATGCCTCCGCAGGCGCCACTGATGTACTGCCGATCACTTTGAACCATTCACTATACAACTCGACGGCAAGACGGCCGAAGCTCTCGTCGAAGATTTGTGTAATTTATTTCCGCTGTGCGCGGGCTTTTCTAGCCTTTGGTTGTGCTATGTTCGACTCACATGTTGGAGCTGGTAAACTGTCATGGCTACCAGTCGGCCCGTCTCGCGCGATAGAAATCATACCGCCTCTTCGTGCTGGAGGGGGCACTTCTTGTCAAGCAAATAAAAAGAAGATTAATGCGCTGGCCTCTAGACCAACCCCAAGTCAAGTGCCACCGGGGCCTTTGCTTCTCTCTTCCAACGTCTCCTACTCAGCAGTCGCCGTAGGCTTCGCCTTGGATGTCGGCGTCATCCATGAAAAGGCAGATGCTCCTCCGATAGGGTTCGCCGATCTTGGCAACGGCGGCGCTGCGTTCTTCGCCTCTCGCTGGGCCTTCGAGTCTCCTGTGCTGCTGACCGTTCTCTTTGGCTCCCAACGAATGGTTCCCGCGGAGTTGGTCTCTGCTGTAACACCGGCCTGAGATTTCCGTCGGTGTTCCCCGCTTGTCCTGGGGGCAAGCGGTGGCTCGTAGGCAGCTCCGGTACGAGCAGACGATGATGAGCCCGATTTCAGGGGCTTCAACACCTTCATGTTCCGACTACCGCGTCCAGCGGGCTGATAACCGCTCAACGGTCCGTTGGCGTCCCGCTGTCCGTTCTCAGCACCGTTTGTCGACGTGCTCTGCCGCCAAGAGCCCCAGATACCGCCTGCAGACTCACGCCGGTTGCCGTCTGTGCTGGCTGAGCTGTTCTGCGCGGCCGACGAATCTCTCGCGCCAGACTCGGACTCACTGGTCGTGTCTTTACCTAGTCTTTCACTCTCCCCGCCACTTTCAGACAGGTTGCTTGCTCCAATCGACTTGTTGGGTATAGAGTGATTTTCTGTCGGAGAGATCAACCCCTGAGACTCCGTGTCTTCCGCCTGCACGCTGGAGACACTGTTCTCCAAACCGTCGTGCGCCGAAGCAGCGCGAGACCGCGGCTCCCCAGATACGAACGGCGCAGCATTGGCGTTCAGTCGGGGTTTCTCCGGGACAAGGTTTGTCGTGTTGATGTATTTGAAAACAGAGTCATCCTCGGGGCGTACGAAGGGAACAGACAGTTTTTCGCGCTCACTGCCGAAGAGACACATGCGATTTTGAGACAAGAGGATGTCCGCCTGATGTGCTCTTAGCGTATCGCTGCCGATGAAGATCTGTATGCCTCTCTTTGGTTCCGTAAAATCGGATTGGTCCACGCCAGATACCTCAAAGGTTGTCAGAATGCTAGGTATTTGGTGGCCGGGACTCGACGAGCGGCTGCTCCTCTCCGAGACAGTGGCTTCAACAAGGTACACCGGCAGTCGTATCTTGAAAGTGCCGTCGACGTCGCGTTGCACATCCTCCAACAGATCAAGGTCTCTCAAAACGGAGTAGTCCAGCACGGACTTCTGCGAGCCTGTACAGAGGTCGGCGTAAAGAATGGTGTTGTGCGCAAACTGAGTTGTGAGCCAGCATCTGATAATGGTCGGGACGGATCCTAAGATGAAAAGGCCTGGCGGTGGCTCCGGCATATCCAATGGAGAATCATCCTCGTGACTGCTGACCATGAAGTTCGTATCCAAACCCAGGCTGCTAGCTCGACCCGAGGCAACCGAATGGAAGGAGTGGACAGAATGACCCGCCGAGCTGTGCCGTCCGTCCGACTTATGAGACAGAGACCGCTCCATCATCATCCCGCTGCTTGGACGCGGAGGAGCGAATTCGCCGGAATGGCGATTGCTTTGACTAGCCCAGTCTGCTCCTCGCAGCGCACTCTCGTCAAACCGGACGCTGTTGGCCCGGGAGGCGGCACCTCGGCGAGCGGGCTCTTCTTCCGCAGGCCCAAGGTGGAGGGAGCTCAGCAAGTGCTGACCAGATTCGTCGAAGTCATCGAACATATCGTTTGGGGACATGTGAGTCGGGCCTGGTAGATGTAACATTAGTGATAGACCGCAGCAGTAGGAACAAAAGGGGAGCTCACCCTGCTGAGGAGTTCCGGCCAAGACGCCAGGAAAGGGATTCTGCTGCCAAACGGATTTGAGGTTTGCATCTTGGTCCTGACGACGCTCGAGCCTGGCAAGTCGTTCGCCCTGATTACTCTGAACCAGTTGGATTTGCTTCAAATCCATCTGGATGTTGAAGAGGTCGTCTCGGGTGATTGGGAACCGATGATCCATGCCCGGAAATGGTTCCCGTGGGTTGAAGGTTGTGATCAAGACTGGCCAAGTCAAATACACGGGTATACACCGGGAAATGGAGGAGCGAGAGACAGAAGCGAGCGTAATGGGACCAAAGCGTGATCAAATGAGGCGTATGGGAATGGTATCGACACGTTAGAGAAAATCGAGTATCATCCGAACAAAGGGTGTGCCCGTGGGCCGTCGGTAGAGCGCAGACGACTTCGAAAGATGGCTCAAGGAAGACGACGGGCTCTTCCGACCTCGATCCCTACAATATCAGTTCACGAGGTCCTCCTCCCCCGCCACATCGCACGGCGAGACCGAGAGGTCGTCAACGGCGGTAAGAGAGGCGCGGTCTTGAGAACTTGTTATCGAATCGATCTGTGCCTGTATCCACAATCCAGTCGGTAGGGGCGACTGCGGCAGCTAGAGCGTATTGGTGGCTGCGTGTTGAAGTTGCACGATGGTCACCGGTGTTGTGCCCAGAAGACGGGCAGCTTCGACGAGGTATGCGGTTGATGGCTGATCTCGACACTGGGTCGCTGCGAAATCCAGAGACAGATGTTGATTGATGAAATAACCGATCGGGAGGTGTTGGGACTGATGTGTCGGACAGTAGATGCGTGTTGGACAACGTGGGTTCGTCACTGGAGGATGTTGAATACCGAGAGTTGGGGTAGAAGGTTAGGATTGTTCGCACAAATTTCGTGGTACAAGGAGGAGATCTGTCGGCAGCCTGACGTAGAATCGGATAGTTAAATGATCGAGAAAGGGGCAGCTTCTTCGTGCCTGGATTGTCGGGTGTATTGTTGTGGGAGTAAAGAGGAGAGGACGTGGAAGGCGATGGAGACAGACAAAAGTGCTGGAGTACAGGTAGGTACGGATACCGTTGTGTGGTGAGGTGGACTTGGACTGGACAAGGCAAGGCAGAGCAGGAACGGGCAGCAAAGGTGGTGAGGTGAGGATGGGCGGTCTATTCGGCGAAGGAAGGCGTGCAGGTAGTCTCAAAGTACCGTGGACGTTGCTGGCGCCGATTACATGTAGAATTCCGGTCGATGTGGGCAGCGGCAGCAGTCTTGCATCGCGCTGTGACTTGGGAAAAACCGGAGGCGGGACGGCGTGCAGTGCGTAGAGCTGGGCGGTCGCGGTACTTGTCGAATACCTTGGCGGGGCAGCCTAATTACTCACCACGTCAATTGCAGGGCTCCCAACCTCAGCACCTGCAAGGCCAGGTCGGGTCGTGGCCCTCCACCAACTGGAACTTGCAGCAGAGGGGAGCCACCGATTCAGTGCCAGTGGTTCCAGTGGAGGTCCATAGGTTTGCCGCGCCGCGACGTGTGACGCTGTAGCATGGGCTGATTGGTGATTACCTAGGGGACGTGCCAAAGACTCGGGCAGGTCGGTCCATGCTTTCCTCAGAAGTCCAGTAAGGTCTTACCTATCGTCTGCCCCAGAATGTGAAAGCATCATCTCGCAACGGCCACAGCTGCAAACCACCTTAGTTCAGTACCTTACCTTAGACTTCCACTCCGCTCTGCACCTCGGACAGATAAACTCTAAAGCTGCCGATGCTGAGATGCCAGTGCAAACCTGGAATATACCCCAAACTGCTCCAGACACACTCGGCGCCTCATCTGTCTTGCCCTTTGCCCTTTGCCCTCTGTCGTAAGGCAACTCTAGGTAGGATCCGAGGTATCTTTGCCCCAGTGGCTCGAGGCAAGCTCACCAACAAGATTCATACCTTGCAACCGTTCAGACGCCGACCGCACAGCGCACTTATCCCTACCTACCTACCACCTGGCAGTAGTATACCTATTAAAGGTATGAGGTGCACATAAAAGACGAATTTGCAAGCTCGACCCCCGTTGTGGACGACGATGAAAGTAATGCCTTGTCACCTGCTCCATCTTCTCACAAACCTAGGCCAACTATTCGTAACTGTCCATCAATTATGCTTGAGAATCATCCACACTCGCTTGGCCCTGTGTTGCGAAATGCCATGTTGCGGCAAGTATGTTTGGACACCGGCGCGTCCTGACCATTCAAGACATGTTTCGCTCGGCGACATATCTCCTTGGGCTTCGGCATGAAGTGACATGCGACGAAGGACCAGCCTACGACAGGAATCGACATCACCAGACGTTCGCCCACAACCATATTTGCACATGTCGAGTTGAAGAAATGCCATTCTGCCGGCCATCTTGATTTCTCTACGATTTCAAATCATCCTGCAGAACACACGGCCAGACTCGCACTGGCCTCTAAGTAAGGTACGCCGCCTCCCTTTGCGGTGTACGTACCGTTTCTCACACTGCTGGGTTGACATCACGCCAGTCTGGAAGTATGTAGCCCGTACGGTCGTCCTCCGGCAGATCCCTCCACTCCTGACCGATGTGAGGCACCACCTTTTTGTACAAGACTCTGTACGCCTCTCCGCTCATGTGGAGGCCGTCCGGCAGCAGGGCCTCCAGACCGCCTCGCTTGCCGAGCTCCGGAGTACCAAGCAAGGGACCTCCGGCCTTGACGAGGCCCGGGGTCTTACGACCGGCGTAATCGTGGAGCGCCTCCCAAAGGTCGATCAGCGTCACTCCGGCCACTTCGGCCGCAGCTTCTCGGGCCGCTTGTACATACTCTGCGCTAATCTTGGCAGTTCTGGTCGGCTTCGGGTGGCCCCAGGGTAAGTCGAGCTCGGTGATGCGTATCTCATCAATGGGCGGGGGAGTTATGAGAAGAATCTTCTCGGGCTTGTGTGCTGCGATGTTCGGGTGCGTAATAATCTTGATCAGGTTCTCCTTGTACTTTTCCAACGGCACATGCTGCGTTGTAGTCTCCATGGGCTGGACGGCATCGTTTGCGCCAAGAAGTACCAGCTACTCACGCGGATGTTCGTTAGCTACTGCAAAACCCTCAAAATACACACAGTTGGCCCACTCACAAGATATTTGAGCTGCGGTCCCGACTCCGAAGGCGGGGCAATGATGTCGGGAAGATACTCGAGCGCGTTTGCCGTGTTCCAACCTGAGAAGCCACGGTTCACAACATCGTAGCGGCGCATGACATCTGACGGCCATGGGCGGGTGAGACTTGTCCTGCAGTTATTGTATTGTGTTGTGGGAGAACTCACGGCACTGAAGTTGAGCCTGGAAAGAGAAACCGTCGGACACGACAGCAGATCCCTGGAAGAGGGAGTCCCCGAGAAGGACGATCTGGGGATACGGTTTCTGGTTTCGCGCGGTCAGCACCGTCTTCGCTTCCTTTAGCTTTCTTGCTGTAAGCGTCAACTTACAGCCATGCTGGATTTGCAGAGTGACAGGATCTGAGAAGTGGGCCAAGTTGAGTTTCTGTCGTTTTGGAACTTGTGGTTGCTGCCGAGCCAGATGGACGGCACACTTTGCTGGTGATTCTGGCTCGGGCGGTCTTATATTTTCCTTCCAGGTTGCTGCAGGGAGGATACCTTAGTCCTTAGAAGGGCCACCCCCAAGTATCCACGATCAGCAGGACCACTTGCACGGCATGTCACCCGCATAACCGAAGGCACGATGCAGTCAGTCCGTTGACTCTTGCGGTTTGCGGCTATCGGCCTATCAATTGGACGAAATGGCCGCGGTAGGTACCTAGTTGCACCGAGCTGGGAAGGCAGCAATCGGGCTCCAACTTCCGCCACAAGATTGCCGTCGACAAACAATGACTACGGATACGCGTGGAACATTTGGCCATTGCATTCTACACAATGCTTTAATAAACGAAGGGAAATTGCCAACCGGGTGGTACAAATGTCATAGAAATACAGTCACGGTTTGAGTAAGAACTTCGAACTCTTTCTCATCCCTCGCAACTCCAGTTCAGTCAGTTGGACTGACTGGCGATGTTTGACTCTCATGGAAGGCGCGGGATGGTGCAGTGTGGTGGGATGGTGGGGTATCAGCCAACCCCACTTGTCTTATCGCCTCTCGCTATGATAGGCTGTTCCCGTTATCAGCTTCAAAATGTCGGCTGAACTAATGTCCGACCAAAAAAAAAAATCATGGGCTCCCGTCCCGTCCCAGGTACGGGCGCTGTATCCGTGAAGGCAAAAAGTCGCAGATTCCCTCAAACTCCCCGCTGCTGACCATTGAACCAACGCGGTCTGCCGCAACTTCTTTGAGAAATGGCGAGTTCTCTTGCTGCGCAATTGGCGCAGATCAACGCCAACTCGAAGGCCTCCTTGGACGTCAAGGCCCAAAAAGCTGCCCATTCCAAGTCCTTGATCTTCGAGCCGAGAGTTGCGGCAACCCAGAGCTACCATACCCTGTATACGATATGTCTAGAAGGCTTCGAGGAGCTTTGCGAACTCGATGGACGATTCAAGCCCTTTTCCCTCACTCTTTTCAGCGAGCAGAGTCAGAGCGAAGATCGAACCCAGATGACCGCTGCTGAAAATGCCGAGTTGGACAACAAAGTCGAGTCTTTCCTGCGCCTTGTTGGCAGCAGACTACGCCTCATGCCTGCGATCAGAGCTCTGGAGTGGCTGGTACGAAGATTCAGGTTTGTGCGCCTACGTCTTGTTGTATCGTAGTGTCTAACCAAGAGGCAGAATTCATGAATACAACACCAAGTCTCTCATTACGACATTCCTCCCGTACCACTCTATTCGCGCCTTCGCCACGGTGCTCTCGATCCTGCCCCCGAAGATTCCGCACGAGTACCGATTTCTGGACCCATACATCAGGTCTCTCACCTCGCCTCCGCGGTCTGCCCTGGTCCAGGAATCGATCCACAAGTTCGCCTTCCTCAACACTCTCTCCGAATACACGCTCGAGGCTTGCAGGAATCAGCAACAATATCCTACGTTGGTGTCGTTCTGGGGAGGCATCATGACGGAAGCCGTCAACGGCATGCTGGAGAATATGCGATCCGGTCGCCAAGCCGTTCAAAACGAGAACAACCAGACTTTCCTGTCCCACGTGGGCCCTATCTTCCGCGAAGCGCTTGCCATGAAGAAGGTCCCGAACATGCAGATCGCGTCCTATATGGCAATCACGATAGTTGCTGCGAAGGGCAACTTCGAAGACGGGATACTGTCGGCATTTATGGAACAAATTGTCTCGGGCTGGACTGCCGAAATCGTGCGCCCGGGTCTTGTTACCCTGTGCATTCTGGCGCAATACCGATCCGCCAAGCAGCTATCCGGAAAGGTCACAAAGGCACTGCTGAAGGTGAAGGACTTGGGCGAGATTCTGGTTGAGCTGGGCCAGGAAAGGAGGGTCGACAAGCTGACGAACGGTCTTTGCATTGCCTTCATCGAGAGGCTGTGCAAGAAGGGCGACGCTCGTGGTCTGCCCATCATTCGAGCCATCCTGATGAGCCAGATTCTGAAGCACAAGCAGATTGCTGTCATTTTCAAGTCACTGGTTCTGGCAGCTCATAGACTGGACGACGAGGTGGACAAGAACGGCGAAATTCGCAAGGAGCTCGGATCTACACTCATCGACCTTTCACGTTTCTCCGGCGACACCAGCGACATCATCCAGACTGTCCTCGAGGAGGTCGACTTCGACGTAGAAGAGTTGGAAATGAAGCTGGATGTCTCGATCAGGCAGAAGAAGGCCTTACCCTCGGCCGAAGACGACATTGAGATGGGCGACAATGTCCCTGCCAAGGAAGACTTGCGAGAGACTATACATGAACTCGCTGGACAAGAGCGCACTCTTCCCTCGTGCTTGTCTACCAAGCCTGGCGAAGTTTACGAGGAATTCAGCCAACTCTTCCTCCGTGTAGTCTCCCAGCAATCCGAAGACGCTACGCTCCTGGCAGACTTTGACGACCTGCCGGCACTTAGCCGACAGACCGCCATCAGCAACAACACCTACATCACATTTTTCGTTCGAATCTGGTGCGGGCCGTACCCAACACTTGCCCGCGCTGCTGCTCTTAATGTAGTGAAGAAGCGCTTGAGTGACGGAGATGGCAGCGAGATGGACTTCCAGGCCCTCGTTCCCTACTGTCTCGTTGCGCTCGTTGATACCTCCAAGAAGGTTCGTAAGGCTGCGGCTGAGTTGCTCATCCAACTTGGTCAAATCTTTCCTCCTCAGTCGGCCAAAAAGTCTGTGTGGGGCGGCAACAACCTCTACGATGAAAGTGCCAAGGTGCACTGGATGGATGCCGACGCGGTTTCCCGCCTTCTTCATGGTGTCATCCTCCCGTCGCTTGAAGAATGCATCATGCATGAAGAACACGTGTGCGCAATTCTGTACTCGAATCTCGACAGTAGCGCCAAGGCCGAGGGTGGCAGCGGGAAAAAGGTTCTCACTCAAGCAAACAGAACCTCCCTTCTCACTTTCTTGGCCAGTCACGTCGTAGCGACCCCTCTTCTCCGGGTCAAGTCGAGTCTTCTGTCGGTACTGAACCGCGTCAAGGGAGTGTCGTCTACTTCGAGAACGAAGGTGCTCCTCCCTGCATTCAAGTGGTGGGCATCTTTGTCTGCGGAGGAAGCTGACCGCCTTTGCACGGACGAGGAGGTTGACCAGTCAATGCTTCACACTAGATTTGCAGAGATTGTCGTTGCAAATGACAGCGAAGGACTTGACTGTCTTCTCTCGGTCTTCAAGGCACGGGAATCCGCGAAACGTCCAGAGTTGGTTGGGTCGATTTCCGCACGTATCCGTGCTATTTGGAGTTCCATGAAGGCAGACACCAAGTTTGGCGTTGCTGAGACCATGCTGGAGCTTACCAAGGCCCGCCAGGTGTCTCCTGACGACGAAGATATCATCGCCGACGAGGCCGCCGACTTCTTGAGGAATGTGGAACTCACCACCGAGATTCTGTCCTCCTTCCTCGAAGAAATTCAGAACGGTACTAAACTCATTACTGGACCACCTCCCAACAAGAGGCGCAGAACAAGCTCTTCTGAGGCCAACCGCGTCGTCAGCGCGCAAGCCAGCGCTGAACTCAGCGCAACTTTGAGGCTGGTGACTTTTGTTCTTCAGCTTGTCGACGGTTCCAACCCGGCTTCCCACCCAGAGCTCTTGGATAGCCTGTTCGGCACCCTCTCCGAGCTTCAGCACTTCCGCACTGTGATCGGATCTGAACTCGGATACCTGCAAAACCTGGTTCTCACAAGCCTGATTGCTATGGTGCCTGCCTACAGAGACAACAGGAGATTGAAAATTGACAGCTCAGGTGGACATGGCGATCTTCTTGTCAACTGCATCCAGAAGTCTTCAAGCCCGATCGTGCAGAACTCGGCTCTGCTTCTCATCGCCAGCCTAGCGACGGCTGCCCCTGATCTGGTGCTTCATAGTGTGATGCCCATTTTTACTTTCATGGGAGCCTCCGTCCTGCGCCAGAACGATGATTACTCGGCTCATGTGGTCAATCAGACTATCAAGGAGGTTGTCCCGCCTTTGATGCAGTCACTCAAGAAGGGCAAACGCAACCCAGTCGCTGGTGCCACTGAACTTCTTGCAAGCTTTGTTACCGCCTACGAGCATATCCCATCTCACCGCAAGCAAGGCTTGTTCGCTGCCCTCGTTAACACCCTTGGCCCCGACGAGTTCCTGTACGCCCTGTTGGCTATGCTGGTCGATAAGTACGGCCCTAATGATAGCTTGATGGCGTTCGCCTCAGAGCTGCTGGGCGCCTACAGCGCTGAAGTCCAGCTCCAGACTCTGGCCAAGCTATTGGACTTGATCAGTGACATTTTCAAGCCTAAGCCTGGCCTGTCGGCGACTCTGCTTGGCGTGGGCGAAGAACTGTCTGAGAAGAAACCCGAGACCACCGCACTCAAGCAGTTGACCGTTTTCCCGGCTCTTCTGTCAAGCAGGAAGCTGCGCAAAGAAGTCGGCATTCTTACGGAGAAGGACGACATGGACGCTTCCAAAATTCGGGATCTGTATGCTATTCTTCTTCGGGACGTGTTGGCTCTTGCCGAGACTGTCAAGCAGCAGAAGGCGTTGCACGAGTGCTGCGGCAACGCTCTCGCCAACCTTCTCAACTTGCTTTCCATCGGTGAATTCATCAAGTCGGTTGAGAATCTCCTGGATCGTACGGAGATCGACCTTAGGCGCAAGGTTCTCCGTGCTCTTGAGGTCCGCGTAGACCAGGAGAACGTTGCGAATGTCGCCTCTAGAAATGCTCTCCTCGCTTTCCTGCCGCAGCTTACTGCCGCCATTCGGGACACCGACGACATCAAGTACAAGCACACGGCCGTCGCTTGCATCGACAAAATTGCGGAGAAGTACGGCAAGAAGGATGTCGAGACTGTTGCTGCTGCCGCCTCAACTATTGCCGGGGTCCACTGCCTGGGTCAACCAGATCTCCGCCTTCGCGTCATGGCTCTGCTCTGCCTTGCGTCTCTTGTTGACGTTCTCCAGGATGGTATCCTCCCTGTCCTCTCTCTTGCTGTCCCCCAGGCAATCCTGTACATCCAGCAAAGCGTCGAGCAGAACGAGCCCGCTATTGAGCTGCACAACGCCGGCTACTCATTCATTGCGGCCCTGGCTCAACACTTGCCTTACATGCTCTCTGGCAAGTATCTGGACAACATCTTGCTTGCATCCAACCAATCTGCTGAGGCCGACTTGAATGGCGAGGCTAATGAAGAACGCCTCAACTGCCTCAAGCTCCTCGCCAGGAAGGTTGATGCCAAGGTCATGCTTGCTAGCTTGGAGAAGAACTGGATTCCAGCCACCGAAGCTGGCTACAATGTACGTTCTCTCGTGATATCCTGGTTGATATATTTGCTAACACTGTCTTAGGCCACCGATGAATGGGTTGACATCTTCGATTTTGTTGTAGAGAGCAACACCAAGTCCGTCATCACTAAGAACGTTACTACCCTGTCGGCAATCCTCCTCAGCGCCCTTGATCTGCGGAGAAGAGAACAAGCGACTGGCAAGCTCACGCCTTCAGCATCCCAGCGCGTGTCCAAGATCGAAGCCGCCATCAACGAGGTGGCGTTGAAGGTGATCTACAAGCTCAACGATGCAGCGTTCCGGCCCATCTTCTCACAAATCGTGGAATGGTCCACGCAGTTGCCCAAGCAAGACATCACCGGACGTGCCATGCGCCGCTTCAGCATCTATGGTTTCTTCAATGTGTTCTTCGAGAGCCTCAAGTCTATTGTCACCAACTACGCGACCTACATCGTGGATGACGCCGTCGACATCATCAGCACTTGCGACCTCAAATTGCCTGAGCAAAAGGAGCTTTGGCAGAGAGTGCTCTCAACGCTGGCAAGATGCTTCGAGCACGACCAGGACGACTTCTGGCAGGCTCCTGCCCACTTCAGCAAGGTCGCACCCGTCTTGGCCGAGCAATTCCTGCACGCTGCTTCAGTCGACCTCTCAGCCGAGCTCATCCCCGCGGTTGTGGAATTGGCCGCTGCGGCGGACTCGCAGGAGCATCAGAAGGAGCTCAACAGCTCCGTTCTTCGTCACCTACGCTCAGAACAGGCTGCGGTCCGCCTGGCGGCTGTCAAGTGTCAACAGGAGCTGGCCGGAAAGATTGGCGAGGACTGGCTGGCTGCGCTGCCCGAAATGCTGCCTTACATCAGCGAACTGCAGGACGACGACGACGAGGTAGTCGAGCGGGAGACCCACAGGTGGATCGTCAAGATCGAGAGCGTGCTCGGAGAGAGCTTGGACTCCATGTTGCAGTAATTTGGATCCAACATGGATGGAAGAATGGGAAAAGACGAGGGATGTCGGATGGACATTCGGTGTAATAGAGAATTTTGAAAGGTCATGGGAGCGTCATAATTACCTTGGACATAAAAGTGTGGGTCTCGGGGCCCGGAGTGCTCGGGACGGAGAAGGAGTCCACGAGTGGGGCTGGAGGACGTCACTCGCTCCGGCAGCAGTCACAGCTGCTGTAGATACAGCCGAAAGTCTATATTTTCAGCTTTGCGTCACCAAGCTGATAGGGATCTGTATTGTATTTAGAAGTAAGACCAAAAGAGCATGCTGTGCCACAGTACTATTTCCTTCACAACAGCCATTGTTTCCGTCCGACTGACCTGGCGCATTGACTCACCTAATTGTCCGTCTTCGGCCGCAGCCCAGCACTTTTTAACGTAAAAATTCCCCGTCCGTATTAGTTCCCTGCCCGGGCCACTTGCGCTCTTTACCAGGTCCCCGGACACCGAAAACCACTTCCGATCCATTCTCGTGCCCACATAAGCACCCAGAGAAAGGACCCCTACGGAGTCAAAACGCCAATTTGGTTTCCTGAGGTTTATATATGACATCGAGCAACTGGCCCATCGCGCGTTTGGTGGCATGATTGCAACCTCACAATGGCCTCATCGAAAGTCGCACAACAATACTGGCGGAGCCTGGCCCGGCCCGGACGAGTGGGGGCCGGAGCGCCGTTGCAAGTGTCGGTCCCGACTAATACCAGTATCGTGAAGTACCGAAACAGCACGAGCTCAAGTTTGTCGACAGGTGAGCTTCATCTTCCACGGCAAAAGTAAATACGACTAACGAATCCTAGATGACGGACGTGAAAGGGTGGTCATTCTCGGCTCAGGGTGGGCGTAAGTGTTCTCACCTCTCAATCCAGATGTTGTTTCACTAACACCGAACAGAGGGTACGCTTTTGCTCGCGAACTTGATCCCAAGAAATACGAGCGCATCCTCATCTCACCACGCTCTTACTTTGTCTTCACTCCACTTCTAGCCTCGACGTCGGTCGGTACCCTCGAGTTCCGCTCAACACTTGAACCCGTGCGCAGCCTCAATCTTGACGCCTTCCACCAAGCATGGGCGGACGACGTCGACTTCTCCCGCAAGCTCGTTCGCATCGAAAAAGTCACATCAGAAGATCCCACCTCGCGCACCTTGCCGGCAAGACCACACCAGCCCAAGGGCGAGACCATTGACGTCCCTTACGACAAGCTCGTCATCTCCGTTGGGGCCTACTCGCAGACCTTTGGTATCGAGGGTGTGAAAGAGTACGCCAACTTCTTGAGGGATATTGGCGATGCCCGAAGTATTCGTCTCAAAGTGCTGCAGCTCTTCGAGAAGGCGAGCTGGCCCACCGCGACGGACGAGCAGCGTAGAGACCTCCTCCACTTTGCTGTCGTGGGCGGAGGACCAACGGGCATTGAGTTCGCCGCCGAGCTACACGACTTGATTCATGATGATCTGTGCAAGATCTACCCTCATCTGATGGAGTTCGTCTCAATCACGATTTACGACATCGCGCCCAAGGTCCTGCCGATGTTCGACCAGGAGCTCGCGACATACGCGACGGAGCAATTCCGTCGCCAAGGCATCTCAGTGAAGACGGAGCACCACCTGCAGCGCATCCGTCCCGATGACCGCGGCGGTCTGAAGCTCAAGATCAAGGAGTACGGCGACGAAGAGATCGGTGCTGGTATCTGTGTTTGGAGTACTGGGTTGATGCAGAACCCTCTTATTCAGACTCTCGTTGCGAAGGAGCTGCGGAACCCCACAGAGGGCGATGGCGAGATGTTGCAGATCAAGAAGGCGGAGCGGAGCGGCGGCATCATCACCGACTCACGGCTCCGCGTGCGCCTCAATGATCCGGCGAACGATAAGGCGCTCCTGCCGGATGTATACGCCATGGGAGACTGTTCCATTCTCGAGAACGAGACTTTGCCGGCTACTGCGCAGGTCGCAAGCCAGCAGGTAAGATCCTCTCACCTAAAATTGAGACAAGATTGTATGCTAAGAAGTCGAAAGGCCAAGTACCTCGCCAAGACCCTGAATCGTGCCGCAAACAACAAGGAGCCTGCCCCTTTCAGTTTCCGCAACTGGGGAGCCATGACATACCTCGGTTCATGGCGCGCTATTCACCAGAGTTCTGCCGATGAGCTCAAGGGCCGGTAAGTTACCTCCGCTTTGCCCCTGCCTACGATCATAGGGGATTTCGAGGCCACGGCGTGAGTGATTGTTTGCTGATGTGACGTCAACCCAGTGCCGCATGGATTCTATGGAGAACCGCATACCTTACCAAGTCCATGAGTATCAAGAACAAGGTGCTCGTGCCTTGGTATTGGTTCATCACTTGGGTTTTCGGACGGGACATTTCTCGGTTCTAAAATACTCAGCTGCCCGCCACAATAAGCAACAAGTATTCGAGTAACTGGACTGTATCAACATTTCTTTTGTACAAGCGATAGACGGGATTAGACGAGTGAAGGCGACTTAAGACGACTGCATAGAGGGCCTGGGAAGACCTGTCCATGGGTCCCAATGTAACATACCAATCAACTGTACTATCACACAAATGGAAGGGAGAACCCGCGGAATTGATCGCGGCACATCACAAACGCCATGTGACCGATAGAAAGGCTGTTCTTTATCACACAAAAGCCAGCCAGCTCTCTCCCACGTGTCTGTCTACAGTGCGTATCCCGTACCAATAGAGGAAACTCGTACAAGGAGAGAACCTCGCAAAAGTGAATCAATGCTGGCCACTGTTTTCTAAAAGCTACTTGATTGATCATGTCTTTCTTACCTACTACCACTTACAAGCAAAAGCAACTATAAAAGAGGGAAAAGTATGAGAAAATGCCAAAAATATTCCGAAACCGAGAATCGAACTCGGGGCTATGCCTAACCACTCAAGTTCATGAGAGGGCATCATGTTGGCCACTACACCATATCGGATGTGGATATTAATTCCGGACGCTAAGATGACCAAGACCCGTTAGCTTTCCATGATGGTCCCGTAGCTGAATGCTTGATCGGGCGAGCAGGAAGGGTGCGTTCCTTAAACTAAAGACCTCGGAAGCTGTGGCACTTTGACAAGCACCTCCTTGGGCTATGGAATCATTAAATTCCCCAAGAGGAGCGAGCGAGAGGGACATTCATGAACAAGATTTCTTTCTATTAAAACACAATGCCATCCATCGTTAACTCCATTCCGTGCAAGTCAGAAATAACTACAAAACTTTTATCTTCCGATATCCCCTTTTCATCATGAGTTGACCTCGGCGAACCAAGTCCTCAACAATCCTGCCAACGCGCTGGGCAGGTCCTCCAGATTATGTACGATGAGATAGTACTGGAACGGGAACGTATCCAGATACCTCTCAATGACAACGCGGCTGTTACCGCTCTCGTCCTTGACGAACTTGGCCTCCTTGAGATCCAGCACACTATCTCCCTTCTTGTTCCCCGTGTCATCCATAACGATGAAGACGACCATGATGCGCTCTTCCATTGCCTCACGGAGCAGACGACGGATGCCGTCATGCTGGTTCGACGGAGTCAGTCCATCAGACAGAATCAACGCAAGCTGCCACAGATCCTCGGCCCCGCGGGCTGGGTTCTGCATCCTTGCCGTGCGGAAATGATCGATCGTGTTACGCACGAGGAGCTGGATGTCGGTGCGGTCTTGGCTGAAGGAGAAGTGCTGCAGAACCTTGGCACCAGCGTCGTGGGAGGCGAACGGTTCGGTGAAGTCGTGCGCCATGAAGGTGTCGGCTCCGAAGCCCAGGATGCCGACCTGGCCGACCTCCAGCATGGTGAGGGCACGCGATACCATGACGAGAGACTCGAGGGCGAGGTTGCCTGAGCTGGACTCGCCCATACTGCGACTGTCGTCAACGCAGAGCAGAATCTGGTATGAGCGCTTCGTAGGAATGGCGCGGCGCATCCAGATCTTGTCACGTTTGTAGCTCGAGGCAATGTAAGGGATGATCTTCTTGATGTTGAGGCGCTTGCCAGTGCGGTAAGAGCCTGAGAGTTTGGTGGACTGTGAAGGAGTGAGGATGAGGCGCAGTTGGGAGGTTAGAGAGAGTGACAACGGATGCGTCTTGGACTGGAAAGATGTCCACGACTGGAGAGATTCGTTGAAGTCGCGGAGAGTGCGCTCGTCGCTGATGTGGGTCGTCGAGAGTTGTTCTGACGTCTCCTCAATCACTTGCTCTTCTTCCTCGCCGTCGTCCTCCATCCTCTCGACGTCTTCTTCTGAGGGAGTGACCTCACGGTCGAAGGCGCCTTGTCTTGTCTTGACTCCAGAGCGACCGTCATCCTTGTCAGCGGCACCCTCCTTTTCTTGAGCCTCGGGTGCCTCTGTGGTATCCATCTTGTCGGGGTCTTGCTCCATGTCCACATCTTCGTTCTCCGGCATCACGCGGCTGGCGGGGTCCTCTTTCTCTTCGTCGATGGCCATGTTCTCGTCGATGGGCTGTACTTGGTCCTCAGATGCAGCACCCATGGCTTGCGTATCGGCGGCGGTCTCATCATCCTGAAGATGCTGGAACTCGCGAGCACCGAGATCGGCATCAACGTCCTGAGACTTCTTCTGCTCGCCGTCCTCCTGTTTCTCAGGATCCTTGATATCGCTTTGTTGTCGATGCCAGCGCTCCAGGGCATCGCCGAGCTTCTTGAAAGGGTCTTGTCGGTTGCTTTCCGGCGCGTCATCTTGATCTTGCTCGGTGGGCTGCGCTTGTTCGTCAGAACGAGAAAGAGCCCCCTTCTTGCCGGCGCTAGCCTTTTGTTCCGCGGCACCGTCGCCGGCCTCTCCAGCGTCCCTCTGGGCGGCGTTCTCGCTGAAATCGTTCTCGACATCCATTTGATCTGCGTCCTGGTCTTGTCCGCCGCCCTTGACATCGCTTGGGGCAGCATTTGCGTCCGTGTTGGCGTTGTCAGGAGGCTGATCTGCCTGAGACTCGGGTTGTTCGGGCTCTTTTTGGTCCTCTTCCTCCTCTGCTTGAGGGTCCATATCGGGTTCTGGTTCGCCAGCAAGATCAGCTTCTTCGGGCTCCTCCGCCTCTTCCTCTTCCTCGGGGCCCTTCTCGTCAGGTCGTTGTGTCTCCTCTTCTCCCTCCTCGACCTTGTCTTCTTGCTGCTGCTGAGGCTCCTCCTTCTCCATATCTGAAAGTTGGTCCAGATCATCTTCCTCTGATCCTTCGTCGTCTTCTCCATCTTCATTGAAGTCGAAGTCCATCTCCTCTGGCATGTTGAGAGCGTCGTTCTGCTCCACGTTCTGATCTTGCTGGATTTCCTCTTCGAACTTGACGTCTTCTTTTTCGGGACCAGCCTCATCCTCCATCTCCTCGTCGCCTTGATCAACTTCTTGCTCATCGTCGCCAGCCTCGTTCTCGTCGGCCTTGGCGTCATTGTCAGCCGCCATTTGCTCTTCCTGCTTCTTCTGGCCCTTTGCGTTCTCGCCCTTCTGGTCCTTTTCCGCCTCCTCTTCGTTTTCGCCATCCCACATCTTTTCGTCAACGGCAGTGGGATCCAAATCGTCGACATCGCCAACCTCCTCCTCCATTTCATTCTCTTCCCCATCCTTCTCCTCTCCCTCATCTTTGTCGTCCTCTTCCTCTTCACCAGCAACACTTCCCGTCTCCCCTTCCATCTCTTCGTCAGCCATGTCCACGGCATCCTTTTCATCTTCCATCTCTCTGTTTTGCTCCTTGTTCGGCTCTTGTGCGAGCTCCGTCAGGTCCTCATCAGGTTGGATGTCTTTACTGATGTCCTCTGCGCCTTCGCCGTCACCCAAACCTGTTCCAGACTCAAGCTTGCCAGAGTCTCCAGACTTCTCGTCGGACTTTTCTTGGGGTGTGCAGAAACCCTTGGCAGCGAGTTGTGAGAACGTCTTTGAAAGTTGGTAGGTCATGTGGCCTGTCGCGGTGTGCAGGTCATAGAACTGAGAGAAACACTTGCGCGCTGTGAGGGCATATTGTTGAAGAACCGGAAGGATTATTGCAAGAAGCGATGAGGCAGCAACACTTGTTCTGTGGTTCTTGAGATCGACCCTCTCTAAGGCGGATAAGCACGCCTCAATCTTGCTGACGATTGCATTGATGTGCAGAGCGCTGAGGCTAGCATTGCGAACGGCACTTGTCTTGGACAGCCACCCGACTTCCTCAGATGAGCTCGGCAAGTCAGTCATGACTTTCTTGTATCCTTGAACCGCGACCAGAACAGTGTCGCAGAGGTCGGACACCGACTCCTTGAAGTCGCGGGCATCATCTTCAAGTTGTTCATTGCCATCAGCAGACCCGGGCGTGTCAATCGCGAGCCAGGCCATGGCTTGGTCCATGACGAAGTCAAGATCCGTGTTCCGAGCGATTTCGCCATCATTCGAATGCCTGTGCCTCAAAATGTCTGCGATCTCCGATTTGACCAAGTTCTGCTTAGCTTGTCCATGCGGCGCAAACTTGTTAGGAACTGCAGCAGAGCTGTCCAAACTTTTCAAAAGTATCTCAGCCTTCTTCAAGGGTGACTGAAGAAACTCCAGGGAGACTTGGTTGTCAACGGACGCCAGCCTGCTGTGGATCTCGACCACTTTGATGCCGAACTCCAGGATAGGTTTCCACCACTTGATACTGGTTCTTTCGTCAACGCCGGAACGGTCCGCCAGCTCGAGTTGAGTGCTCTGGCTGAGGCTCTGAACAGACGCAATAACACGTTCAAGCGAGGAGACAGACTTGCGGGCGGCCGTCAAGGAGCTGTGCTGGCCTAGTACGACGGTCATCATGCCTTCCATGAAGCCGGTGCTTCGGGCGACCTCGGCACCAGTGAGCTCGCCGGAGGGTTCCCGGGCAGCGAGCCTGACCTGGGTTGCCATATCGATAACCTTGTGGAAGTAATACTCGGCGGCATCGTTGGAGTACGTTTCCAAGATATTGGAAGCTGGCATGCTCGCAAGAATGAGTGCAGTGGAGTTCTGCTTGGCCAAATCCTCCGTTCCAAGGTTGTGACGGAAGCCCATCTGCTTCAGCGCCTTCAAAACATCGGCAAAGAGATTGCGCTTCCGAGTCTTGAGGGACTTGACCAGGTCCTTGTTCTCTTCGGTCAGAGTGCCCGGAGTTTCCTTTCGCAGCTCCGCGATGGATTCGTCAAGGCTTTCGACGTATGAATTGACCTCTTGGCTAGCGTCCAGGGGGCTCTGGCTGGCTTGGGTGGTGACGCTGGCCATGATCGAAAGTGTTTTGTCAGCGTTGGACAAGCGCTTGTGCTGGGCCAGGAAACCCGGGAAACCGCTGTTGCAACTGGAAAAAGCTGCTGGATTGATCTCGGCCTCGACCTTATCTGCTGAGTCTGACTGGAGGCTGCTGGCAACTTCTTCGTCCGGAAGACCCTCATCCAAGATTGGCTTCATTGGTTGACCAAGGAGTCCGCGGAATTTCCGGACGATTCTGAAGAGTTTTTGATGAGATCTCTTGGCGCTCTCGCGCAATGCGTTGATGTTGGTGTCCTTCCAGCTAGCCAGCAGCACAATCTCCTTCATTTTCTTCTCGATGGGAGCTCTGCCCTTGAGAATTGCTTCATTGGCAACCTTCTCGAAGCGAGAGTAGAAGTCGATGAAGTTTTGAGCAGCATCACTAATGATGGACAACGAGGGGTAGTCGATGGTTAGCAGTTCCAAGTGCTTCTGCAGTTGTCTCAACAACCTAAGACGGGCGGAGAACTGGCCAATTATTGCGGTCGAGAAGTAGGTTTCTAGCTCGTTGAAAAGATTGATGGCGTGATCCTTCAACTCGGGCTTGTCAACGAGGCTGAGAGGAACGGCGATGAGGACCTGGTACGCGATGAAGAACCAGGAATCAGCGTCTTGCGAACATTTTTGGGCCTCCATGTCAAAGAGCTTCGCCCAGGTTGAAAGCTCCAGACGTCGCCAACTGATGATGGTGTCCGTCAGCGACGTGTAGAGCGCAGGCGCACCGTAGACGCTGGGGGCGTAACCTCCGTGCTGCCACTCGTAGACGATGCCGTGCAAATGCTCAAGCTTGGGCAGAATCTTGGCCAGGGGCTCTGTGTGGACGAGTTGAAGCAGCTGCTCGCAGGCGGCCAAGACGTCAGCCAGCGGCTGCATGTGGGCGATCTCGTCAACCTGCTGCAGCTCTCGGAAACGAGCTTCAACCTTGTCAACCAAAGCAACAAGACGACGAGCCTCGGGAATGTTGGCATCTATGTAAAAGTTGTAGTCGGGGCCAACGGTGTTAGCGCCAAGGGCTGCAATTTGCTCCTCGAGCGACCTCAGGGCCTGGGGGAGAATCATCTTGCTCAGGCCTTGATGCACTGCTGACTTTTGCAAGACGTCAGCAGCAGCTCCCTTGCCCACCGACTTGCAGACTTCCCGAAGTGCGTCCGAAGGGGCTACTGGGTCGAGGAACACCTTGCGGTGAGAGTCTGCGATTCTAACCGACACGTCACGGACCTTCTGACGTCCGATGGAGGGCTTCTCCTCCTGCTCATTGTCGTACGTGGGAAACAACTCATTGAACTCTTCTTCGTTCATCTCTTCCTCGTCCTCGTAGCTTCCCTTGAAGGTGTAAAGGCTTGTTCTGGCCTCCTCAGCCTTACGGTCTGCCTCAAGCTTGTTTGTCCATTCTTGGAAGAAACCGTGGACGCATTCGAAGAGCGCATCGCGAAGCTTATTGCTAAGGTTAGGCAGACCTTCGACGGATACAATCAATCCGACGTAGTCAAGGAACTCCAGAGTCTTGTTCGGGAACCTATCCAGACGGTGGTGCTGGGGACGACCACCGAGGAAGGGCGTCAGATCCATGAGAGTTGTCTCTGTGGCATGGGTCTGCATAGATGTGAGCCCGTCACTCAAAGACAGCCCGAGTTTCAAGCAACCAAGGATGTTCACGAGAGGTCGCGTCATGTCTTGGTAAGCATTGAAACGGTTCGCAAGGCGGTCGATCATCAGAGCCAAGTTCTGCTTGATGAGGTCAATCTCCTGTTTGGCCTCGACGGAACCTCCCAGTGCGAATCTGGAGTGAACAGCTCCTAAATCTTGGTTGATGATCATTTTGAGAACATTGTTGAACTCGGTCTGGACCTGACTGAGCTCTGAACGGGGCGGTCTGTATAGCAGCTGGGTGGGGGCCGGTGCTGGGCCAAGTGCTTTGACATCTTCCTGTGCCATTTGAATGCGGATAGAAGTTTCTTGTCCGGTGAAATGAGATTCAAAGTCCATGAGAGAAGACAACTTGTGCTGGAGTTCTCTTGTCAGCTCGTCATGAACATCCTTCTCAAACTGAGGTCGCAGCTGTGGATCGAAAGACTTGTCAGGAACATAAAGCTTGATGGCGCCAATGGAGAACTGAACCCAAGCGATCGAAGAGTAAGCAGCCACTTCGTGAGCATTCTCGAGATAGCCATCGTAGTGCCCACCAATAGTATCGGAGACTGCAAGAGCAACCGTTCCGGGAATCAAATGGTCCTGTGCGGTTTGAACAAGGTGAGCGGGCCATCCTCCGGGGAGAGTTTGGCCAAAGTGGGCGGCCAGTTGCTCAAGTCTTTGAGACGTGATCGCTTTCTGCTTGACGGCTTCTGCAACCTGCTCGTAAATTCTGTTCAGCAACTGCTCTTCGTCATGCCCATGAACTGCGAAAACAGTTGCAATCAGCGCGTTGAGAGCCTTGTTGAGGGCAAGTATCTGGTTGCTAGCCAGAGCTGGAACCAACGAAGCAACAGAACGTCCCAAAGCCGGAAGTTCGGTCTCGAGCAGCCCCAAGGAGCGCAGGCTAGTGTTTGGAAGAGAGCCGAGTTTTGACAATAGTGACATGACAAACTTGCCGTTCCAAACATAGGCGTTGACATCCTCGGAAGCAAGAAGACCGATTGTCAGAGACCGTGCCTCCTTTTCGCCGAAGCTGCCGGCGCGGATCTGGTCGATGGTTTGCTGGTTTGACAAAACCACAAGGTCAGACTCGCTAGCGTTCAACTGCCGGCGGTCGGAATTCTGGGACTCAAGAACGGAGGCTTGTCTGAGAGTTTCGAACTCTGATGCGAAGAACGGCTTGACTGCACTAGACTCTGAGCCCAGCTTGGTCTCAAGAAGCTCAATCTCCTTTGTAAGGTCGGCTATTAGCTCGGTGGCATCGGCACTGCTCTTTCGCACGATCCCGTCCGCAGTGACGAGCGTACTCATTGCTCTGGCGAGGTCAGAAACGGATGCCTTGACTCTCCATTTGAGCTCGTCCAGTCGGATTCCAAGACGCTCAATTTCTTGGCTCTTGTTGAGGGTCTCTGCGCTCATGATGGGAATTGGCTTGAAATGCTTCCACAGAACTTCCATGCTCAGTCCGGTGGTGAGGCGGAAACCGGTCGTGAAGTCATCTTCCAGAGTTTGTAGATAAACATCAGCGAGCTGTCGGCTGATGGTTTCCGTCGTAGGCGAAATCAAGCTCTGCACAGATTCAACCCCGTGGACGAGGTGCGCTAGGAAACGCGCTTCCTCGAATGCGTTCTGGGACGTGAGACTGATAGTGCGCCACCAGAAGTCAAGCATCTTTCGAATCACCCGAGCACGCTCCTGCCAGCCGCGGGCGGTATTCAAGTTGGCCTGGATGAATGCCCTGATGTTTTGGAGAGTCTTCAAAAGGAACTTGTAGACTCTCACGGTTGAATCTTTTGCGACAGCCGCGATGCGATCCGAGACAATAGACCGTTGCAAACGGTTCAGGGAGGCCAGTTTCGCTGCCTTTGCTTTATTGGCTTGAGAAGTAATGGCAAATTGGCCGCGTTGGATCTCCAGCAAGAAGTCGTAGCAAACAGAAAGCCAGTAAGCCAACTCGTCGTTGTGGCAATGCAGGATGCGGACTATAGCAGCATTGTGGACCGGGTTAAGAGGCTAGAGAGAGCATTGTCAGTCAACTACATCTTGCAATGAGATACGTCATCTTACCTGGGCACTTTGAAGGCCAGAATAATGGCTGTGGAGGGTGCCGTAGAGATTGGAGACAGCTTGCTTGAGACCGCCCGTTTCTGACGCATTGAGGTATGTGAGTTGCTCTTTCAAACTGTCTTGGTACTTCTCGAGTGAAGCTGGAGGCAGGTCTACGAGGCCTCGGTTGATCGACAGAGAGAATCTCTCCATGAGTGCTGTGTCTCTAATTGACAAGTTCTCGAGAGTGATACTCGCCACGTCAGAAGCGGCATTCTGGGCTAGAACTGCAGTTGAGATGTCTCCCGAAGAAGAGAACCTTTGCAGGCTACTCTCCACGTGGACAATGGAGGTATGAGTTGTTGAATCCTGTGCGTTTCGCTCGCTGAGATGGATCTCAACGGCTCTGTTTCTCATGGCCCGCGACAGCTCACCGTAGCGTGGGTCAACTGTGAGGAAGATCCGGAAATCTTTGTGCGGTCTGATGATACGAGGCTCTCCGTTGGGTCCGCAGTGCTCGTTGATGCTCAAGAAACCATTCGGCTCGAGGAGGGAGTTCAGTCTGTCCAAGACGGAGGCATTGCAGAGGTTTGCATTGTCTAGAACAAGCCATTGGCCAGTTTCGAGCGCCTTGACAATGACTCCGTCAAGCCATTCGAAGCGGGGGTTGCTGACGATCAACGGTCTTTGTAGAACGTCGTGAGTACTTGACAGAAGAAGACCAATCCCTGACCCTCTGGAATCTTCAGCGAGTACAGCGAGCACATCTTCGACAGAAGAAGTGATAGCGGCAAGGGAGTTGACATCGCCACGGAAAGACTCTAGCAGATGCAGCAAGAGAAGGACCTGCGGTGGAACCTGGCCAGGTACAAGGGTCAAGATCGTAGTCTGTAAGCCTTCATAGAGCTCCCGCAATGCAGCGTTGACTTCGCGAAGAGGATCTGACTGCTCGAAACCACCAACGAGATCCATCGTGTCAATATCAGCGTTCAGTGGGAAGACAACAAGGGGCTTGCCGACAAGAGCGGCGACGTGCTCGAGTAAGACCGACTTGCCGCTACCTGAGGGGCCGCTGAGAATGCATGGGATGTCCTGCTTGATGCAGACCATGATGGACTCGATTTCCGAAAGCCGGGACACGATATCGATGCCAGGAAGCGACACGGGCTGCAGTGTCTGGTTTCTTGGAAGGAGAGCGTGTCCGACCTGGCAGAAGGCGGCGTTGACATCGTGATACAGACTGTGGCTATCGGGGCCTCTGTTGAAGACTTGGCTGAAGAGCTTATTCACCTCCTCGCGATCCAGGGCAGAGCGGAATCGCTGTCGAATGATGAGGTCGAGGAAGTCGTCAGGTTTGCCCGTAGCGAGCACAGGATCTGAGGTGGCCACAAGATGCAACCATCGAAGAATATCTCTCAGGTTAAACTCCCAGGGACTGCCGTGAGAGCCGAAAGACTTTTCGACAGCAACCTGATAATCCAAGCGAGAGATGAATTGAATGACTCCACTAACAACTTCGGTAGGGATGCTGGGGAAGTTGTGTTGCGCAATGAGGAGAAGATCTTCTGCTGTGAAAGTGTCGGCGTACACGACGATGAATCTGTTTACGAAGGAACTGGGGAGACCCTTTCGACCGCCTCCCTGGTGGTGAGGGTTCTGCGCAGCGAATAGTCGGAAATCAGGGTGGCGCTTGAAAACCTGGTCAAGCTCGGAGATATACACCTCGCCACGGTGATCAAGACAGGCGTTCAAACCTTCTAGAACAGACTGGGAAGCCAAGTTCATTTCGTCAAGCAACACCCATTCGCCATTCTGCATGGCTTGCAAGAACGGAGCATCACGCCAGGCAAAGTTACCGGCTTCTGCGCCCTCAACTGGCATGTCGGTACCAAAAAGATCCATAAGGTCAGTCTGGTCAGACAGGTTGATTCTCGTCAGGGGGCGCCCGCACACGCGAGCTAGGGCGGCAACGAGAGTTGTCTTGCCAACACCGGGGCTACCTTCCAATAGGATCGGCTTTCGCATTTGAAGCGAGCGCATCACTCTCATGGCGTTGAGTCTTGTGGTCGGGGCATTGAATGCAAAGCTGGGGTCTGACATTCGGCTGGCTTCTCTGGGTAGACCGAAGTCGCCAACAGACAGACGGTCATCAGTCAAAACCACTTCAGGCTGTGCTCGATAGATGGAAGTGGTGTCGTAACCAAGCAGCTCGCTAAGCTTATCCAGACATTTCTGCCTTTGCGAGTCGAGAGCCTTCGGGTCCATGGCCAACAAAGCAGAAGGGTTGGCGCCCAGACTGTCGATGAAGACAGTGGCAGCACCATGAACGACCGCGAATTGAGAAGCCGCAGGACCGCACAGGTTGATGAAGTTGACCCAAATGAGGATGTCGCGGATTGAAAAGGCTGTCGACGACGATGACCTGAAGGTCTGTCCGAACCAATGTGCGAACTGTACCACTGGAACACCGAAAGACTTGAAGGCGGGACCAAGCTTGGAAAGAACGATGTCCAGCATGTCGTCGGTCTCGGACATGGCCGGCACCCAGATCTCAGTGAAACGGTTCCTCAACGCTGGGGACAGTTCTTTCTTGCCAAAGTCACCACCTGGGTTCATGGTAGCGAAGAATTGGAAACCATCCGCTCCAACGACGAATGAGTTGTCAATTCCCTTCTCAGCTAAGAGCAGAGACCGTCCGGGTTCAAGAACGGAGTTCAATCGCTCCAACACGGAATCGTCAGCGAGAGAAATTTCGTCAAGCAGGAAGAACTGCCCAGATTTCATGGCGTGAACGAGGCTACCGTCAGACCATTCGAAGAGCGCCTTGCTCTTGGTCTCCAAAGTTGAGATTCTTTCCTGGGTCGCAGCATCAATCTCGGCGAGAGCCTCAGGCAAAAGACCGCGATACCGAGGGAGAAGGTCGTCCAATGAACCAGTCGCGTCTTCGCCGAGGAGGCTAAGAACAGAGCTGAGTTCAGTTTTCAGAGAATCGGCGATTGCACCACGGTTCCTCACGGGTCTCTGAGAACCGATAAGATCTCCCGTCTCAGTGTTCTGATGGGCGTTGACGATATGCAGCTCCTTCCCAAGTACCTCTGCGAGAATCTGACAGACGGTAGTTTTGCCGCAACCAGTTTCACCCACGAGAAGAACAGGCTCATTGTTGCGAATGGCAGTGTCGACCAGCACATAAAGACGACGCATCGCGCGGGTCCAGACGACGCCATGGTTGTTGGGCATCGCTTGAATCTTGCTCAAGATGGGCGACTGGTCGGCCGTGTAAAGGACATCCGGGTCAATCTTGACTTTGAAGATGGTCTCGATGACCTCTCTGACAGCAGTTCTCTCCTCTTCAACACGGACTCGCTCAGCCAGAAGCATGAAGCCGTTGATAGCGATTTGCTCGCGCGTGTCAGCATTACGCTGAGCCCATCGAAAGAGGTCGCGAAGCGTGGCGAAACTGTCCTTCTGCTCGAATAGACGGCTTGTTTGACGCAGACGAGAGAGCTCTTTGTAGACAGAGACAATGCGTTTGCAGTCTGAAGGCGCGGTGTTGATGCTTCTCTTTTGCAGGATAAACTCCAGTTCGTCCTCGGGGATGTCGTCAAAGTGCAACTCCAGGAAACGGTTGCGGAACGCACGCGAAAGCACCTTTCGACCACCGTATAGGCCCGGTGGGTTCTGTGTGGCGAACAGCATGAAGTTCTCATGCGGCCTGACGACTTCTTGAGTCTCCGGGATCAGGAGTTCTCTGTTGTCATCCAAAAGTCTGTTCAGAGCCTCAAGAACATCCGTAGGTGCAAGGTTCAGCTCGTCCAGAACGATCCAGTGACCTTGTCGCATGGCCTGCACCAGCAATCCCTCTTGAAAACGGAGTCGTCCCGTTGAGTCCGACACATATGTACCCAAATATTCTTGCAGATCCGTGTGCTCGTGATTGTTGATGCGCACAAACTTGTTGCCAGTGAAGTTGGACAGGTACTCGATCATACTTGTCTTTCCTGCTGACGTGGGACCTTGAATGAGAATGGGAAAGCGTCGCGTGGAAGTCGCTCTGACAAGATTAAGCAGATTCCGTTCTACATAAGGTGTGATGATGTAGTCCGATCGTTCTTGGGGGGTTTCTTCTCCCTGTGCTAGCCAATAATGACGATCTTTTGCCTTATTTCGGAAGCGCACATACTTCTTACCATCATCAGGCTGTTTTGGAGGCTGAGAAAGTAGCGATTGCTGGTTTGGGACGCGGCCAAAAAGACGATGGTCGATCAAAGGCACCAGCAGCTTCTCCGAATCTCTGTCGAGGAGAGTGAGGAAGCCCATGGAGAATCCTTCGTACAAGGCTCGACGGAGACCGTAGAAAGGGGCGATATAGTTGACGTAAGTCAAGACGCGGGTGAGCGTCCGAAGACTGAAATGCGGCACCTCATTAGCCCCATCGACAAGGCGCTTTTCCTCGGCGCGAAGCTTCGTATCGATGTATAGTCTTGCGATGTCGTCGGCAGCCTGTTCGTCTTTGGCGCTGCTGCTCTTCAAGTACGTCTTCACGATGGTGAGCAGGTCCTTGACATCCTTGTCAGGGCTGTCAACGTAAAGCTCAGTAAACCGAGACCGAATGCCAATGGGAAGATCACGCTTGCCCACATCTGTCGCCGGGTTCATCGCACCGAAAATTCGGAAATTCGGGTGTGCTCTTATCCGCTCAATCTCACCCGTCTCGGAGAGCAGAATGGAAGGCGTGTCGACTGGTCCCGTCAGGAGGTCCGCGATGCTCTCCAGAGTGTCAGGGGAAGCAAGGTTGATTTCGTCAAGCAACACCCAGTCACCATTTCGGGCAGCCTTCACGATGTTGCCTTCGACGAAAGAGAATGCAAACGCATTCGCACCCCCGGAAAGCTGCACCTCGAACTGATCAAGGCTGCGAGAAAACTGATCCCACCTCGGGCTTAGTTCGAGAAGGGTCTGAAGTTTGGATTCGGTCTTGCGGCGCTTCATCGGTTGAGTCCCCTCTTCCACAGTCTCGGTCTTCTCTCTTTCTCGCCGAGTCAACTCCTCAATGATTTTCTTGAACATCTTGGGAGCTTCACGCCACAACTTGGCAACTTTTGCCCACTGGCCCTTCGCAAAGCACTTCCCAAGCTGTTCCAGATATCGTTGGTTCTTGGTCTGTGAGATGCCAGTGGCAGAGAACAGATCTTCGAACTCTTCTTTCAGGGGTACAGCAAGAGTTCGGACGTTGACAGGTTTGAAGCCACCGAGAAGGTCCCCAGCCTCGCTTTGCTGGGACAAGTTAATCGCAACGAGTTTGTGTCCCAGTGTGTCAGCCAACTGCTGAATAACCGTCGTCTTTCCGATACCAGTCTCACCAACGAGCAAGATCGGCTCGCCAAGATTCACCGCTACTGCAGCTTGTTCCAGTAACTTCTTCGCATGCGTCGTGCTGGCGAATGGCCTCTTGGCGAGGGCAGCCTTGTTAACACGGTCTTTCCGTTTCCTCAATGTCGCCCGGCCAATCTTGAACTGGGTCTCGCTTTGTTCCAGCTGGGGGATGTAAGATTCGAGGGAATGCTCCACCAACTCCTTGGCCATACGCATCTCCTCGGCGATGGCAAAAATAAGGTGTCTCTTCGCCTGAACATCGGGGATGCCTGCCACAAAGCAGTCGATCGCCTCCATGAACATCCAGTTCAGAGTCGTCTCGCTAATGGGCTCGTCGCCAGTACTGCAAGCCGCAGCGGTAAGTGTAGCTGTAAGGCGCCGACACCATCTGAGAAGATCCCGCAAGCTAGCCTGGCGGTCGGCCATGCCACGACTGGACGAGAAGGGCATGTTTCCGGAAGATGGCTTCGATAGTCGTCGATAAACAGACAGGATTCCGGGGGCAAACTTATGAAGTATGGGATGCGATCCTATGATGATGTCCTGCAACTCGGTCTCTGTGGGAGTCTGCACCGAAACAAGTTGCCAAAATCGAAGACCTAGAAGATTAGGGAGCGTTTCTCGGCCGTGCATACCACGAGAGGTTCTGACTGTGCCGAGGAGACGGAATCCGCTCGCAGCCTTGATGCGCTCTCCTCTGCTCGGGATGAGGAGCTCGCCACGCTCAATAAGAGGAAGCAGGGTGCTGATGACTTCGTTCGGCGCTCTGTCGAGATCCTCGATGAGAACCCATCTGCCTTCCCTTACCGCGGTTGTGAGAACACCTGCCCTCCACGAAAACGTTCCTGGTTTTGAGTCCGTCGAATAAAGTCCGATGAGCATCTTGGCGTCCGTCTGCTCATTGATATGTAATGTCACCATCTCGGAATGCTTTCCAAATTCCTTGGCAACTTCGTGAACCAGCGAGGTCTTTCCAGACCCTGGGAGTCCATGCAGCAAAATGGGACTGGCATTCTTCAAGAGACCGGCCAAAGTCTCGAGGTTTTGTGTTGTTGTGGAGGTCAGCACGAGAGATGAACTCTTCTCGACCGGACCGGATGGTCGCGGCAAAATTGTGTTGCCATAGCACGCAACAAAAGGGGTCAGATTCTGCGGTGGAACGGCTTGGATTTGATTGCTCTGGGAAGAAGCGTCGCCCAGCTCGAGGCGCAGGGCCGCAGTCTTCTTGATCCGTGCATCCTCATACAGACTTAAGAACCCATAGTCTACCTCACGCCCGTCAAAGTCAGCGAGAATAGCCTCTTTCGTTCCGACGTGCTCGCTGATGAGAGCTTCCAGTTTCGAGTCGGCTGCGCGGAGAATCTGTGTGAAAATGCGGATCGCCATGTATCGGACGGCATGGCTCTCATGAGAAAAGAGGGTTTGCATGTGAGTGGGCGAGACGAGGATGCTGTAGGTCCTCTGGTCGAAACAGACCAGTCTCCATGATGCAAGCAGTAAGCTCAAGAGGTCGGGGCTCTGAGTAGGAGTGAAAGTGGTGAGGTCGGGAAATCGGATGCTGAGAGTCTGTGGTCCTGGCGGCGGCGTTTTGGTCAAGTCCTCACTCATGACCTGCTGCAGGAATTCCGATAAATAAGGCGCAAACGGCAGTATCCTTGCGAGAGCTGCAATGACGGCTCCATTTCGTGTTGTGTTTCTGGGGTTGAGCAGCCATCGTGCGCAGATGTCGGGAAAAACATTCTCGAAATGGATGAAAATTCGATCTGTAAGTTGGGGAATGAGAGCCGCCTCGGCGATGGCGTCGAGGAGGTTTGAGGCCGTATGATTTCTGATAACCTCAATGATTTCGGTGGGTAGTTGTTCCAGAATAATCGCGTCGTTCAGGAGAGCGCTCCTTTGCGAAGAGACGTCTATCGTAGCCATAGTTGCGGCTCAATCCCAAGATATGTCGTTTGCGATGTTCATGGGCGGCTGGTTCGCATGTACTTTTTTTTTTCTTTCCTCTCTAAGGACCCTTCGCCCCAGCAAACGGCAACTTTTTTTTTTAGTGGTGACGGGACAGGGATCCCAGAGAAGTCCCGGGGCGGAAAGCGGCGCTACAAAGCCCCGAGCCAATCAAAGCGGGGGCGACTCTGCACCTTTCACGCGACTGGACATTCGAGCTCGAAAAACTTCATAGCGAGAGAGAATCCCATTTTGGAACCTCCCTGCGTGCTGTGAAGGCCGAACCGACGACCCATTCCACTCCTCAACACGCCCCGGCCCCCCGCCTCGTCAACGACGGCCCAATTGACCTCCTTCCGGATCAGAACTCTTAGCAATGGCGCTTTCCTGCAGATACGCAGCCCAGAGCTGCGCCCGCCAGCTCCGTGCCAGCGGCTCGCTTCGTGCATCGACGACCCTCTTCCAGACCCGTACTCCCACAACCGCCAGGAGGCACAACTCGACCGAGGCCGCGGCAGCTCCGACAAACCCCAAGATCGCCGCCATTGTCGACCAGATCAGCACCCTTACCCTCCTCGAGACCGCCGACCTCGTTTCAAGCTTGAAGGTGAGTTAAATAAAAGCGGATGGGTGGATTGCGCCGCCTAATTCGGTCGCCGAGAGGGGAACGGGTCGATGCTGATGATACACCTCAACGCAGACCAAGCTCAACATCCCCGATCTCCCCGTTGGTGGCTTCGCCGCCGCCGCTCCCGCAGCAGCCCCCGCCGCGGCTGAGGAGGCCGAGGAGGCCGCACCGGCCGCCGCCGAGAAGAGTGTCTTCAACATCAAGCTCACTGCATTCGACGCCGGTGCCAAGGCCAAGGTCATCAAGGAGGTCAAGAACTTGTTGGGTCTCAGCTTGGTGGACAGCAAGAAGTTCGTCGAGAGTGCGCCAAAGCTGATGAAGGAGAACGTGGCGAAGGACGAGGCCGAGAAGATCATTGCCACGATGAAGGAGCTCGGCGCCACCGTCGTTATGGAGTAAATCTTGCCCGTTTGCAATGGCTGGCTAGGCTGCGTGGACTAGAACGACTATTACCCTGATGGAGGGGAAGACAACACACGGGGGCATCTTTGTTGTCAGATATCTGGATCGAATTGGTCTAGACGATACGTGTATGAGTGTACAAACACCCATGTAACAATATTATAAAGACATACACCACCATTTCCTGTGCCAAATTGTTCGCTTGAAATGATATTCCTGTGGCGTGCCGAAAGCTATGCAACCTGAAAACTACTGTAACCCTCAAAAACCACCTCGCCCAATGGTATACAGCCTTACCAAAACCAACCCTCCCGACGCCTTTTTGTTACCCAAAACGCCCAGATATGTACACGAGAGATTCGCATGACCCGAGACCTAGTGCTTTTTGCCATTCGTGATGCGGGTGCTGGCAGGACCGGCTGGCGGGCGAGGTGCGCATTGATGCTCCATGGCCTGGCGCCATTCGCCAAGCTCCTCCTCACCGAGGATACGGTCGTCATCGCCCAGATCGCTCGTCTCCTCCCAGATCTTGTCGGTCTCCGCCCCAGACTGCGATGGGATGGCCCATATACTCTCACGCAGCCTCTTGTGACGCTCACGGTCTTCCTCGATGCGTTGCTCGATTTGGCGTTTTTCCGGCCGTGGTCCCCTGCCGTTACTTGGTATGACTTGGCTGGGGGGCGCGTCGCCCATATCAATGTCCCCGTTGACCGGCGACGACAAGCCAGCGTCGCGGGCGCTTGTCTCGCGCTCTCTCAAAACCTCCTCAATCTCTGTGACGGTCTGGGCTTGCAAGAATTGTTTCTGCTGAAGACCTTGGAGAACCTGCATCATGTAAGCATACCGCTTAGTATGAGACAGCCGGGGAGTACTCACTCTTCTGACGACCTTCACATTGGCGGCGCCAGACCCATCATCCGGCGCAACCGCATCAACCACGCGAATGATGTCGCGCTGCATCATACGCACGTAGTCTACGTGGTTGTCCTTTTGCGCCATCTCAAGAAAATGCTCAATGAAGTACATGATGTTGGCCCGGGTGTTCATATTGTTCTGGGCCGTTGTTAACATCCATATCGTGTTCATCCGCGTGAACGGGACTCACCCCGCGTTCTAACTGCTCGACAATGCACGAGTGTAAATCCTCGTCCATATCCTTGTACTTGAGAGCATATTGAGCGGCCTTCTGAGCAGACGTGACCGAAGCGTTGAGATGCTGTAGCTGGTGCGTGAAGCGCATTCGAACCTCGAAAGGATCCGCCATCTCCGCTGCGCTTTCAAACCCTTCCCCTAAATGATGTTCACTTCCGTCGAAAGGGGAGAAGGGGAGGGGTGGTAGTTCGAGACGGGGTTGAAGGTCGTCGATTTCGTTGATGCCGGGGTTGAAGCTGGCAAGGCTTGGTTGCTGCTCAGAGGTCTCTGCCGTTACTGGACCAGCAGCATTTGGATTTCTCACAGGGAGTCCCTGTGGAACCTTCATTTTTCTGTCGTTGACACTGTGCAAATGAAGGTTGGGAAGCACTAAGCGAAATTCGGGTTAGCGTCTAAGCGTCCGGAAAATGATCGCTCAGTGGATGATATGGACGATATCGGAACAGTGGAGTCAAGTAAAAGGAGGTGAATAATATTTCTTTAAATGTGTATGTTGGGCATCCAGAGCCTGAGAGATCATTTATATGCCATTGAAGAACAAGTCTCGCTTTCAGCTTGATACGGGCCACTTACCATAAGACGAGTTGTTTGACAGCAACAATCTGAAGTTTGCCTCTTTCAACAGTAGCTAAAAACTCACTTACAACTCTCACTTGCATCTCATAACCTATCTCGTCATGCCCTCATCTCACGCCCTGACTGTCTACGATGGCGGTGCTTCCTCCTCGGAGGAGCTCACATTAACCGTTCTTGGATGCGGTAAGTTCGGTCAAAATTCCAAAATCCTCGTCTTTTTTTTTCTAGGGGCGGTTGTGTTCTTTCTCATGCCAGGTGAAATCCTGCGCTAGTGCAGTGTGAATGCGGTGAGATGGAACGGAAGGCGACGAAAGCTCTGAATGATATGCTTTCATAGAGTCATCTGAGGAACTTAGGGGAATACATGTGGAAAACAGACGGAAAACGCATAACACAATGTTCAGACGCTGCCCAGATACCCAACAACACGACCTGATGGCAAGCAAAACCTGTAAACAAAGTGTAACTAACATTCTCAACAGGTACCATGGGTATCGCGATCCTAAACGGGATCCTTTCTTCCCTCCAGGAATTGGCGGCCCCCAAGCCCCTTCAGACTCCGTCGGGATCTGGCACATCCACCCCTCACTACGATGAAGTCCCCCGCCGCCTGCCCTCCCGCTTTATCGCCTGCGTCCGCCGACCGGAGAGCGCAAAGAAGGTGAAGAAGGCCCTGTGGGAGCACTCCTCCGTCCTCAAAGTCGTCCAGAACGAGAACATCCCCTCGGTACTCAAGTCGGACGTCATCCTTCTCGCTTGCAAGGGTTACATGGTCAAGGACATCCTCAGCGAGCCTGGCATGGCCCGCGCCTTGCACGGCAAGCTCCTCATCTCCATCTGCGCGGGCGTCACCGAGGCGGACATGGAGGAGATCCTCCACGGTGTGGCCCCCACCAAGAGCCCGGCGGAGGACGGCCGTTGCCACGTTCTCCGGGCCGTGCCGAACACCGCCTCCCTCATCCGCGAGAGTATGACCGTCATCGGCGCTTCGACGTGGCCACTGCCCGCTGAGATGTCAACCCTGGTCACCTGGATCTTCAGGCGCATTGGTGACGTGGTGTACCTGCCTCACAACACGATGGACGCCAGCACCGCGCTGTGTGGTTCCGGCCCGGCTTTCTTTTCTCTCATGCTCGAGGCCGCCATTGACGGAGCTGTGGCCATGGGTCTTCCTCGTGACGAAGCTACGAGGATGGCCGCCCAGACCATGAGAGGTACCGCGGGACTTGTTCTGAATGGCGACCACCCCGCTCTTCTGCGTGACAGAGTCACTACCCCCGGAGGCTGCACCATCGGCGGGTTGCTGGTGCTCGAGGAGGGCCGTGTGAGAGGTACCATTGCGCGTGCGGTGCGTGAGTCGACTACTGTTGCGAGCCAGCTTGGCCAGGGTGTCCAGGGTGCCAATGGCACACGCTTCACCAGGCAATCGGGCTTCTAGATCACTCAGTTTTTAAGACCAAAGTGTAGATAGAAAGAGCAGGCAGCAAACGTATTTGCCGGCCGCGCTCGATACTTGTAAATGAGAAGCCGGCCATGAACTGACTGCCTATGAAAATCGTGGTATCAACCGGGCAGAGGCCTAAAAAGAATTACAGCATAGACTCAATGACAACCCTTAACTCCGGTTTCCTGACCCTACCCTGTCCGTGACAACCTATTGATGTTTCCGAACATCTTAGGCGTCCTCAACCCTAGCCTTTTTGGCAGAGCCCTGCTCTTCACCGTCATCAACTGACTTCCTCTTGCTGCCGAAATCCGAGTTAACAGCACCGACTTGGTGCTTCTCCCAGCGCGAATGCCAATCCAGCAGTCTGGCATACTCGAGTTCGACACTGCGGAGGGCTTCGTTCAACTTATCAGCCCGCTCGGCAGCGTCCAGTTGGCTGAGGACATCGGCATTCTGGCGGTAGATTCTCTGTTTGGCAAACAGCCTCCAGAGACGGTATTGGTGCCTGTCCTCCTTGGTGGGCAGCGGCTTCTTGTCCTCGCTCAGCGAAGCTTTAACTGACTCCGGAAGCTGAGACATCGTCTGCATCTCGACCAGTCTCTTAAACTGGCGTTCTACAATCTTGGTCTTCTGCCGAAGGCGGTCGCGCAGCTCTGGGTCCACCAGATCCTTGGGCACGGTGCCAGTCGGGGGGTTCGGTAGAGAAATGCTGGTGTTGATCTTGATGCCCTTGAACTCGGGCAATGAACGAAGGAATGTCAAGTCGCAAAGATCTCTCATGTCGTCGAACGCCTCGTTGGGGTCCTCAACCGTCAACTCGAAAGTCTGAGGGTCGTCGAGATAATGCTTGAAAATCGTGCTGTACAGGCGAGCACCGATCCCCTTGCCCTGGAATGGCGGCAAGATCAAGAACTGGGAAAGACGAGAGCGACAATGCAACTTTTTCATCAGGTCAAACTCTTCCTTCGGGAGGTCCCATTCGGTCGACGCCGGCGGCTGAGGGCGGAACGAGAAGAACTTGTAGACAGTCGAGTAGCCGACGAAGGTGTAGGAGGGTTTCTCGGGGGTCTCGCCGGACTTCTGCTTGCGGTAGAGGAAGTAGACAGTCCACCGGTTGGCATCTTCGGGCTCCTTCCAGGGGTCCTCGGTGTTCTCCAAGTCGCGCGCAATGTACGATCCACCTTCAATAAACATGGGAACCAGAATCTCGATGCGGTTGACAATTTGCCTCACAGCCGGGTCGGCCAGGCTGCCCTGCCACACCTCGTATGTACCGTCGTCGCCTTCGAAGCTTGAGTGAAGGTTACCGGGAGGAACGAAATCGTCAGGCTGGCTCTGGGCGCGGCTCTCGAACTCTTTGTTGGATTGGAAAGCGACTGCAAAATGTGAGCAAATGCTCCTTATGGCGCGTATTCGTCAGCGCGGCGAATAATCATGAGTGTGACTTACCTCCAGGGAGATGCTCTCTCAAGATTCCGTCGACGTCCGCAGCCTCGGTCTCTCCGACAGACAGAAACTTCTTGTCATATGAAACCTTGACATGGGGGCACATGTTGTATGAGAGGTATCGCAGGTTGATCTTGAGGCCCTTGAACCCAAAGATCCGCTCATCGTCGCCAAAGATCGAGTACGTGAACTTGGGGTTGAAGGATCCGATAGCTTTGGTCGCTCCAGCTGCAGGGGCGATCAGGCTGATCGTGACAGCCTCGGTGGCATTCGCCGACCCTGTAAGAGAGATGTCAGTGCAACGCGATAATATGAAGCTGAATTTGGAAGGACGTACATTCATCAGATTCGGCCATTGTGTCGTTCACTGCGCTGGCACCGCCGCGGGAGCTGTGAAATTATTCGCACTTGCCGAGGATACAGTGTAAACGCGAGCCAAGTCGTATTTTCAGAACGAAGAAGCGAAGATGATATGTTTTCGCGAGAAGGTTCGCCGCACAAAGGAAGCAGTGTGGGTGTCGTTGGTCGGACCAAGCTTACAGCTACGATTTGCGACGGGCTGACGCGCAGTTTCGCGACGCGACTAATTGAACGGCACATGCATTTAAAAGGGTTTTAGGCGGGCCCTCCGCTGTCAGTGTCTCGGGGCGCTAGTGTAGGCCGGCTTGAAATAGCTCTGCGGCCCTCGCAGACGGCAGGAGGTGCGGGACCCACCCGCATTACGACATGTGGTGACAAGGCAGGAGCAGGAGCGGCGGACCCGGGAAAGACACAAACGAGCCCCGGCCAATGGCCAATGGATTGCGCCAGGTGCTGAGCCAGCCAGTGAGCCCAGCCCAGCTTACCTAGCTTCGGAACCAACCTCGACGATTATCCCTTCGCAAGCTGGGAGCCGATGAGAGACAAGCCAGAAAAAAAAGTGTCGAACGACGAATTCCACCTCTCCTCTCTCTCTCTCCCTCCCCCCCCATTGAGCAGCAGGCAAGCAGGGTGGCCGTCGATTCTGGTATCAGAAATGTTGGCGTGATCCAAAGCTTGCGACAATCCATCCTACGCCTTTACACGCGCCTTACACGCGCCGAATTGATTCGACGCATCCTATTCAAAAATGGGAGGGTTGCTGTTGCTGCTCTTGTTGAGCGTAAGTCCTTATCTGCTGGCCAGCTTAGCGTCGGCCGGCTACCATGAACACCGCCCACGATGAATGCTATGCTAACGCAAGCCGCGACGACAGACGGTGATGGCCCTGGCGTACGTAGCCCCGCGATGAGATCGACATCTCCTGTTGAACCAACCGCCATCGGCCCCGAACGACCCATACTGATGTGAATCGCTAGGTCCTTCTTCGCCGGTTCACTACCTCTCGCCATCTCCCTGACACAATCACAACTCCGATTCATATCCAGCGTAGGCGTGGGCATTCTAGTCGGGACCTCAATGATTGTAATCATACCCGAAGGCATTGAAGCGGTCTCGACCACAGGAGGGCACCAGCATGATAAGAGAAGCTTGGCTGCAGCGGCAGGCAAGCAAGGGAGGCTCGACGTGCGATGGACGACGGGCGATGATATACCCCAACTGGCGCCCGGCGCCGGTTCTACGCGAGCGCGGGACGAGCTTGCATCACTTGGACAAGTTGATGTGGAAGGTGTGAGGCTGCGTGGTCGAGAGGAGCCGGCTCCGGGCGAACACGGTCATGGCCAGACGGCACCGGTCCATGCCCCGGGTACCGAACCGAAACACGAGGAGAAGCACACCGAGGTGCCAACGTTTTACATTGGACTTTCCATGATCCTCGGGTTTGTCCTCATGTTCCTCATCGACAGGCTTCCTCGCCACGCGACGGATCGCCTGGGAACGGAACCGCAGATGCGGCACGTCAGCTTGGATAACCTTGGTGGGGCATCAAGCGGCGTCGATGAGGAGTCGGAAGGGTTCTTGGGTCCTCTGGCGCCGCCGCCGAAGCAGTCGCGAAGCCTCGCGACCACGATTGGTTTGGTGATACACGCCGCGGCAGACGGAATCGCCATGGGAGCTTCGACCTCCACATCCAACACCAAGCTGGGCTTGATCATCTTCGTCGCCATCATGGTTCACAAAGCTCCGGCCGCGTTTGGCTTGACTTCGGTCCTGCTCAAGCAGGGTCTGACAAAGCGTACAGCCAGAGGACACTTGATCGTCTTCAGCCTTGCAGCCCCGTTCGGTGCCTTGAGCACGTGGGCTATTATTCAGATTCTAGGCGGAGGTAACCTTGACGGTGAGTCCGGCCAGTGGTGGACCGGCATGCTTCTGCTGTTCTCGGCAGGAACTTTCCTGTAAGTGGAATTCCCACTGCTCCAGCCGTGGGCAGAGGTGTAACTAACATTACCAAGCTTCGTCGCGATGCACGCCATGCAGGAGGAGAGCGGCTCCCCGAAGCACGAACACGGCGGAATGAATGGTTTCTCGGAAGGAGGCGGCGCGCAGAGGGGGCAACACCGGCCGCAGATGCGCGATACCTTTGCGACTGTAGCCGGCATGCTCCTGCCTTTGCTTACTCAGTTTGGGCATCACCACTAAATAAAACCGTGCCGTCGCGGGGCCATCTCAGGTTCGCCCCGCGTCTCGAAGGCAGAGGACTAATGATATGGCGGCGACGAACGAATCGTTGCTCCAGTGTACGACGAAGTTGTCTTGACTCATGACGATGATGACTGTACTGCTGCGTGTAAACTATACATGGTGGACTGCCAGATCCAGAAAGGATGTATTTTAAGATTCTGTACCCTAGACCGATCGATGCTGTCCGCAACTATATAAAAGTCGAAAAGTCTTTGGATTGACACATTCCAGAAAGATGATTCGTCCGCCAAGGGAAAAGTCTGGCGCTGAACCTTTCGAGTTTTCTTTTTTTTATTACGCCGCTTGCCATGAGGGAAACTACTGCAGAGCAGACGTATGGAGGGGTCAGGGAAGGCCTTGTCGACCGAGCGCCCGAGTTGAACTAGGTTTCCCTTCTGCGTGTTTCAAGTTCGTACGACGCCCTTGGCAACCGGCCAGGCGCTCGTGGCGCTTCGTCACAACGGACCACCTCAAGGTGGTTAAGTACGGTTGGTTCATGTTCTTGTCAGCGAAAGCGTGTCTGTAATGTTATAAAGCCTCAATGACCATAGCGCGCGAGACTGTGCTTGTGTCATGGAAGGCAGAGGCGGTGGTGCTCCGGCGCTCTCGAGGGGCTGAGACACGCATCTTTCCTATGTCGAACATGGGTGTTGTGGCAGCATGAAATCTTCAACATCGCACGCAAGAATGGCAGCCAGAGATAGATTGATAGCTTCATGCCTCTGCGGCAGCCGACGAGGGATCTGCAAGGCGAAGTGCTGTAAATAGGAAAGCCGCACAAAGTGGGTTGAGCTCTGTCGACAGCGGCATGCAGGTGTCGCAATTCTTCAGACAGAGATCGTCCCGTTAGGGGCAACATTGGCATTGTCAAGCTCCTTCAATATTGGAGGACGGACAATCCGAAGTTTTCCTTCGAACCAGAAGGATTCCCAGGTTTTAAAAGGGTTGGCATAGGCAGGTCTGAGCGTGGGTTGGATTCCCACCCCTGTGTCGTATCACTGGGGCAGATCTGAGGCATCCAAGCCAGTGTCGCAAGTTCCACTGCCTTTCCGAGGGATGTTGAGTCCCTACCTTAGACACGCCAAGAGATGGCCAGGCCGGACCACAGGCCGTTTCTTTTCGTGGAAGCGGTGGATTTCTTTGCCGATGTGATGAGTCGAAACTACAACAGTAGCTTACGGAAGGGCAGCGACATGAGAGTTACGTTCGTTTGTCATTGTCTCTTCTCTTTCACTTGTGTCGCTTGAGCAATGCTCTGTTCAGAAGGAGGAGATGAGCGAATGCGAGTCTTACACGGCAACAGACTTGACGGAGTTTCGAGTAAACTACTGGCTGAGGGTGCGACGGGCTTAATAGAGACCGGTAGCTAAACTTAGCGTGCCGTATCCGTCATGCGACGGCCATGAGGAACTTCGTTCGTGCCCGTCAATGGTTGGCTTCTAGCCCGGAGTTGCTGAGCCTTTGTGCACGGTGGCGGGCTCGCTCGCGGCGGGTTAGTCGGCAAAGAGTCTTTCTAGACTCAGCAACACCTTCGTTCATCGTCTGATGACTTCGGTCTAATTGTAGCTTCGTCCTTTCTCAACGTCGTTGATTCAAGAGGCCGGGTTGACAATGCGACATTACGATGGATACGTGGCAGCCGCTGACTGCCGTCTGGTGATTTGCATCATCTTCGGTGTAACGAGGAACTGCAACGACAGGACGAGATATTTGCTCGCTCAGAGTAGTTTGAAGAACCCGGTATATTTCCTGAAGTTGTTTTTGCGAGATGGACCAGGCAGGCAAACCTGGTCCACAGGAAAAAGGGTCCGACCAGATTAAATGCCAGTGACGAAGGGGCGCGGTTGTGGCTCACTGGCTTTGGGGTCGTTGTCGTCGAGCCCGATTTTGGCGCAGGCATCGAAGAAGCCTCTTGTCGAAAGAGCACAGTCGAAGCGGTGACAGTACATAGTAGCATGGCGCCATTGCGGTGTCTCCATCAGCAGGCCGCAGAAGCGGTGCTTGAGAAGCGCCCCGCCCCGGTCGAGTTTCCCGCTCAGTGGTCGCAATTATCGGCACAGAAGCCAGTTCGCACTCGGCATGCTCCAAAGAGTTGAAAGAATCGATCTACGTCACGCATACCCACTACGGTGCGGACGAAGGACACTAGTGCATTATAAGCGCCGCTAACTCGGACCCTGCAGGGCCCCCCAGGTAGAGAAATGTTGTGGTCTCTTGTTTGCAGCAAAGCGAGGGATAGTGAGACTTTGCTCAGCTGCTCGTGGGCAGGGGCCGCTGTAGAGAAGAGATAACGAGGCCGGAGCTGGAGAATGGAAGGGTCTGGTTTGTGAATATTTCGCATGTGCAGAAGCGGCTGTCCATGTCCACAAGCGCAAGGGACGAGGAGAGAGACGGCTTGATGGATGCGGAGACTGGACCGGCGTGTTGGCAATGGAAAGATCAATGGATGACCACGCATTGTTCTTGGTCATTCCAGCCGAATTTGCATTCGTGTCGGACAATAAACTCGGATCGAATAACTGTTGAATGGCGGCTTGTGTTCGAGTAGAGTAGAGTACCGGTTTGGAAACGTCCCCCGAATATCCGTAGCACTGGATGTCTTCTGACGACGGGAGGCTGAAGTTGCTGTAAGTGAGGGATGTCGCCATCAGGCCGGCGTGATTGGTTCAGCGATGTCGGGACTGGCCGTTTGCGGGTGGTGCTTGGCTCCGGCTGGGGTGTCCGTACCATGTCCGCAAGATACGTTTGGAGAAGGCGGTTGGACTTCCAATCGACGACGGGAGGCGGGGTTTTTCGGCGTTCAACTGAACTCTGGTGGTTCTTTGAGTTGTTGCGGGCGATACATAGTATGGGACAGAGAGTGGAAGAGGTCGTGTCGACCTGATGGTAAGGTATCGATGCATGGCCTGTCGTTCAGGTCCAGGAGCTTGGAGATTGTCAGGTCAGCTGAAGTGTCAGATGTCAGTCCCGTGGTGGATGGCAACAGGCACGAAACAGCGCTAGAGAAGCCCCAGAATAAAATTCTGTTTGTTTGGGAATCATGGCGAGCGCGGCGCGCCTGGGCCCTGGGCTTGAGCCTTGGAGAGAGGCGCTGTCTGTGTCAAAGGTATTGGGTCGAATGCTGCGAAGTAATGTCGTTGCATACCTTACAGATATGAAGAGGTCATCGTGGTTTCTGTGTCCACCTTACTTTCTGATTCCTGGCCGAGGAAAATTTACATCCAAGTTCTTACCGCCCCGCAGCCGCACCTTTCTTGGTTCCCGCCATCTACCTAGGTACCGTAGTAAGGTATCTGCAGACACAGGCGCAGAGCGGGAGGAGGCGCCTCCAAGACAATCAAGACCACGGATACCTGAAGGTAAGGTAGAGTGACCTCATCTTAGGTATAATCTTCCATCAAATCTCAAGTACCTGTCACGGACTCCACGGCTCTCCTCCGATGCTCCTTCCAAGCATATCTCGCCTCCCGGTCCCTCCACTTCCGCCCCCTCCCCATTCTCGCCTCAGTGTGGCCCCCCGGTCCCCAATTTACATCCATTGCGAGAGTGAAAGACGGCAAAGCACAAAGAAAACGGGAAGCAGCAGCAGTAGTAGAGGGTGCACTGTGACTTGTGTGTGGCACCGCTAATTAGGTACTCGGGCGGTCTCTTCCCCCCATGCACTTCCCACATAGCCGCAAACCCAGGCCTTCTTCGGCGGTCCTCATCAATGATCCCAGCATTCGACATGACACCCTTTTTCTGCTGTGTCCGTCTCTGACCTGCTGGGTTTCTTGCCGCTCCCTCTCTGTCTGTCTTTTCCTTTGTCACTCTGCCCAGACCAGACCGGACGGCATCATCAGGTACCGTCCCGTACCTTGCGCCGGTGCCATTCACCCATTACCCACTTCGCAGTACAGTAAGATACTAGGTTCTTGAAGGATACACACCTCATCCAAGCAAGCACCAAAAGTCATTCCTTAGGTGCGGTACCTACCTACCTTACCTCATCTGCCTGACTTCCCCAGTGCCGCTCGTCCACTATCTGATCTCTCCTTTCCTTCTCCCTTCCTCTCTCCACCCCCAAATCCCCAATTCCAACCAACACCTGTCGGCTGGCCTTTCTCTCCAATCCCATCTCTCCTCCTCCTCCTCCTCCTCCCCTTCTCGTTCCCTTCGATCACCGCCGAGAGACGACCAACTTCGCAGGGAGGCGTGAAGGTATTTGGGCGTCAACCATCGATACTGTCGACATCGCAGGAAAACCCACTCGCAATTGATACGCCCTGTGCATTCCATACCACCTACCTTACACTACCTTACAGTACCGCCAGCGCCAGGCCTTGCGACCCACGCTTTCCGCTTGTCAACTCCGATTGTTAAGCTTCCGTCTCCCGCGCCCCATATCAAGTGTCGAGAGCCATACCGGCCCGCCCGTCTTCTCATTCAACTTCCCGGAACAAGACCGACTTTCTTGTTTTTAGACGACACCCGTCAACGCCCTTTGGGCGCTCGCCAACGTCCGCCGTCTCCCTCATTCTCATTCTTCCGTCACATGCGCAACTCGACCTAGACGTTGAGATATCTTACCGCCCAACCGATATCGTTAATCCGTCCCTCCGACTCTTCACGATTTTCCCGCGAGGTGCTCAAACTGTACCCTTCGCCTCGTGTGTCGCCGCACGTCTTCCACCACGCCGCATTGCCTCTCCGTCAAAACTCCCACGAATCCCCCGGTCACGACGCTTTGACTACAAATCGAGTTGCTTGGCAATCCTCTGTTGACGTTCTTCTTTTAATGAGCGCCCGGCAGCGACTCCATACTCCGACAACACCACGATACGTCAACCCACCTGCGATCACCCTCTCTCCCTACGCTCTACGAACACGACTCCTGAGGTCTTGCGATTGATAGGCGTCAACTACCCCGAGAGCCATCTTCTCACGCTCCACCGCGACATGGCCGGCTACAACAATCGACCATTGAGTTTCTCGGAAAGGAGGGGGAGCATGCTCAGCGACGATATGACTTTGAATACCGGAGGGATGCCCAGCAGTTCCAGGTTGGAGAAGATGCCTGCGCGACCGGGTCATATGCGAGGTCCACCTACGCCCAGCATGACCACGCCTGCCGCGGACTTCGATCAGCAACTGACAGGCTCGCCGCCACCACCTCCCACTCCCGCAGCCTCTCCAGGCCCTTCCCATCACCAGCTCGACTGGAGCGACGCCGCCGACGATGAGGACTTCTTCCTGGCCAAAGTGCGCCATCACTTTAAGAACTCTGGCGGCCCACACCGGACTCGCCTTCTGGCAGATCTCCTGAACCTTTGCACAAGTCAGCAACTAAGCTTCGTACACCAGTTTGTGAGCCCGTTGCTTAAGAAGGACCCATTTACGAGCCTTCCCGATGAGCTTTGTCTGCGCGTAAGTTCAAGATATCCTCCCGTGTTCCATGTTGTGCCTGCTAACATACGCTGCCAGATTCTCTCATTCATCGATGATCCGAAAGTTTTGGCTCGTGCTTCTCAAGTGTCCAGGAGATGGCGAGATTTGCTGAGCGACGACATGACCTGGAAGAACCTGTGCGTCAAACACGACTATGGAAGACGCCTCTCTGAAGTTTCTGCCGCCATGGGAAGTGCAACACGACCTGGTGCTCAACCTATCTGGGGCGACAACGAATACGCCAGCAGTAGCTTTCCTGGTGCTCTGCCCATGACGGCACATGCTTCCGGCTCGCGTAGTCTCGACGGAGCATCAAATACGCGGCCAAAAATGAGGTCGTACAAATCGCACTTCAAGCAACGGTACCTTGTAGAGGCAGCTTGGAGATCTGGCGGTACCAGCACTACCAGGAACATCACCCAAGAAGGAGGCGTGGTGACCAGCTTGCACCTCACGCCCAAATACATTATTGTGGCTCTCGATAACGCCAAGATCCACGTTTTTGATACAAAGGGCAACGCTCAGCGCACCTTACAAGGTCATGTCATGGGTGTCTGGGCGATGGTACCTTGGGACGACATTCTGGTCAGCGGCGGTTGTGATCGCGACGTACGCGTTTGGGACTTGTCTACAGGGTAAGTGTATTCGGTACGTGTTGTCCAACGATCTGCTAATTGTCATAGTGCCTGCCTCCACACACTCCGTGGCCACACGTCAACTGTGCGGTGCCTTAAAATGTCAGACGCAAACACGGCGATATCGGGCTCGCGCGATACGACGCTTCGAGTATGGGATATCCGGACCGGTTTGTGCAGAAACGTCCTCGTCGGCCACGGCGCCAGCGTCCGATGCTTGGAGATCAAGGGAGACATTGTTGTGTCTGGCAGCTACGACACCATGGCCAAGGTTTGGAGCATATCGGAGGGCAGATGTATCCAGACGCTTCAGGGTCATTTTAGTCAGATTTACGCCATCGCGTTTGACGGGAAGAGGGTGGTGACAGGCAGTCTGGACACCAACGTCAGGATTTGGGATCCGAAAACCGCGTAAGTTCCAAAAACACATGAATATTTGGTATAATTGCTAACTGAAAACAGCGAATGCCTGGCTATTCTGCAAGGTCATACGTCTCTGGTGGGGCAGTTGCAAATGCGCGGCGACACCTTGGTGACTGGCGGTTCCGATGGATCGGTTCGGGTTTGGTCGTTGGAGAAGATGTGCCCCATTCACCGGCTTGCTGCGCACGATAACAGCGTGACCAGCTTGCAGTTTGACGATACCCGTGTTGTGAGTGGCGGAAGTGACGGCAGGGTCAAAATTTGGGACCTCAAGACGGGCCATTTGGTTCGTGAACTCATCGCTCAGGGTGAGGCGGTTTGGCGAGTGGCCTTTGAAGACGAGAAATGCGTCGCTTTGGCCTTGAGACAGAATCGGACGGTCATGGAGGTAAGTAGACTTCGCTTGTGGGCACAATCCCTCATACTGACATTTCACAGGTTTGGTCATTCTCTCCTCCAGAAGATGTCCTATACGACCGCCCGCTCTCTCTTCAGCAACGTGTATTGCAAGACACCCCACATCGCCCTATGAGTGCGATGCAGCTCGACTTTCGACAGCAGCAGCCAACTGTTGCAGGTCCAAGTCGAGAAACGACAGGTAGTCAGGACGTCGACATGAGGGACGCTGGACCATCAACTGCCCCGCTGCAGGGTGGTAACAAAACGTTCTTCCACGATGACTAAATGACGTAGCCCACTGCATTTTGCGTTGGCAAATTTTCGCAATGGACGATGAATTTCGCACTAGAACGCAGCTAGTACATATGCATTGGCAGTTCACTACCACGGCACATACAAGACGCCGATGTGGACGATTGGGCCAGTTACAGGAGGGTTGCTTTCATCAGCAAGTTTTATTGACGACAACACGCTTCTGAGCATAGACGGTGGCGCTGTCCAACAAAGAAGGATGGCGTCGTTTGGCGTTGGTCGGAAAGCATCGCATGCATTTGGAAGGACGATCAGCATGGAATTGCTAGCATTGGGGAGGGTTGTTTTGGGGTCTTCATTAACGGTGGACAATTGGCGGGAATCATGACACCAGGGCGTTGACGTTGTCGTCAGCCTCCTCACTTAATCTTGGTAGAGCATATAGTAGAGCTTTACCAACACAGAATGAGCTTCACTGACAGCCAACTCGGTCGAGTGAGGGACGAAGCGTATCAATCAGGCACCTTGTCTGTACAGCTGGGTGATTAGATCTCCTGAAGTGTTCCGCCAGCCCGTCCATGCGCCGAGTCGAACGGAAGATGAGTCTACTCATTCCTAGATTGTACTTCCCATTAACACTTCTTTTTTGTTATTTGTGTCATCTTCAAGTCACTCTTTATAGAACGACCCTCGCTTGTATGTGTCTTCAAGCAACACGACTTCGGCTCCCGGACCGTACTCTGTCAGTCGCGCACTGCGTAACTGACTAAGCTTGCGTTGGGTTGGCGAGGAATTGAGTTCTCGTTCTCGCCCTAGCGATTGGGTCGGAGCCTTTTGCGGCGATTGGAAAGTGGTTGCTCAATTCCCTTCCTATCTCCGATGCTCGCTCAACTTAATGGAGCCCGACTAGGGGAGAAAAAAAAAATAGAAAAATAGAAAGACCGACCGTTGCAAGCCGGGGGCCCACCGTCATGAGTGACAGAGCCACCTGTCGGAACGAAGTGGCAGGGTGCGAGAGGCACCAGCCGTGGACGGCGCACTTCCAAAATCCCGTTGAGAGGGATCACGTGTTGATGAGCTAGTCTATATCGGGACTAGTAGTTTTCAACAAGCAGCAGCTCCCTTCCCAACCAACGCCGCGATTTTTCGGAGCTCCAGCGATCAAATAATTTGTTATCACCCTCCTCTCCCCGATCCCTTCACATCCTCATCGACCGGAGGCTCCATCAACCCAACCCCCACGATGTTCTCCCGCGCGATCAGGTTAAACCGAGCGGTGCCTCTGCGCACTCGTGCTCCCGCTTCTTTTGTTTCTGCTTCTCGGTCCGTCACCACCAATGCCGCATCGGCGACCCTGGAGAAGGGCCTCCCGCAGGTCAGTTTGCGCTCTTTTCCCGCCGCCACATCCGACAACCATGTCGCCAAAACAACACGACCGCACCGATCACGACCCAATCTATCGTTCAAGTGGCTGATCTTTGCCTGTTTTAGTCCGACGATGAGCCTTTCCAGATCACCCTGAGCGATGAGAGCTTCGAGACGTACCAGCTCGACCCCCCGCCATACACCCTCGAGGTGACCAAGAAGGAGTTGAAGCAGATGTACAAGGACATGGTCGTTGTCAGGTACGACATACTTGTTTTCATGCGACGACGTTTGCATGGTCAAGTCGACCCATCCGCTGACTGAACAACCAGACAAATGGAGATGGCTGCCGACCGATTGTACAAGGAGAAGAAGATCCGTGGTTTCTGCCATTTGTCTACCGGTCAGGAGGCTGTCGCCGTCGGTATTGAGCACGCTCTTACTCGCGAGGACGACGTCATCACTGCCTACCGTTGCCACGGCTTCGCCTACATGCGCGGCGGAACCGTCCGCTCCATCATTGGTGAGCTTCTGGGTCGCCGCGAGGGTATCGCGTACGGCAAGGGAGGTTCCATGCACATGTTCACCAAGGGCTTCTACGGAGGCAACGGTATTGTCGGTGCGCAAGTACCCGTCGGTGCCGGTCTCGCTTTTGCCCACAAGTACACTGGCCGCAAGAACGCCTCCGTCATCTTGTACGGTGACGGTGCCAGCAACCAGGGTCAGGTCTTCGAGGCCTTCAACATGGCCAAGCTTTGGGGCCTGCCCGCACTCTTCGGCTGCGAGAGTGAGTCCTCCCTCCACCCCGTGATGGCTGAGAACTCCCGCTAACGATTCTACCAGACAACAAGTACGGTATGGGTACCGCTGCTGCCCGCTCCTCCGCTCTTACCGACTACTACAAGCGTGGTCAGTACATCCCCGGTCTGAAGGTCAACGGCATGGACGTCCTTGCCGTCAAGGCCGCCGTCAAGTACGGAAAGGACTACACCGTCGCCGAGAACGGACCCCTTGTCCTTGAGTACGTTACCTACCGCTATGGTGGACACTCCATGTCCGACCCTGGCACCACCTACCGCACCCGCGAGGAGATCCAGCGCATGCGTTCCACCAACGACCCCATCGCCGGTCTCAAGCAGAAGATCATGGACTGGGAGGTTGTCACCGAGGACGAGCTCAAGACCATCGACAAGGAGGCCCGCAGCTTCGTCAACGAGGAAGTTGCCGCTGCCGAGGCCATGGCCGTTCCCCAGACCACCCCTCAGATTCTGTACGAGGACATTTACGTCAAGGGCACCGAGCCCCAGTACATCCGCGGCCGCACCGCCGAGGAGTCCTACTACTTCAACTAAAATTCCCCCTTGCACGAAGAATAATTGTCTCCTAACCTACCTGTCTTGATGTACAATAAATACCTGCTAGCTAGAGGGCGTGAAGTGGACACAATCTGAACATGTCCGGGGTCTGCAGATATCCTGGTTCGACGCACTAAAATCTCAATTGTGAAGCCTGATGTTGCCAATTGCCGTGTATGATGGAATATTGGGTGAGCTAGCAAGCATTGTGGTCATTTCTGTTAGTGAGTTGACGGCGTTGACTTCAATTGGTGCATACTGTGTATAAGAACTGCCAAATGTGGCAGCACGACCTGCTTGGGGGTGGATCCATGCATTGAACGAGTCTTATCACCTAAGTGTCTAGAGCGCCGGGCAAGAGTCGCACCAAGATCTCATTACTGCTGTAACGTGGCTTACAATCACTTTATCTAGGAAGACATTACAGGACTGCGTTGCTAGAATTGGTCTGGCTGAAATACTATAAATTTCCATGCTGAAATAAGGGTTTAGGAACGTGTTGGGAGTACAAGGCAGTCTCACGGTACATATCGAACCCCCGTTCGTCGTTAGTGGGGGTTCCTGGCTGTCTGCCTGTGCACAGACATTTAAGTTGGCGTTGCAATTAACCTAGACGCGTTTCTGCCTGGAGAGGCGCGTCGAGCTGCTCCGTCCCGCCAACCTTCATGTCTGCCTTCGCCTGCGCCCGCCTTTCAAACACGTCAATTCTTCACAGGAACGCGTTCAAGGCGGCATTCCGTATCAACCTTCGATATTTTGCCGTCTACAAGCTGCCAGTCCGCACAATGGCGCCAAAGCAGGCTACGTTGGGGTACGTCAAGTCCTCGCAGACGACTTTGGGGTGTGTACTAGGGCGACGTCCCTCGGACCACCATGAATGCATTGGGGCTTCGTTTCCTTCGATTTCTGCGTGGCCGCAATGATCGTCCGCTGACTTTTCGAACAGCAAGTTCTTTGGGAAAAAGGGCTCGAAGCCTGAACCTCAGCAGAGCAAGCTAAGCTTCGCCACCAAGCCTGCTCCGAAGAAGGAGGTCAAGGAGGAGGAGGCCGATGCACCAAAGCCTAGCTCGAAGGACAAGAAGGACGGTACAAGTAAGTCGAGAATACCACTTCTCTTCGTAGACTGTATATTCACACGCTGGTCGCAGAGGCAAGAAAACGCACCCGAAGCCCGAGTCCCATCGCAAATGCGTCGAGTCCGAAAGTCAAGAACGAAGATGCCGAAGACGAGGAAGATCAGCCCGTATCTAAGAGACCCCGCAGAGGCCGCCAAAGGGTTGTCGAAGAGGAAGACGAGGATGAGATGATGGACGAGGCTCCCGCCAAGTCGCCATTGAAATCACCAAAAGCCAAGAAGAGCGCATCGAAGAAGACGGAGAAGGCAGCGGAAAGAAAAGCTGCGGTTTCAAAAGACTCGGCTTCGGTGAAAAACGCCAAACCTACGTCGTCACCTGCGGCCGCCAAGGATGAAGACGAGGAGGAGACGGCATCCGCATCTGCATCCGAGGCCGAGGATGTTGACGATGTTGATGAGGAGGAGGATGCAGTCAAGTCCAAAGCCGCCAAGAAGACGTTAGAGAAGGTGCAGATGAAGCTCAAGACTGCCGCCAAAGACCCCTACCCCGACTGGAAAGCAGGCGAACCAGTTCCTTACGCAGCGCTCTGCACGACTTTCTCCCTCGTCGAGATGACCTCCAAGCGACTTGAAATCATGGCGCATTGCTCTCTTTTCCTGCGACAGGTCATGCGCTTGACGCCTGACGACCTGCTGCCGACTGTACTACTCATGATCAATAAGCTGGCACCTGATTACGCCGGCATTGAGCTTGGCATTGGCGAGTCTCTCATTATGAAGGCTATCGGCGAAACCACAGGACGGACTCTGGCTGTTATCAAACAGGATCAGAAAGAGATCGGAGATCTCGGCCTGGTTGCTGTGAAGAGTAGGTCGACGCAGCCTACCATGTTCAAGCCTAAGGCTTTGACAATCAGAGGCGTTCACAAGGGCTTGATGGGCATTGCGACGGTGTCTGGAAACGGCGCTCAAGGTCGCAAAGTGGACGCAATTAAGAAGCTGCTCTCAGCAGCAGATGCCCATCGTTCTGGAAGGGTGGATATCAACAAAGACAAGGGAGGTCCGAGTGAAGCCAAATACCTTGTTCGATTCCTGGAGGGCAAGCTTCGACTCGGCTTGGCGGAGAAGACAGTCCTGGTGTCCTTGGCTCAGGCAGTGGTGTACCACGAGGCAGATGCCAAGGGTCAAGTCCCCAAGACGACAGATGTGGAGCAGGCGGAGGCTGTTCTCAAGCAGGTTTACAGGTACGTCTATGCTAGCTTGGTGCTGGCTGATATTAACCATGAATAGTGAACTCCCCAGTTACGACGTTATCATCCCGGCCATGGTGGAGCACGGCATCATGAACCTCCGCGAGCACTGCAAGCTCAAGCCCGGTGTGCCCCTGAAGCCCATGTTGGCCAAGCCAACGAAGGCCATTACTGAGGTTCTGGATCGTTTCGAGAACCAGACATTCACTTGCGAATACAAATATGACGGCGAAAGAGCACAAATTCACTACGTGGCCAAGAATGCGAGTGAGGAGCTTAGTCAATCCTTGCCGGGAGCTACGCAGGCTGCTGCAGACGGAGTCGCTTCCATCTTCTCCAGGAACTCGGAAGATCTCTCCAAAAAGTACCCGGATATCTTGGCCAAGCTTCACAGCTGGGTCAAGGCAGACACCAAGAGCTTCGTCCTGGACTGCGAGACTGTGGCCTGGGATGTTGAGGAGAAGAAGGTGCTTCCGTTCCAGCAGTTGATGACTCGCAAGAAGAAGGACGTCAAAATTGAGGACGTCAAGGTTAAGGTGTGTGTGTTTGCCTTTGATCTGCTTTACCTCAACGGCGAGGCCATTGTGGAGAAGCCTCTTCGCGAACGCCGTGAGCTTCTTGAGCAGGCTTTTGCGCCGGTCGAGGGAGAGTTCTCTCTTGCTACACACATGAACGGACAGGAGCTCGAGCAGATTCAGGAGTTCCTCGACGAGAGTGTCAAGGCGTCTTGTGAAGGTCTCATGGTCAAGATGCTGGACGGTTCCGAGAGCGGGTATGAGCCCAGCAAGAGAAGCCGAAATTGGCTCAAGGTAAGCCGCTATGATCCCCCTTCGTTGCATCGTCTTTGCGTGACGGTAGTGAACTGACCGTGGAATCTTCTTCTAGATCAAGAAGGATTACCTCAGCGGCATTGGCGACTCACTCGATCTCGTGGTATTGGGCGCGTACTACGGAAAGGGCAAGCGCACATCCGTCTACGGCGCGTTCCTTCTCGCGTGCTACAACCCATCGTCCGATACGTATGAAACCGTGTGCAACATCGGCACGGGATTCTCCGAGGCGGTGCTCGAGGAGCTGCACAAGCAGCTCTCGGACACTGTCATTGACCGGCCGAAGCCGTTCTACGCCCACTCCTCGGGCGGTCAGCACCAGCCCGACGTCTGGTTCGAGCCGCGTTACGTCTGGGAGGTCAAGACGGCCGACCTGACGCTCAGTCCGCGCTACAAGGCCGGCTGCAAGGAGGGCGTCGACCCGGGCGGCGAGAAGGGCATCTCCCTCCGCTTTCCGCGCTTCATCAAGGTGCGCGACGACAAGAAGCCCGACGAGGCCACGTCCAGTCGCCAGGTGGCCGAGATGTATCGCAAGCAGGAGAGCGTCACCAAGAGCAAGGGACCTGCAGTTGATGATGATTTCGAGTATTGATGCAAGGGATATACGCTCGGGGCATGGAAAAATGGGTTCGCAAGGCGTTTTAGCACTGGCTTCTTTTTTTCATCTTCCTTTCTACTTCCTGGAGGATGGGCAGGCCAAAGAATACTTGCTAGGTATTTGTAAAATGCTCAAAGTAGGAGGGCACTGACTAAACACACATTGTATGGCTCTAAATTTACTTCTCGGAGTAAACGCCGTGTGCATGTGCTGCGGCTCTTCTGTGCTCACTCATATCACCTTATCTGCCTGCGTCCAACGTCCGTTCCTTCGCTGCATGTCTCATGATGGGTGATCCCGTTCTCGATATACTTTGAACGTACATGTGCATAGGGGCCGACCGGCTTCGAGCCGACCTGCGTCAGTCTACGTCGTTGTGCTTCTGGAGAAATGTGAAATCACCCGTGGTTGAGTGAGGCTGTGCTTCTTGCGACTCGGAAGTTCCGTTCATATCTGTCCATGCTTTTTTTCATAGGTCTATGGTACAGGTCGCTCTATTGGCTCTTTCTCAGTAGCCCGAGTTTATACATCCGCCGAAACGAAACGGTCGAAAGACGGCGTTCTACGCCCTGGCGGCGCTGCTCCTATCCACCTTCTTCTGAACACTGGGACCCAGTCCAATACCCTTTCTTCGGCCCCGCACGACGGCCTCGAGCGCCTTGCCCACGGCCGGCATGTCGCCGAGCATGGTCAAGTGCCCGCGCCCCGTGTGCACTCGGCCGCCCCTCACCAGCTCATACCCTTCTGGCAGCTGCGCCTCTCGTGCGAGGACCACGCCGTCGCCCCCGCGGAAAATGAGGTCGTCGTAGGCGTCGGCGTGAGCGATGGCTTCTCGGCTGCTCACGTTGACAGCGTGAACGGTAGGAATCTCTTTGCTGTAGATGACGCCGAGCGGAGGATAGAGATTGGCTTCCGTATGGCTGGGGTTGTGTTGTGTCTCTGCGCGAAAACGCTTGACCTCGGAGAGTGTTCGTTCAAGGTACGCGAGGCTCTTTGCGCGGTTGGGCGGCGTAGGTGTTCCCGGTATCCCTCTAGTGAATGGCGACGGTGTGCTGTTGATAGATGCCTGATGATGGGTGTTACCGTCTATTTGGGGGTTAAGATTGCCCTCCATTGCGAGTTCGGCCCGGCGAGCGGCGTCAGCCAGGGAGTGCGGAAGGATATGATTGTTCCTCTTATCGCTAGAGGCGCGGTTGCGCAGAGGCAGAAGGGAGCTAAATGAGTTCGACTTCTCCTTCTGGTTGAGTGGCGGTAGCGTTGCTTCGATGCATGGAGAAAGGCGATGCTTGATCCACTTATTGACGTCGTGAAAGTCGACCCGGTATTCCTCCTTCGTGTCCTTGTTGACGAAACATGCGCCGTCGTCGGGCAAGAAAACGAACGTCGTTCGCAATGAAAAGTTGACCTGGGCGGTCAAGATCTTCTCGTTCAGCAGCACAGCATCTCCATTTCTGAGAGGACCCAGGACGTTGATACAAGCCTGAGGTGTGCCAACGTAAACGACACCTGAGAAGAGGTCCGGTCGTTGGTTGACAGCATGGCGTGTGATGAGACCACCGAGACTATGCGCCAGGACAAGCGCGCCTCTGGGCTCCTCGGAATCCGGCTGATTCGACGGGAGTTTCTCCAGAAATTCGGTCATCTTGCGTGATAGCAAGTGTGGGCTCAGTCTCCAGTCGTAACCGTAGTCCCAAAGTCGCAACTTTCCTTTGCGGACATTCTCGCACGCCGCGATCTTCCTGAACAATTTCCTCGAGATGTCGATTGGACCAATGTTCTGAAGCATTCCCGATGGAATGATACGTTCTTCCATGTTCTCCTCGTCCTCAGGATCCAGCCCAACTTCCAAGTCGACCTTCCTCATGTTCAGTCCAATCTTGACAGGAGCCCACAACTGGTGATGTGGAGGTTCGGCCGACCGCAAAATTGAGCCCCGGTAGCCGCCCAGTATGACGATGTCCCCAGTCAAAGTCTCCAAGACCTTGTCCAAAATAGCAGGGTCATCCGGATCGATCTTTGTTGTCGGGATGTCGTTGTTTGCCACGTCTTCGTTCAGTTTAAGCGAAGACGGAAGCTTGGATAGACTTGGCATCTTGAAAGTTGGTCTCTCGGGTAAGCTGTCCTTGATGGCTTTCATCCTCACATTGGCCATCTCTCTTACATGATCGAATCTCCCGTCATCGTCACCGATGGAGGAGGTACGAGATAATGAGTGATACAACAAGGAATCATCTGACGTTACTCTTCGTAAAACACGAGGCCTTGTAGTTGGTGGTTTCGAAGATGAAGCGGCAGAGCGGCTGACGTTGGCGGTTTCTGATGAGAGTTGAGCCTGTCGAGACTGGGCGGCGGTGTGAGACTCGGGGCCTGTGTTACTGTACGGTCTGCCGGTTTGGGGGAAAGTAGACTTCCGTTGACTTGCCACGGGCTTTGGCTCTGATCTTTCCGCTGCGGCAGTGAAAAATGAGAAAGAATTGAAGATGGAAGATGGGGCTGGAAACGAAGGTAACGCTTTGGAGAAGCGTTTTAACGCATCGGCGCCCGTTGAGGATGAGCGTTTGTGTCTTGTTTGGCCGAACGATATCGACTCGAGTGCACTCTTATGCCCCTCACCATCGCCACCGCCAAAGATGAAGTTTCTTGGACTTGATTGCCACGGGGAGGGGAGGTCTCTCTCTTTCGGCGCCGGTCTCGGTTTTTGAAGTTTGGGCGTCTGTCGTCTGCTTGGTGGCGAGGGCGAAATGTGCAGCTCAGGCTCGGCCTCGAAATTGGAGGGTATCTCATCGGGGAAAGGTGTTAATTCTGGAGAGCTTGATGAGTCCTCGCTGCTCGGAAGGCCAGAATCGAAGGCACGTCGGCTTATTCTCGATTCCATAGCCGCCGCCTTCTCAGCGGCGGAAGTCTTTGGTAGAGTGAGACGAGTTGCGACGGCGCTCAAGGCGGGCTGCATGACGGACTGGGCGCCATCTTGGTCATCGTCGCCATAAACGGGGTCCTCAGACGGTACCCTCTCTATGGGCGCTGGCGGCGAATTTGACCTCAGCTTGAGGTTTTCCTTCTGTGACATGGCAACCATCGTAACTGAATTTGGTGTACGCGGATAGAGTACGAGAGTCGGGCGGCAGGGGTTGTTTATAAAAGTCGCAATTTGAAGCCGGGCGTTCCGGGGTTAGTTCGAGCACATGCTCAATGTCCTCTTGGGGAGGGAGCAAGAGTGGACACTAGCCAACACAGCACCGAGGTAGGTGCGGAAGAATACCCAAAAAGATGCTCGAAAACCGAAGACTTTCAGAGGAGAAAGGGTTTGGTGAGTCCGGGGAAAAGTTGGGTCGAGTATGAGGAAACCCAAGAGACAAATAGGGCGGCAGGCAAACAATTTCCGTGCTTAGGTTGGGTGAGGTAGGTTGGTGAAGATGTTTTGGGGTTGAAGGACGACGGTTCAATGCAACCCCCTTTGGATCGAAAATGGAATTGACAATGGTGGCAGGGATTTTGGGGGCAGGGAAGAACCAGGTTTAGTTATATAAGGAACAGCCTTGAATCGTACCTACCTCAACACCCTCTCCGTTATCTAGCACTGGCACAGGCTCCGGCTCTGGCGCTGGCGCAGGCGCAGGAGGAGCACAATCAGAGGCAACACTTGAATCCACGTGTGGCCACTGGGCCCAGTTTGATTGTACGCTTGACGTGTGTTCGTTCCTTAGCTTGACAGGCAAAATAGTGACAGCGGCCTTTGGCACACCAAGCATGGCGAGGAGCAGTTAAGGCGATGTACCTTGCAGCGCGAAAAAGTAGCGCGTTGCTAACACAACACTTGAGCACGGAAGGGAAGCTTGCTGATGTTGTCCCACCGTGAAGGGTTTAGAGACCCAAAAGTCTGAGCCCTCGGACCGGAGATCGTTACGATGTACGACCGACGAAGGATGACCCCTGCTCTCGGGCGAATGAGGCGCAGCTCTGTGCATATCAGACCCAGACGCCAGGCTGCCAAATTCGAATGCGGCTACTCGAGAATGGGCGTTGGATGTTTAGGTTTGTTGCTGTTGTCTCTCTCTTGCGTCGCTTGTATTGGTTGGTGGATGTTGTCGGTGAAGATTGCGTATGAAGACTTTTATCATGTCTCACCGCGTCCTGAACCTGGCGAGGAGGATCGTTGGCATGTGCGTGGCCAGTGCTGTGCTGTACAGAGTACTCTGTGTGGGCAGCATATGGCAACTGCTGACTGGTTCCGGATCACTCTTGTAGCTGTGAATGCGGCTGGGCTGCGTGTTCATCTCACTGATGTTTCTCCCGTTTGACACAACCATGCGGTGCTCTGTGATGGAGGCACGGATGCGGGTGAGCTAAGGTCTTGTCGCCCGGTCTTTTGCTCTGGGAAGACAAGACAGCCATGGACCGTCTGCGTTTTGTTTTGGGTCGAATATTCTACCGTTACGCTGCACTGAATCGTTCACGGCCGATCCAATCGCATGGATGGCCAAAGGGCCGCGATTCATGGTGAGATGGTTGAATTTGTGCTGTGTGTAGTCAGCGGACTTGTTTGGAACAGGTGTTCCCGTGCCTTTTCTCTCTTCTCAAGTCCAAGGTTCACGTTGTTTTGGTGATTATGTCAGTGGCATATGCTCCGGTGGAGACTAGCGCGCCCCGTTTTCCACTAAGCGCCATATGGAGGGCACATCATTGGTCAATCCCCATCTCGCCGGCCGGCAGCGGCGGGGCTAAGCGGTACCCGATGCCCGGTAATTTCGAATCGGCCTTGATCAGGCTCTCCGGGCGACTTACGTCGATCTCACGGGGCTGACTTGGATGCTTATCGTCAAAGAGGGTACATCATTCTGGATTTTACAAGGGAGAACAGAGACAGTCGAGAGTAAATAAACTGCAAATATTCACATGAATAAGCACATCTGCATAACACGAAGTAGTGCAGTCGGGAACGCAATCTCAGATCATACCCGACCATTAGGTGTCACTATCAAAAGGTAAGCTCAGGCTATGGCCTGACAAAAGCCCAAACTCGCGACTTGTTGCTTACTTCAGACGATTTTGACCTTGCTTGAGCGTTCTGCCGTGATTCCAGATTGCGGTTTAGGCCGATCTGCGGTGGTACGCCCAGGCTCAAGGCCCAAAGAAGCGTTCGATACCGAGGTCCATGCCTATTTCGAGTTCCGGGCCTGCAATCTTCCATCAAACTAAGCTGCTCACCAGACAGCTACCTACCTGCTTTACCTACTCTGTTGCTACCTAGTCAGCAGCAAGCTCTGTTTTCTGTCGAAGCTGCAGCTTTTGGCTACCACCAGGAGGAGGCTCTCCCGATAAGCTGCTTATCGTCCCACTTGCTGCACATGTATCTGTACTTTGCCCCAACTGTGATGCCGCGTACAGGCACCGTACCGGTACTCCAATACCTAGACGTCATCAACAATGCCAACACGCGAACCAAAGCCTCACTCACCCGCGACCACGACCTTCCATCGTCTTGGCTTTCCAACCGTGTTACCCTGCAGCTTCCCATCTATTGTCCCACGTTTGGTTTTCACATACACACGTAAGGTACCACTTTGGGCGTACAGGGGGGGCTGGCTGATTGCTCACTTCGCGGAACAAAAGAATCCCATCTGCTTGTAACAACCTGGAAAGTCCCAAGCTCCGCTTCTACTCTCTTCCGTCGTCTTGTCTCGTCCCATGCATTATCCTGTTTGCTAAGCTTCCCCCCAACTCAACTCAGCCTTTTCCAACCTCCGGCCCCCGTGTCACAAGCATTCCTTTCTAAACTCCATCCAACCCGCAGCGTCAGGTTAATCCCGAAGCTATGACGACCCTTGAGCCTCGCCAACCCTACACCGACGCGGAGCTGCGCCAGCTGTACCCTCCCCAGCTCAAGCTCCAGCTGGTGCAGATCCTCCTGCGCCACGGCGAGCGCACACCTGTCACCCCACGCTTCCAGAACACCGGCCTCCCTGCGTACTGGCCCTACTGCACTGCCGTCCGCCACCTCCGCTCCGCCGTTCTTGACCCTGACACTGGCGAATACTCATACCTTGACTGGAGGCGTCGCCTAGAGACTTTCAGCTCCCGAGATGACAGCCCCGTCATCGCTACCGGCCCCGGCGCCGAGCTCGACGATGTGTGTGATATGGGCATGCTCACCGACCGCGGCCGCGAGACCACCCGTAACCTAGGACGCCGGTTCCGCGATCTTTACGTCGATCGCCTCGGCTTCCTCCCCGCCGACCTCACAAACGCCGAGTCCCTCTACCTGCGCTCAACTCCCGTCCCCAGAGCCCTAGAGTCCCTCCAGCAGGCCCTGACCGGCCTCTATCCCGCCCAGTACCGAGCTCCCGACTTGCCGACCCTCACCATCATCTCCCGATTGCAGCCAGACGAGACCCTGTTCCCCAACGATGGCATGTGTCGCCGCTTTGCCGTTCTTTCGCGCGCCTTTGCCCAGCGCACCGCCGATCGATGGAACGACACGCCCGAGATGGAATACCTCAATAAGAAGCTCGGCAAGTGGATGCCCGAAGGTTCGCGCATCGCCGTCGACTCTCGTCCTAGACTGAGCGGTATCATGGACACCATCAACGCTACACGTGCCCATGGTCCGAAGACCAAGCTTCCCTCCGAGTTTTACGACCGCAAGGTCATCGAAATCATTGAGAGGATTGGCGTTGAGGAGTGGTACAGCGGTTACAAGGAGAGCCAGGAGTATCGCACTTTGGGCATAGGTGGTCTGTTGGGCGACGTTGTGGCTCGCATGGTTGGTAGTGCGGAACACAGTCCGGCTGACGGAGACTACGAGATCAAGAATCCCGGCGCCGCTCCCAGTACTGTCAAGTTTGGTATGAGTGGTTGTCACGACACTACGCTGGCAGGCGTACTGGCTAGTCTGGGTGCTTTCGGTGATGACCAGTGGCCCCCTTTCACTAGCCATGTCGCCATCGAGCTCTTCCGTGACTCGAAGATCCCGGCCGTGGACACGCCCGCCGAGCTTCCCGTAGCGTCGGCGCCGAAGAGCGGTAGCTGGTTTGGCTCTTGGTTCTCCTTTGGCCGCGGCAGCACTCCGTTCCCTGGCACGGCGCCGTCTGGAATCGGCCGCAAGCCTACTCCTGAGCTTACTGACGCTGAGAAGAACAAGTTGGAAGGCTACTACGTGAGATTGAGGTATAACGACGAGCCCGTCACTATCCCGGGCTGCAAGCCAGCCGGTAAGCACCTCGAAGGCGACGAGTCGTTTTGCACTCTGGTAAGACATCCTGATTCCCGGGCGTGAGCATACCTGACATATAATGTAGGCCGCCTTCAAGTCGATCGTCGACAAGTACACGCCTAAGAACTGGAAGGAGCAATGCCGCATGAACCTCACTGCCCCAGCCGTCCCGGCCAACCCCGAGCCGGCGGGATACTAATGACTGAACGACGCAAATGGAGAGCATGATAAAACGAAAAGCAGTAGAGAGTATCTTCCATTGCATGTTACAGGATAGAGCGTGGAGAATGGTGCTCGTAGATGGCAGCAGGCTAGTCCCAGCATAGACGGCTGTCGCGGCTGTTTGGCCAATTGGATTCCCTGACGTAGATGAGATGCATGCGTTCAAATAAATTCATCATCGTACTTTACTTCTCTCATTAGCCCCCGTGATGTTCATCCGTTCTACGCGGTTGTTGCTTATATCCCCTTACCTGATAGCAAGCAGAGTTGCTGACTATTTACTTGCTTCTTCAAGGTTGCACTTATGAAGATCACGTAAACGTGTACCGAGCAGTGGACACATCCAGACTGGCTCGAAAGAAACATTCACAGGGCGATGCGATGCTAGCCTTATTCGCCTGCCAACAACACCAACCAGACTCCTATTAAACCTGCCCCCGGACTCACTCACCCTCATGACGCCACCAACGAGTGAAGTCCTTGACAATAGGAGAACAACTCAGAAGGACTTCGCCACTTGAAATCCATTGTTCTTCTCGTTCGTCCATCATATAGTCTAGCATGATAACCAAGACGCACTTACTTGGACAAGTTATGGAGAGTAGTTACTCACAGTGAATCTGAATTATATCAATGCCAGGGGTCTCGAGAAGTCGTAGGGCAGATGTTCAAGTTACAAAGAGACGATAACCGGTTCGGTGGTTCGAGGTAATCAACCAACCCCAGCGTCGTGTTGTCCATCCAGTCGTCACCCCAATCCGTCCAACTCAGGGAGTGACTCTGAGTACTCGAGGGCTCTCGCTACTGCTCTGCTGGCGCGAGGTTCGTCTGGACAGGAACCATGAAACAGACCGAGCGGACGGCAATTCGGCAGGGCGCAGACGATGTTGGCAATAAGACGGCGTAGACGGTGTCACGATGAGATGGAAGTGTACACGATAGCCAGTGGCGAAGCCCATGCCAGTCACCGTACATATTTCACAACAAGGAACTGGCAACCAAGAAGTACAAACGGAGATCGCTTGCATTTGTCCAGGTATCCCTATACCTTTTCCTGAACTACGCTCTAATACATGTACATGCTGAGTTGTTGATGCTGACTTCACCAGCATAGCTTCCGCTTTCTAGATCCTCTCCCTTCCTTTGGGCCCACGACGGGACCCCCCTTCATTTTTCCATTCCACGTTGGCTACAGATCGTGACGGCCATGTTCCAGGCGTATCGTAATCTGATATCTGCTGCTATGTTCGACCACAATCATATTCATGAAAGGGGTGTGCCAAATTTTTGTGTGGTAGTCTCCTCCCCGTGCTGTGGGATCGGGAAAACAGCTCAAGACCACTGTGCCAAACCGGCCAAATTATAGATGAGAAGAACAAAAATGATGAAAATAGAACCAAGAATCAAGAAAGGAAGGAGAAGTGAGAAGACGTGAGATGCAATTACAACAATTAACCAATCTTTCCCCTATGTTCTCAAAGCAACGTGCCGGGGGGAGGCAAATCGTCCATATGCCTAGTTGGCGACCTCTTCCTCGACCCAGCCGTTCAAACCACCCTGAATGGCGAGACCGTAGCCGGCACCCATGCCGCCGAAGCTGGCCTGGTACTGGTGGCCACGGCGCTCTGGGCCCTCGTGTGAGGGCACACCGCCATTCTCGAAGCCAGGGTTCAGGGCAGGCAAGCTGACAGCACGGTTGTGCTGACCACGACCGTTGCCGGGAGCCAAGAGGCCGCCAATGGTGGTGGGCCCGGGGCCAGAAGCGCTCTGGGGGTAGCCATTCGAGATGCTGGCAGATTGTTGGTGGCCCGAAATGGGGCCTTGCGATTGCATATCAATAGACAGCTCGCTGGGCGAAGACTGGGCCGTGCCGAAAAGCGCTTGTTGCTGAACATGGTATTGCTGCTGCTGTTGATGCTGCTGGTGCTGCGCCTGGTGGGAGACCTGGTTCAGGTAGAGAGTCAAGGGGTTGTTGTTACCGTTGAACAGGGTCGCCGACTGCTGGGGGGTGTTGCCGTTCGTCGGGGAACCAGAGTTCTGCGAGCCCGTAGGCGGCGGGGAGGACACTCCATCGGTGCGAGGAGACTGAGCCTGCTGCTGAGACAGCTGACGAGGGGGGTTTCCGCAACGATCCTTGCCGAAGTTGACCTTGAACTTCTTGTACTCATCCTTGCTACGGACGGCCTCGATGGCCTTGATGGCGTTGGCAATGTTCGTGAAGTTGACAAACGCGCAGCTCTTCTCCCTCAAGGTGTTGACCAGCTCAATCTCGCCGTACTCGGAGAAATCCTGTCTCAAGCGCTCCTCGGTCCAGGTCTCGTCTAAGTTGCCGATGTACACGTTGCGGGATGCACCTCCACTGACGGCGAGAGCAATCGCGGGAGGCAGAGCCCCGGAGTGCTTGCCCCATCCGATCTTGAGTCTACGGTTGTGGATCATGAGGCCCTGAATGTTGCTGAGAGCATAGAAGGAAGCGGCCGCGGTGGGATCGATGAAGGTGACGAAGCAGATGTGCTTGTCGGGGATGTAACGGATGTGGTGAAGGAGACCGCCACGGACGACGTTGCAGATTTCCTCGATCGTCGTCTCGGGGTGGATGTTGCCCAGGTAAATGGTACGGTTTCCGAGGTTGTTGATACCACCAGCGGTTGTGGCGACGGCAGCCGCAGCCACAGACTGTTGGGCCAAGGCGCTGGAGATCAAATCGCGGTCTGCACCAGTGAGCATGTGCGCGTAGCCGGGCGCAATTCCAAGGTACTGAGCAGCGTTCTGCTGCTGAGTCTTCGAAACGTAGGCACAACGGTCCTTGCCGTAGTAAACGCGACGGGGAGCCTGCCACTTCGGCTCTTGGGGGAGCTGAGAAACCGCCTTGATCGCATTGGCGATGGACAGGAAGTGAATGAAGGCGATGCTCTTCTCGCGGACGATCTTGACCGTATCAATGGCGCCAAACTTGCCCAGGTCCTCACGCAGCTCCTCCTCGGTGATATCCTCCGGCAGGTTGCCCAAGTACACGTTACGGGAAGCGCCGGACTGCTGAACAGCCAAAGCCACCGAGGTGGGGACCTGGGAAGGCTTGCCCCAACCGACCTTGATGTCCTGGCCCTTGATGCAGAGCTTTTTCAAGATGGCATCAGAGTGGAAGTGGGTGGCAGAGCTGGCGTCCAGGAAGGAGATGAAGGCGCAGTTCTTGTCGGGCAGCAGACGGACGGACTCGATTTGACCACTTCGGACGTGTCCCAGAATCTCCTCAGCCGACGTGTCAGGGGGAATGTTGCCAAGGTAGACGGTACGGCTGGTGCCGGTGACCATGCCAGGACCCATGGAGACGGGCGAGCTGGGCTGCATGGGAATCTGCATGTTGCTGAAGCCGCCGCTGGTCGGGGACTGAGGCTGGAAGAACTGGGGCGCGCCATAGGTGGAAGGAGAGACCATGGCCTGGTACTGCTGAGGAGACATGCTCTGCTGGACAGGGCTCATGGGACCATTCTGCTGTTGCTGCTGAGCCTGCTGCTGGGCCTGCTGGAAGCTCTGGAGGTTCTGGAACTGAGGGCTAGCAAAGGCGGCGGGGGTTCCGGGTTGGAAAGGGCTTCCGAGAAGAAGCTGAGAGGGCAGCAGAGGCGTGAACTGCATGTCGAAGGCAGTGCCAGGGGTGGCCATGTCAGCAGCGGACGGAGGGGCATGCTGATGCTGGTGCTGGTGCTGGCTCAAAGGCTGAGTGTTGATGGTGGGAATGTTACCGCGGCGAGGGTGCCTGTCGGCGAAGCCAGAAATGTTGGAAGTGAAAGCTCCGTGGGAAAAGCCCGTGTCGCTGTTAGAAGGCTTGGAGACGTGTCCGGGGAAGCGGTTGCCGGGAGCACTGGGGCCGCCCTGGCCGACCGGTCCTTGGATTTCCTGCATCCCGAGTAGATGCGGAGGGACAAGATTGTCCCGACCGACTTGAGATAGAACCGCCGTTTTGACAGATTCAACGTGCCCTGAGCAGGCACGAAAAGTCAAAGACTGGCGCGTTGGAATGCCAGAGAACTCGATGAGCACCGTAAGTTCGAGCCGTGATTGGTTATGTCTCGCAAGCTACGAACGGGCCGTTTTTTGTGAGGTCGGTGGCAAACAAAGCTTGGTGTCGAAATCGAAAAAAGCTGAATTATGCGGATCGAAGCAACGGGGCTCGAGGCAGAACGTGAAGCTCACGAGCGAAAAGACAGGTGCGTTGTCGCCGAGTGCTTGAGCGGCCAAGAAGCAAATGCGATGCCACGTTTTCCTTGCTAGGGGCAGGGCAGAGCAAATGTTGGGTGCAATGATTGCAATTCGCTGGCGAAGTCGTTTCTGAGCTACCGTCGGGTGAACGAGAGTCGAGAAGGCGATTCGGATCGAGTGGTATGAGTTGTTGGCTGACTCCTTGCAGACGGACCTGGCGGTGGTCAAAGAATTATAGACGAAGGTTATACGGGCAACGAGTGTGGAAGCCAAGGTAAAAGATTGGTCAAGATGGCAGAAGCGGTAACGATCGCATGAGCCAGTGAGGTCGGCAGCGGCGACTCGCGGATTGGCTGTAAAGAATAAAGAATAGAAGATGTAAGGATAAGGATGAGGGAGGGCGGGATAGGAGGAGAAGAGGGAGGAGGAAGACGGGGTAGTATAAGGTGGTGAGGTGAGGAGAGGAGATGAAGTTGAGAAGGGGGTGGGAGGGTGGAGAGAGAAGTAAGGTAAGGTAGGTAACAAGAAAGGAGCAGGGTAGTAGTCGTAGAAGGAGAGAAGAAAGAAGGAAGGGTAGGAAGACCCAGGAAGCGAGAGTGAGGAGCGAAAAAGAGAGAGAGGGCGCGGTTGAGAAAGAGGGCGCAAAAAAAAAGAGGTGAGCAAAAAAAGCAGAAGAGCGGAGAGAAGAGGAGCAAGTCCCAGGCAAGGTACGGAGCAATCGAGGTAAGGGTAAGGTGGTGAAGGTACCGGTGAATGTACCAGTGAAGGGTACAGGTAGGCCCAGGGGGACGGGGCGAAGAGTGCGGATGGAGGAGGTACAGTGAGGTGGGAGGACAGGAGAGTGGACGGGGGTTCGTGTAGGCGGTAGATTGCCCAAAAGGGTCGAAGTAGAATTGGCTGCGCTAAGTTTAATGAGCCCGGTCAGGGATTACGGCACGGAGCCCACAGCAAAGTCCACAGAAGCTAACGAACTAGAGCCCCGGGGGGATGGGGCAGCCAGTTGCAGCTCCGGCTCTGCCTTGTGTGGCCGTCGATGGCGAGTTGGTGTGGTGGTGGTAATGGTGGTGTTGTATGGTAGTGGTGGTGGTGGTGGTGGTGGTGGTGGTGATTCAATAGTAATATGATGTTGTATGTGAGGTAAAGGTATGTAGGTACCTCGAGATGACAGACAGTACCAGCCTGCCTTTCGGTCCACGGCGGACAACGAGTTTCTCCCAATACTCCAATCGGCAAGCACAATAGAAGATATCGACGACAAGGACAGTGACGAACGAGAGAAGAGAGAAGGAGAGTAGATACAGAAGAGAGAGAGAGGGAGGCAAAACAACCACAAACCCAAAAGAAAAGAGGGAGGAGAGAGTTCTACACTTATTCCTGGCCAAGGCCATTGATACCCGCGAGATGGATGAATGAGATGACGGGAGAGAGAGACAAGAAACCCTCCCTCCTCTCCGGATACCTTAATTGCCTTCAACCACGAATCGTCAGGTGTTGAAGTCCAATGTACGGCCGACAGTATTAAGGTACTCGACACTCAAAACTGCACGGCTCTTTCTTCTCTCTCTCTCTCTCTCTGTGTGTGTCTCTGTCTCTCCAGTGCTTGGCTCTACTTTCTCTTCCTCGTCTGCCCAGCGCAGCTCCTGGCCCATCCGTCCACCCATCACCACCCACCCTGACAGGTACCTGACACCCGCGGTCCGAGTCCGAGTTGGAAGGTATCTTGGCCTGACGGTAGGACAGTCGTTGGATCAAGTCAGGTAGATTGCCGGCCGTAGACCGGACCAACGCGTTGTCAGTCCGTGGCGTCGACGGTCGTCCATCCATCTACTACGTATGAAGTATGTATCTGGTCGGCTGCGCTCGTCCGCGATTCGCTCGTGTTGGTCATGTTCTCCTGCGTCCGTCGTCTTCTACCGTCCATTTCCATCCGTTGTCTGCCAGTTCCAACGGCCCCCGGGAACTCTGCATGAGATTGGCCCCTCGCGAGTATTTTGCGTTAGAAATTGCACGTCAAAGATACTTTCAACGGCGTGATGGCCCCTTCTGGGCGCTCTGCACGGTTACAGTTAGGGGGAAGGGGGAAAAGGGGGGGAAAGGGGGGTGAGTGCCCACACGGAGAGCCAATAGGACGAGTCATCTTAGGTCATGACAGTGAGCTGTGGGCAGACAGACAGTGGAGGACGAGGATGAGCTTGCTGTGCATGTCTACCTTACCTAGCACTCTGTACGAATAACTCGGTGCTAGCCAGGTCAAGGGAAGTGCGAGCGATGGTCAACGCCAACGGGCGACGGGCGACGGGAACATGGGACTAACTCTGTTCTGGCCGGAGGCTCATTTGTGCACTAAGTACCTGAGTACTGAGCAGGTCATGCTCACGCGCTGGAGCTGGGTGAGGTGGTCGTCGTTCGGAAGGTACGTACCGAAGACAGCATGTTCCTGGCATTCCAAGCCGATCTGCACAAATAATTAGAAGCATGGGCAAGGTACATCCGTGGGTGGCATAATTCCCCGACTGAACTGAAAGTGCCTACGAATATCTATCTGTACTTCTGAAGATCACACGAGAAGTTGTGGACTGACCTCGTTGCTCTGCTGTCGAAGGCGCAACATTCACACAACGTAACTGTACTGGACCACCTCAGAGAAAACACACTTCAGAGGCGTCGTCGTCGCGATTGGGTTCCATGCAAATGCAACGGAACATGCAGCAGCAGGAACGGCCCATGTCCATAGCGAGGTGCAGGATGCAGTATTCGTAGGCAGTACGCAGTGCGGTACGGATACGGATACCTTAGCCGATGAACCATCGCGAAACCTCTCTTTTCCCAGTCATCAATAATGCAGTCCTATCCTTAAGAAGTGTTTATCAGTTAGTCTAGTTCTCTACAAGAAGTCCCGACACAGGTACGGCCAGCCACCCGTCATTTCTCACAAGCCACAACCACGAGACATGAGCATCTACCGCCATGTTGGTATTTAAGCGTTACCGCGCCGCCGCTCAGAGAATAAGCCCAACGGTTTTAGCTCAAGGGGTTGCAAAGTGTGTTTACCTTAGCTACTCATCCTATAGTTGCTAACCGGGCTATCACTCAACCCATATACCTCTCCCGAATGACTCTGATCAGCGGAACTTTGAGGCTGGGCGTGTACGATAGACACGTAAAGCCCGGCGATTATTATCAGCGCCATGATTATCGTCTCCTTACCACAATCCTGCACTGCAGTTAAACCGACACTGTGCTGCGTACTGGTGGTCGTACCTGCAAAGACGCATGACCTCTGCTCATCTTCTCCTGAAAGCGAGAGCGGGAGAACCGCCATATCCACAAATCCAGCAACCAACCAACCAACCAAGCTCAGCCACCCCTCCCACTTATCCATCATTCTCATCTGTGGATGCTGATAGTCTTCCTAGGTTGACTGCCCACATGGTCGTTTTCTTGGGCCCCTGGCTTGGTCCCCTTTTTGGTCCCTTCCCCTGGGACCTCGACCAGAGCCTCGTCTCTTCTGATTAGTCGAATGGTCAAGTGCCACGCCACATCGACTTTTGGCCCCCGTTGACCATCGTGGACTGAGCTGACTGGCGGCTGCAGAGGTTCCGGTTAGTTGGCACATGTAGGGAATACTAGCCTTTAAGAACCCCGTCTCTGAGACAACTCTGCAGTGCACAACGACGTGGTCAATCTCGTGATGATATGGTTTACCGCTCATAGGCTGATGGGAACAACTTTTATGCTCAGCATCTGCACGGCCAACGTGCGGATATTGCATTGTCAGGTACGAGGTATGAATATGTTGTATTGGCACTGAGTTTCTGCATCCTCCATTAAACCCCCCTGCTCTTATTCCACCCTTGGCCTACCGTACTATACCCTACTAAATCCTTACCCCTGGCACGTGGCCCCTTCCAGCCATGTATCCCTACCTTACCCCTTGCCTCCCACCTGGCCGACAGGCATAGCCAGGGGAAGGCACGGCCTTTTCTGGCTTGGGCTGTCCCATTCTGAACACTCTCCCCGATCCATCCTCCAAGGGTTCCCATCAACTTCCTCCACCTACACTTGTACAAAGCGCCAGCCAGCCTGATGGAACACTGACAGCCGCCTTTGCCAGAACGCCTTTTTACCAATTCTCCACCGACAACGAACTGCAGGTCATACGCGTTCCAAGTACCTTGGAGCACACCGCGGCTTCTTGGGTATTCGGAAGCGTCTCTCTGCACTGCAAGACAAACTGTTTGAAGAAGCAACCACTGTCTTGACCAACTTCTAGGCGCCATGTCTCACGCCGCTACGATGCTTACTTTGCAGAGACAATCCGCCACTAAGGCACCTACGAATACGGAGCCCTCCAGACTCCAATATCGTTCCGTCGTCTGCTGATCTTTCCCATGTCATCAGCACTGATGAAGAATTGAAATTGCACCAACTGCACCTCAATCTTGCAGCCGCAGCCGTGGAATCTGGCCCGCTCATCGCTCTCTCGGTTCGCAGCTCGTCACATAACGGCCATCGACCCCACGCATTGGAATCAGAACGTCAACTTCGACCTGCCGCTTCTTCGCTACCATCCGGCTTACGCAGGCTCCATCTCCACACTACACTACGCAGTACACGGCATGTTTCGGGGACAAGACCGAGCCCATACACTGTAGGGTTGCACAATGCGAGGGCTGTTCGCCATCAGACTCGACACTACGGCCTCAAAGCAACCTAAGTCGCCGCAAACGCGAAGGCGTCCAGATCAGCAGCCGGCCTGTTCTTTTTCTGTAGCCTTCAGTCTGAAGTCTTCACATCTGCATGCCGTCGCTGCAGCCACATCGCAGCCTCCACTTCTGTCCAGCTATTCGGATGAAACGCTGCTGCAAGGAGCCTGGGTTCATCAAAAGAACCCCAGACTACCATGGGAGCTTTGGGATACGAGACTGCAGGTTAATATTTCGATACTCTCTACTGCGTAACGAGGCTGGCCCCGACTGCCGTGGCTTAGCTTTGGTCAGTGTGCTACTTGCCCATCACGCGAGCTGCAAACAGGTCCAGCCTGGACAGAACACAAGAGAGAAACAACAGGCCGAAGCCAAGTCTCGATTCACAACCCAAACTCGGCACGTTCTTGGCACCAAGCACGCCCTAAGCGACAGCCGAATGCTGCACCATCTTCTTTAGACGGAACGCACACGCGATCACTCCCTGACCTTTTGGAGTTTCTACTGAGCTCAAGAATACCTCAAGCGTTCTATATATGGCTTCGCGCGAACGTTGCTGCGAATTAGCTGCCAACCCGAGTCACTTGTTGATCGAGGACACCTGACACCTGTCAAACGTCTTCTTACTAAAAGTTCTGGCTGCCGTGCCTTACATAGCCGCGATAGCACCAATGCATGTGCTCAACCCGCGACGCAGGCGCAGGCGCACAATGGCAACGGTCACATCCCTTGACTGGAGATGAACCCGCAGCAGGTAGTACCCGCACTAGATCCGCCTTGCATCAAGTCATTCCTCGTCCAATTGTCTCTAACATCGGATCATCAACAGACCAGACATGTTTTCCTCTGTCGGGCCAAGTCCTTATTCCACTCACGTCCAGGCCGACCCACGCCATGCCGGTGCACAGCGCCCTCGAGTCAAGTAACGGAAGTCAATTGCTTCTTCGTTGCTCAACATGGAGAAGCCAGCTGTCAGCAGCCTTTGACGCCGCAACCTTCCGATATTTGGATTTTAAGCTTCATGGATAATCTCTTAATCACTACGAACGTGTCTCTTCGGTCGCCGGACAGCCCTTGCCATCCTCCGAAAGTCTTCTCCGGCGCTCCGAGTTGCGATGGACAAGCCCGGCAATATTTCCCCACTACCCGCTCAACTGAGTGCGCCATCATTTCAACCTGCCGTCTCATCGAATCGTACGGCTGGCTGGCTGCCGCTCGGTTCCTGCCCTTGGAGAGCCCCTTTACCAAGAGGTCAGATGCGTCCCCGCCATGGACTGGCCGATCGCCAGGTCGTCAGTGCACACGCGATCTGCCGTAACGATGGACGGCTGCGATGGCTCGCCGGTCCGAACACTACTTGTTGTCGGTGAGGTTCTCACCAGACAGTCGTCCAATAGCCACGAGTTGACAGACTCGGCTCGACACACCCTTGGAGACAAAAGACACCTGATTCCAACGAGACATAAACTCTGCCATTAACCGAAGGGTGGACAAGATGAACAAACATGTCAGTCTCGAGTCCCCCCCAATTGGTTCTCGTTACACTTTTTCGACAACAGGGCTTTTCCGCACAGACCGGGGCTGGAGACCGGCAGCCTCCTCGACTGGGCGGTATCAATCAAGCCTATCCCCCTCCCCTTCCCCCCCTTTCCAACAAAAAGGAGGGCACCAAGTTCTTCTAGAAAAGGTCTGATGTGGGCGCCTCAAACACAAGATCGGCCGAGCCAGGCGAGGGGGGGCAGAAGCAGGGAGCCGCGGTTTCTCTGACTCCCGAGCCTCACGGGGGCGCCTGGGGCCGGCCCCCTCCCCTCCTCCAGACCTGTTCGGAGCCGGACCCTGGCTTCTGGACCAGGAGGCATCGCCCGCGAACAGACGACCACCCCCGGCTCGCTGCATGACGGGATATGTGAGGACGAAGTCTCTTCTGCTGCTTCTGTCCTGCCATTCCAACCTCTCTCTGCTGAGGTAGAGCTTAACTCTGACATGACTACACTCAACAAGAAGCTTGGCAAATAACGTTGGAATCGACAGGCGTGGTTCCTTGTTGTAGAAGACGACGTGCCAACACAACCAATCGGCGACTTTGGAGCCGGACGTTGTCGTTTGGTGATGCCCGGACGTCAATGTCACCTACGCGGAAACGAACCGAGCAGAGAGTTTGGAACAAGAGGCAGGGCTTGACGTTTGTCCCTCATCATCCCCGCGCAAATCAATCTCACCTTCAACCCCCCCTGAGACTCCGGAAAGAGACACTTAGATTCCGTAACTCCTATCTAGGCCGACCCGTCTCCGATTGTCCTGTGGCAAAATGCCGTCAAACCGTTGCAAACCCCCTTTGAAAACTCGACATGTTGTTCGCTCATGCCTCGCCACAGCGCTTTTTGAGCATATCCGACTTTCTACAATATTCAACGCTTCCCGACGTTCTAATCCTCTAAGGCTTGCAGCGGCCCATGTAGCGGGGGTACAAGCATGTTGTGCGCACAGTGTGCTGGTTGGCCAACCAAGCCAGGAATCGCTCGAGACCGAGTCCGTAACCGCCGTGGGGAGAAGTACCGTACCTGGAGACGGCTTCGTTAGCATTGAATGGAAATATGTTGGGAACACGGGGAAATACTCACTTTCTCTGGTCAGTGTACCAGTAGTAGTCCTTGGCCGGAATGCCCTCCCTCTCGTAGGCGGCAAGGAGCTCTTCGTAGCCCTCCATTCTCATCGATCCACCAACGATCTCACCGACACCGGGCATCAGGCAGTCGACACTCTCGGTGACGCGGGGGTCCTGGGGGTCCTTCTTCATGTAGAAGGCCTTGATCTCGGTGGGGAAATGGGTGAGGAAGATGGGCTTGTTGATAATGTCGGTCATGCGGCGCTCAGCAGCCTCGGCGATGTCGTCGCCGAACTTGTGGAGCTCGCCGTCTTCGTTGAGGATGGGGGGATCTTGGGCGTTGAGCCAGTCGATGGCGTCGGTGTACTTCATGCGCATGAAGGGGCGGACGGGCTTCTTGAAGTCGGGGTTGAGCTCCTTGATGTAGGCGGCGATCTTCTCGTTGGCGAAGACCCTGTCGATGACGCGGCACATGACCTCCTCGAGATGCTCGAGCAGGTCGGGGAACTCGATGAAGTCCAGCTCGGCCTCCACGTGGGAGTACTCGGACAAATGTCTGCGGGTCAAGCTGCGCTCGGCACGGAACGACTTCTCGATGCAGTAGACGCTGCCCATACCGGCCAGACACGTCTCCAAGTATAATTGAGAGGACTGCGTGAGGTAGGCCTTCTCGTCGTAGTAGGGGACGGAGAAGAGCGTGGCGCCACCCTCGACCTGGGTCTGCACCAGTGCGGGAGGTGAGACTTTTGTCACATCAAGCTCCTCGTATGTGTGGGTGAAAGCCGACTCGACAGCGGCGCGGATCTTCATGATGGCGGAAGCGTTATCACCACGAAGCACCAAGTGGCGGTTGTCCAGCATCTGGGAATCCCACTGGTTCTGAAGCAGCGAGACCTTGTTGGTGATGGCGTCCTCGTCCGAGGGCGAGGAGCCGATGACCTCGTAGTAATCGACGTGCAGCTCGCGGTTGTCGGGAGCGTCATGGCCCTCGGGCACCTTTCTCATCTCTCCGTACACCCACAGAGCCGTACCCTGGGCGAAGGTGAGGGCATCGTATGTCTTTGTCAGGTTGCCGGCCTGCAGCACACACTGCAAGTGGGCCTTTCCGTCGTTGAGCGTGATGAAGGTGGCCTGCTTCTGCACACGCAGTCTGTGGATGCGGCCACCGATCTTGACGCGGGTGCCCTTCTTGTCGCCCTCGCTGAGCTCGACGTCCTTGTTGGAGATGACAATCTTCTTGGCGGCCGGGAGTGACTCATCCTCCTTGATGGTGATCTTCTTAGCAGCCTCCAGAGTGTCTTGGCGCTGCTTCTTGAGCTCCTCGTCCTTCTTCGCGCTCTCCGCCTGCTTGGCGAGCTTCTTCTTGTGTGCGTCGAGAGCCGACTGGGCCTTCTTCACGGCGCTCTTGGCGGGCGCCTTCCACTCCAGACGAGCCGCCTCGTCGTCGCCGGTCTTGGACGCGCGGGTCAGGAACTCGCGGCCCGGGGTGTCGTGGTTGGCGATGTAGGCCGCGGCGAGGGACTTGAAGGGGGAGGACTCGGTTCCCGCGGTCGCGGGCTCGTCGGAGCCGGCGTCGGTGTCGACGTAAACCTTGTCGCCGGTCTTGAGGCGCTCGGCCAGTTCTTGGACCGCAGCCATGTTTGCGTGTTGCAGTTCTCGTGCGCTGATGTGTGTGTGTGTGTGTGTGTGTGCACTCTAAGGGAGAGTTTGGTTGCGGTGGTGAGTGTCGAGAGAACACGGTGTTTGTTGATGCGACACAGCCCGAATTGTGAGTGTGTGGGAAATTTTTGGCGCGCTGGTTCGAGGATGGCGGGGTAGTAAAATCGGATTGAGTTGGTGGGAGGAAGGAGGGGGAGGGGGAATTGTAAGGAAGGGTGGGCGGCGGCGGCAGGGGCGGTGACCCGTTTGATGTACCTTCACTCTCGTGCTGTGTGAGTCACTTAAATGATAGCAACTGCAATGGACGGTTTTGACTGAATATTACACGGGCATTTTCTTTCCGATTCCAATTGAGACTTGCTTCATTTTATATATCCCTCTCGTGACACACACTTCTAACAGGTGAGTCACTTGAGGATTTCCAGGGGTTTGTAACAATTGGTGAGAGCCCCTGGGTGAAAGGCATTTTACGAGCTGTAGGACCCTGAGCTCGTCGACGCAACACTCGAATCCCAACTGAAGCAGCAAAACCCGAAGCAAGGGGCCCGGCGCGCCGGCGCGGTTCCAATTGAGCATTTCAATTGCTCAGAGATAAGAGCCACTTGGAATGGAGACGAGCAGAGCAAAACCTGGGAGAAGCTCGGGCCCAAGAGGGACCTACCTAGGTTGGCTCCGAAGATAGGAGCCCCGGCCGGTCTGCCGGCTACCTGACACCCCCTTGACTCGAATGTCAAGAGGTTGTGAATTGAAAGGCGGTGAACTACTGTCTTGCTAATGTCGTTGATGATCTTTTTGTACTTGATATTTACCGGAATGACCTGTATGGTGTTTCTGTACTCGTCGAAATTTCAGGTGAATCTCTTCGTCCTGGATGAAGGATTTCTGTTACTGTTAAGGCATACAGCGGAGTCATTGCCGGTTGCTGGTGAATCTGATGCGAACTTGAAAGGCAGGTTGACAACGACGGAAACGGTCACTCATGTCCTTTACAATAATGTTGCACTGGGGATGGCTTGCCACTGTGAGATGAATCCCTTGGTGTTCTATTGATGCAAGCATGTGAGCCGGGAAAGAGATGTCCTAGGGAAATGGCTCAAAAATCTGTCCACCGAGTGACGTTGTACTAGGAAGATGTTCAAATATCCGCCTTTTATATGATACGACGGGAGGAAACCACCATCCCGCCACGCGAGTATCGTCCTACGTTGTGAGACGTGCCGCAAGAATCAACTTCACCCCAAAGTCACAACCATCTCTCCTTTTGGTTCGCGCGCGTAACCAACGCCGGTTTTTTTCTATATAAAATTCATAGTATGCTCCCTGGAGATAGACCGTACTACGGTCCGATATAGGTGGATCGTTTCGACGCCCACAACTCGAAAAATCCAACCCAATGCGCCTTTGTCATCCAGTTCATAAACCTCAAGCCGGAGGTATTCTTCGTAGCGTCCGTCCCGTCTCCATGAACGCCGTGTCTCCTTCTCTCTAAGCAACCCCCATGTTCTCTTGATCAACGTCGTGAGAGAGACTCCCCTCGCCCGTCAACCACCAATCTACAACTCGTCCTTGGCCTCGGTCTCAGCCTCAACAGCAGCGGCAGCCTTACCCTCCTTTCCCATGCCCTCCAGCCCCTTCTTCACCATCGAGCTCAAGACCTCGTACACAACCTGCGCCGCCGCCAGCGCAGTCTCCTCGCCCGCATTCTGGTACGCAGGCGAGACCTCCACGACATCGGCGCCCACGAGGTTCAACCCCTCGATGCCCCTCAGGATGCGGATCAGCTCGCGCGTCGTCCAGCCGCCGGGCTCGGGGGTGCCCGTACCGGGCGCGAACGCCGGGTCGAGCACGTCGATGTCGATCGAGAGGTACACGGGGTCCTCGGTGCCGAGCGTCTTCATGATGGTCTTGACGATGCCGGCTGTGCCGATCTCGTCGATGTCGTCCGCCGCGATGCGCACCCAGTTCTGCGCCGTGTCGTCCTCGTGGTCGCCGAAGTCGTTGCCGGAGAGTCGCGTGCGCAGGCCCGCGTGGACCGAGGGCGCCGAGGAGACGTTGGAGAGGAGGCCCTCGTTGCCGGCCATCCAGAACATGGAGCCGTGGTTGAACTGAGTAGAGGTCCAGTAGGAGGGGTACTTCTCCGGGTGCCAAGTGTCGAGATGGGCTAAATGTCTCTCGTCAGCCCTGCCCTCGCAAGACTTACTCACTCACTGTCTCAGTAAAAGAATGAAACTCACCGTCAAAATGCAAAACCCTCAACGCTCCGTAGCTCTCCTTCAACGCCCTCAGCGCAGGCAGCGCCAGGCTGTGGTCTCCGCCGAGCGTGATCAGCTTCGGCTTGCTCAGCGACGACGAGACCGGCTTCCTCTGCCCAAGCTCCTTGAAGGCGGTCGACATCTGGTCGAGCGCGATGACGTTGTCCATGGGCGTGACGGGAATATCACCGCAGTCGATGATCTTGGCCCAGTTGGCGTACGGGTTGACGTTGGCGCGGGGGTTGAAGCCGCGGAACGATGTCTGTCTGCTGGAGGCCTGGCGGATGGCGCGGGGTCCGAAGCGGGCGCCTGCAGCCGGGTGTCATTCACGCAGTTCCGTGAGGACTGGGGGAAAGTGAGTGAGATGGGCCTTACCTGGTCTGTAGCTCACGGCCGTGTCGAAGGGGGCGCCGATGATGGCAATGTCGTAGAGCTCGGAGGGAGTGGTGAGGCACTTCGCGTGCTTGAGGTGGGCGAAGGTGCCGATGCCCGTGAATCCTGCTTCGGTGAGTTTGATGTTCTCATATTGAGACTGGTGATGACGAACCCCACTGCCGAACCGTCAGTCAATAGAGCCTATCTCATGATCACGGACGTTGAAACTCACCTCGAAACCCCATTTGGCTTCCAACTCATCCAACTCGGCCTTCGTCCACTCCTTATCGTCGCCGTGGTTGCCGCATGCGGAAGCCAGCAGAGCTGACGAGCAGCCCAGCAGCAGGGATGACAACTTCATGATGGATTATATCCCGCGAGGTTATTCTGGTGTGGTGCGTACTATCGACTCTCTGTCGTGTTGTCTTGCACGTAGGTCGAGATAAGAATAGTTGTAGAAAGAGAGGTTAAGAGTCATTGCCGAAAGCATCTGCATGATAACTTTAAAAGGCCGGCCAAATCGGCGTGGACCGGATCGGTCTGTTTCGACCGGCCCGGCCTCCTTCGGATACGCGCTTCCTTTGTCATGGCAATGACCGACATTCCAAACGTCTATCCCACCGTTAAACGCGCTACACTACAGACTTCCCCAGTCCTGTCGGCGCCCCGAGGGGAAAGATACCCGCCGTCCGTCGCCCCATTGGTCAATGCATCCGCGGAATGCTCGATGGTCGATGGTCAAGCTTCTGGCCCGGTGCTTCTGGGTCTTGGGCCATCCACCTGTCGTTGGAAAATGCGGAGAACACCCGAGAAAACCGACCAGTCGCTTGTAATACCCGCCTCCGAGTAAGGAAATAACTTGTCAAGGAATGCATTAGCCCAGGTGGCCTCGGCCTTCTGTTCCCTGGGATGGGTGGCCGCGGACGTTGTGGAGACGTAACATGCGCCGCCGGCGAAGATTGCGGGGCCGGGGATGCAACTAAACGGCATCCGATTTCCTCCCGGGCCTTGGGGTCCCCGGTAGTGTAACAGTTGTCAGCAACATGCAATCATCAGCTGCAAAAGCCCTGTATCCATAAAAGACGCCAATCCCGCCCAACTCAATCTGGCTCCGAACCGCCGCATTGTGAGATGTCAGAGTTCGTCAACAACCCGCCAAGTGAGAGAGGGTGGCTTAGAGCCAGCCGCGCGCGCGGCATGCCAAACGAACCCCAAAGTCAGCAATTACCAACTGTGCCTGACCCAGCATTAAAAGCAGCAGCTTCTCTCCCCAGGAACCCCATGGCCGCCCTCGTGGCGTTCGCGACCTCGCCCCGACGCAGCGTGCAACAAACATCGGAGGGATAACAAACCAAAATTGCGGGGTGAGGCAGAAGAAAGAACGACAGACGGAAAAAAAAGCAGCCCAGGAGTCCCTCGCGGAGCGTTTGAACCCGTTGGTAAATGGCACTAGTCTGACCGCATCTGTCTCGCATTGATGGTGGACGAGGCGCCCGAGCTGCGACGTCATTCCCTTATGCAATACCTTCCTTACCTGCCCCCCCTACAGCCCGATGGCACAAGAGGGGTGGGTGGTGGTCGTTGCGTCTGCGAGTCGTCCGTCTCCCGGGCAGATAGGCGCAGCGGAACAAAGAACAACGGCTGGGTGGCGGCAGCGTCAAGTCCCCTGGGCAGACGGAACAAGAATGCCATCCATTTCGAAGAACTTACTGCCCATTGTTCACTTGCTGTCGTGTGTCTGCCTCAACGTGGGTGGTCGTGCTGCCATCCCCTCACTCTTCTGCCCCCGCAAGCGTGCTGGAGAACCGTAAACGGATGGCGTAACGCGGAGCCGGCAGAGGCATATGCACGGCAGAATGACTCGCCGGGCCGATCTAATGGATGGAGGCTCCGTCCAGTGCATCTAAACACCGAAAGTCTGTGGGTGAAGTGTGAAGTGTGCTTGGCTGGTCGGTGCACTTCGTCAGCAGCGGCTCTCGTCCGCACGTCCAATCATCGCATCTGGAACTGTAACCTGAAAGAGAGGGATGCATCAGGCTTCAGCGCGAAAAAATGACCATCGATTTAAAGTGCACTCCAGTCGCCAAACTGTCCTATCGAAGTATTCCTGCCTGCGTGATGAATTTACCCATCCCTAAATGTAGAAAGAAGCAAGAAAGACCACCAAGATCCGGGCCAGGGCAAGGAGTTTTGGGGGGCAGAGAGAGGGATGAGGGTAGTGGATTGGGGATGGTGAGAATGGGAGAATCGGGATTGGGAAGAGAGGATGTTGTTGGGAAGTGGTGGACCACGTGTGGAAGGGGAAAATACAGCCCGTCGTTTTGTTCCATTTCCTTTTGTCCTGTCCCCCTCATGACGGAAGTTGCCTAGTAGCCGGGACTGCTGGTCAGATGTTCCAAACCAACCCTCGCTGTCGCTGAGCCAAAGAGGCCCAACATTAATTCGCGAGACGACTGCCCTGGCCAGTTCCAAAGTTGCGGCTAATCAAGATCCAGCGTGTCCTATGCCATGCGCGCTGCAAACAACAAAAAAGGCCCAAAATGCCATTCAAAGCCGGATGTCCAGAACCATTTGCGCGCGCATCTGGAAGGCAAGAGAAAAGGCCCAAGCCTGGTTCTCGGCTTTTCGCTCGCCGCCAGAGCCAGAACCGGGCAGGGCGGGAGGAAGTAAGACCCGTGGGAGAAGAGTCCACAATCAGAGGACAAGGCACTTGTGCGACTTCTTCTTCGGGGCGGGGGGCTCCAGAGCCGCGACAATTGCCTAGACACGGGTTAATCGGGAGTCAAGGCAGCGGGACACAGAAAAGTCGGCAGTGGCCATACCTCATCAAAGACATCCTTCAGCTTGTACTGCGTCAGAGCACTGCACTCGACGTATTTGACCGCACCCAAGTCCTTCGCCATCCGCTCGCCATCCTCTTTCCGTACGGGAGACATCTTTTGCTTAGAAAGCTTCTCGCGCACGCTGGGATCCTCTCGCAAGTCGACCTGGGTGCCGACGATAAGGCAGGGGACGCCGGGGCAGTGGTGATGTACCTCGGGGAACCACTTCTCGCGGACGTTCTCGAAGGAGGCGGGTGATGTGACGCTGAAGCAGACGAGGAAGACGTCGGTCTGGGGGTAGGAGAGGGGGCGCAGTCTGTCGTAATCTTCCTGACCGGCGGTATCAAACAGACCCAGAGTGTAAGGCTCATCGCCAATCCTGCAGAAAAAAAAAAGGCCGTCAGCGCGAGGCCAATATCGATTTCCAACACCTCCAGACTCAGAGTCCTTCGATCCCTCGATTCCTTCCATCCATCTCTTCTTGGTCCGCCTCTTCAAAGACCCAAAACAAAACCCAGAATGTTTGTGCTTGGCAGCGCTGGAGAGACTCACATAACAGTGACGGCATAGTTATCGAAGACGGTCGGGACGTATTCGGAAGGGAACTTGTTTGTCGTGTAGCTGATGAGCAAGCATGTCTTTCCGACAGCACCGTCGCCGACGACAACGCACCTAAAGGGAGAAGAGAGTGGTCAGTTCTGGTGCCAAAACAATGCCTGATGACATGCGCGCTTTGATGACTGCGGTGAGAGGGAGAGAGGGGTTGGTCCCAGTCTGGAAGCCGCACCAAGCACAGCATTCGCAAAGATCTGGACAAAGGACATGGTAGGAATGAACAGCGACACCATCCATATGGATGTGGACATGATCGCAGGCAGGCGGAATTGGTGAGGAGTGACAGAGTCGGGTGGATTGCAACTCGAGGACTGGGAATGGGGAAGGAGGCAGAGCAAAACGGGGAGAGAATGCAACGCACTTGATAGTAGCGACCACCATTGTGTAGATCAAATGATGCTCCTGAGCAGGAGCAGAGACCTAGGGAAGAAAAAAAAAATAAGACTAGTCTCTCAGTCTCTCCCTTATCGCGCGGCGCGTCGTCGAGTGTCTCGTCTTGTCGGGTCGGGGTGTGATTTCCAGGCGGGTAAGGTAGGCAGCAGATTGGAGAGTGGCAGTGGTAGTTGGTAGCAGTGGTGGTTGCGGTTGCTGCAGGGCGAAAGATGGGCAGTGGAGACGGGTCGACTCGAAATGGGGGGGCGCGGCGAGGAGGAAGAAGGTGGAACGGGGTCCTAGTCGAGGCAGGCAGGGCAGGTGATGGTAGTGAAGAGCCAAGGTTGAGGCAGGTAGCGGCGGCGGTAGCGGTAGCCGGTGTGGTTTTGCGGTGCGGTGCGGTGCGGTGCGGTATGCAGCCTGCGGAAAGGTAGGCAAAGGCAGGTATGTAGGTGCAGACGGGAGGTATCGAAGACGATGCTGCGGTGACCGAGAGGCAAGAGGCAAGAGCGAGGCAGATCGAGGCCAAGCAGGCGAAGTGGCTCTGGCAGTAAGAGAAGTGTCGAGTAAGAATTGAAGGGGAAGGTTCAAAAGTGGGAGGAGGCGACTGCGAGTTTAGACGACAACCGACCCTACCAAGGTCACAAGTGAGATGTCGTCGGGGATTTTTTTTAGTAGCGATGGCGTCGGCGGTCTCGACGTGCACGCGGGAAAGTGGAACAACTGAAGGAATAGAAGGGGGAAGAGGCACCGGGGGGGGTTGAAGTGAGGGGCGGGCCAAAGAAAAAAAAAAGAATAATCAAATAATTTTGTAGGGCGAGCCTGAGGTCAAGACGGGGTGTCAATCAATAAGTCAGGGACGGAAAGCACCACGGGGCAGTCACAGCAGGGGAGAGAGAGAGAGTAGGGGTAAATTTTTCAGGAGGGAAAATAAAAATAAAAATAAAAGGCAGGCGTGATGGGAAGCTGCAGGAGCAGAACCTTGCAGGCAGGCTTGCACATAGAAGGCGCCGGGTGTTGGTTGCGCCAGAATTTCAAGTGCAAAAAATGTTTCTGGGATTAGCAAAAAAGAAAAGAGAAAATTACAGGCCAGGCCTACTCTTCGGGCTGTTGGTGATCATGGCACGTAAAGTCCTGTGATATGCGAAGTACGGATACTGTGCGTATTTACGGCAGTGAATGGGAAGTTCAGGGCAATATCAGCTGCAGAATCATCACTACGAAGGCTGCTACGTATGTACAGAGGTACAGCCAGCGATATCGCATGAGTCTAGACTGGCCAAATCTTGGTCGTCTTTCCTCTCTTATCGTTGTTGTTTTCCGATAGTCGTCGATACGGCATACCAGCCAAGTACAAGTGACATAAAAAGGGGCAGGGGAGACACGCCGTCTGTGGTCATCCGTACGAGCAACGGTCTTCATCACTAAGGTACTCAAAACGACCGTCAACCCGGCTCGAGATATGTGCTCAGTGATTTTTGGGGCGTGCGAAGGGGGTTTGGCTTGCAAGGCTGAATCTTGCAAAATTCGGGACTGGCGCCTGTCCCCGGACGGGAGTTCACTGTTCCAGAGGAATGGATGGCGCGTGTTCAGAGGCCGTCGGTGCTCGAGATGGCCTGCCCGCTGAGCAATGCTAACCGCCAGCTGAAGACCAGCGCATGGCCCGACCAGGGATGTCAACACCGCCGGGACTGGAAGATCAGCCTGCCTTGGGTACGATCAGCGTACGGCGCAGCGGCGTCGTTGCTCAAGTCCCTTACCATAGTAGGTTCGTAAGGAGAGCCCTAGAAGGCCTGGTGCTTGTCGTTCCGCGCCATCGTCTGCAAAGATAAAGAAGCCGGGACAAACCAAGGCACCACCATTATCAAAGTTGAAGTCGAATGGCGAACAACCCTTCTCTGGCTGGGGCTCCCTTCAATCTCTGTGAACCATCCAACCTGGGCTGGCCTGCATTCAGGGGTCGCTCAGATGTCGCCATGCCCCGGTCTGTTCAATCTCATTGCCAATGGATTGTCCCCCTTCGTCCAGTCCTATCCCTTCATCTCAGGACGGAGCAGGAGGATATGCTGCAGCATGGACGGGAGGGCAAACAGCCGCCCAATGCTGAAGCACCTCCCTTCGCATGCTGTCGTTGTCATTGGCACCGCATCTCATGACATCTCCACCACCCCGATATGCTGACATACCTGACGAATACCACCACCGGGGCCTGGGTTGGGACTTCGTGCTTGACTGTACAGCTGGCAACCGGCCATCTGCCAGCGAACCCAACCTGACCCAACCTAACCGCAACGCCGGGCTGTTGGTGATGACTTGGTCAAGTCTTGGGTTCGGCTAGGAGGTTCCGTCTCGCTCGGGGTCGGACGCGGGGCACTGGTAGCTTGTCGTCCCCTTTCCTCCCTCACCGCCCTCACCGACCACTTTTCTACCCGTAAAAGGTGGACCAGCCCCTTGTGGTTGAAGCGGAACAATAGGATCTTCGCTTCCGTAAAAAAGATGGCGGGATAGCTTCAAGCCATCGTGAGGCCATTCGACGTTGTTGGTAAGGAGGAAACCTATCTTTCCCGTCAATTGCTGATCAGTCTCCTCGTCAGCATCTCTTTTCATACATACATACGTACCTTCAAGGACCTCGCAGGTAGAATAGAGCGCCAAGCGGTGCCGCATCTCCCAGGGACCATCAACTCTGCGCAAATTGGGGATTGGGGTCTGAGGCGGTCCCACGCCTTCACACGTAAGGTAAAATGCATGTGCACTCACAGGTAAGGAACGTGCCTCAACTGGCGGGGCAGGGGACGTGGAAAGTACCTAGGTACCTACTCTGTAGAGGTGCCCGAATCCCTAACACCCGTGGACCGTCCAAGCTTCAGGTTCAACACAGCTGGTGCAGTGTCGTAGCCACAACACCAACGCCATCGTCTTGCATCTGCGCCCTGCACCTGCAACCTGCTGCACCAACGGAGGCATGAGCACAAGCACAAGCAGCGGCACTGGCACTGACACCGACCGACACATGCACCTCATTCCTGACATCACGCCAGCTAAAGTGCATCGTGCTTTGCTTTTTCTACCCCTCGCTCCACGGTTCGTGTCACCTCGCTGGTTTGGATATATCTCACACTGAGGGAGACATCGTCATGCCCCAACTACCTCAAGTGAATGTGTGCTTGGGAAGCAGAATCATCACCTGTTTAACGTCATAACGTGGTCGGCAAGTAAGGCAGGCAGGTACCTAATCCACCTGCATATCACCACCTTGAGACGTCGAGCATCCGAAATCAAACGTGTGCTAACCAACCAACCTTGAAAGATGCACAGAGCAGTTTGGGGTCCCGTATGATGGACATCAACTCAAGTTTGTCCAGCAAGCTTTTTTCACCTTCGAATTCGGGCCAAACTCGAGACATTTCCTTTTCTTCTCACGTAACCACCCGATACCTTCCGCCCCAACGCAATTCGAGGCCTCACCATACCTGACCGAACCAAAATCGTAAGTTTGACTACGACCACCGGCCTGCAGCGGCCCTGTATCGAGATGGCAGGAGCGCCGAATCCAGACCGTTCTCTCGCGCCGCCCTCGTCAGATGCCGGATTCCAGATGCCAGATGCGCCGATATTACTGCTCTGCGGCGGGCTGCAAACTCAGGTCAGGTCTGGGCCGCTGGGTCCCACGCTTTCGCCTCGAACCGATGCCATGCTGGAACGGTGCACCAGCTAAGGTGGCCTACCCGGGCGTATCCGCACCTCCATCAAAAGCAACCACTCCCTGTTCTACGGCTACATATCACATCTCGACTTGTGGCACTACCGTCCGTCTTCCGAGAATAGGGAACTTGAGTTTCTTCGTCGTTAGCTAAGCAAGCAAAGGCAGAATGCCTTCGATATTACTCTGCAAGGTTTCCGGCCCTCGAGGCGCTTGTTCGTTGGATTCATCTGCAATCTGCCGGCAAGCATTTCTTTGTCTCTGTCTCCGGCAGCCTTCGACACCGCGACCCCAAATTGGCATGCCATCCCTTCGCTCGCCTGTGACATGTCGTGTCAGCTTCAACTCGTTCCTCATGCAGATTGGCAGTGGTTTTTTTCCTTCTTCTTCTGCACTCTGCCGCCTGCCTTGTTTATTCCGCCGACGGTGACGGACAACGTGGGAAAACAAGACATGACAAGGCAAGCTGCAGCCGAGTACGGATATTAGACGATGATACCCTCGACATTCATATGGACGACACGCACTTGAGGCAGCTCCTGGGAGCAGGGAATAACTTAGACGGGGACCAGCCAACGGATACCCGCAGCCTTCTTTAATGCTTCCATCCATCCATCCATGACTCCGGCACCTGGCACAAATGGCTCGGCTTGCTTCCCGCCTCGCATCATCTTGCCTTCTTCTCTCTCGACTGTCGTACCGACTGCAAGTATGGCAATCTCCCCTTCGTCGGAAGCCAAGCAGCCCATGTGCCCTTTTTTCCGTCCATCGTCATTCCCAGTGCCGTCACGTCCAAGGGTCCAACGTGCTCGACTGCCGGGATCACCGACATAAAAGGACGAGCCCCGGCTTGTGCTCGACGGATCGGCGTTGGCAACGGGGAACGGCACCTAATGGGCCATTGGTCCCTTCTCTGCCTTCACCGTCTTTGCGGCTTCTGTGTCCGTGTTCCTATGATGATTGCCCAGCGCGCTCCCTTCGGACGGCACACTGCCCCTCCCACTTATCACTGGTGCGCGTCAGCAGTCTCTGTCGGTCAATGTCGAAGCTGAAACATGAAGCTTTACCGTAATAGTCGCAGTTGATGAATACGAAGACCACGGCATTATAACCAACTGGCAAGACACAACGGCCTCCCGACGAGCGGTGGATCAACCAAGCTCTGATACTAGACAGACAGACCAACAAAGAGTAAACAAACACAAGGGAAAGTATTTCGACGGCTCAGTCCACCTTTGTTGCGCATGTTTGCCGGCGAACCCTCGACCCGACTCCGCCTCATCTTTGTGCGCCAGATTGCCGTTGCATCGCACGCCCTCGATTTGTTTGTTCGTCCATGACACCGCGCCGGATGAGCGGTCTTGCCGTTGAATTGTCCAACTTGCTTCCTACAATAGAAGGTGCAACACAATGATACTACTTCAGTATTTGCATGTGCGACACGAGCCGTTGGCAGGCAGGCAGGCAAGCTCTCATTGAAAACGACGACTGGGAAGTAGAGATACTTAGTCACACCTCGGGTACATATAAAATTTACCCATTGCAGTTGGATACAAAGTACCTCTACAGCAGCCGCAGACTCGGGTCGCCAGCTCAGGGTTCCCCTGCATGCCGTCCTTTCTGCGCAGATCATCGCTCAAGCCACAAATTCCTAACACTGTTGAGGCTGCAGCGACCTCAACTTCACACGTTGCCCTACGAAGCCACCCTCACCAACATCTCGCCATCCAAAGTCAGACAACTCGGCTCCGCTCCGCCCACTTCGCCCTACGCATTCTCCGCCACGGGAAAACAGCCCGTCGCCGGCCCGCCTCGGCCCTTCTGTCGCCATCACCAAGCCACCACCGCTCCGGACCAGCTTGTCTTCCCATCTGCCTCCGCCCTATCACACAACATGGAGACGAACCAGATCGACCAGCTGCTTGAGCGCTACCTCGTCCTCCTGGACGAGTACACGGTGCTTCGCGAGCTCCTCAGCAAGACTCAGGCTGCCATGTATCAGAACATCGCACGAGCCAACTTCTCCGCAGAGAGGGGCGTCAGATACGGCCCGGACTACTATGACGAGCGCATGCAGGCTTCGAGAATCCTCTCCATATCGGCGGGCAGCAAGGATGTCCCTCGCTTCGAGCTTGTCAAGCCTGCAGAGGCTGTAACGGATCCGGGGCCCCATGAGGCTCCAGTTGATGAGGGGAAACCCGATGACCTCGATGAGGCTCCGGCTGACGGTCCGAAATCTGACGAGAAACCCGAAGACACGACGAAGACGGCGGAGGAAAAGAAGAAGAAGAGAAGCAACGATCCCCTTCGGTGGTTCGGCATTCTCGCGCCGATGCCCCTGCGCCAGGCGCAAACGCTATCGGTGAAGGCCGTGCAGGATGTCATTCCCCGTTTGGTCTCAATCAACGCTGAGATGATGGACTTGGAGATTGAGGTCCGCCGGGCACGGAAGAAGAGGGCGAAAGCTGAGGCCGCTCACAGCAAGATCGACGCGGAGGACGGTCAAGAGCCGGGACGCCACGAGTCACGAGTTCCTGTCACGACTGTGGAATCTACGTGACCGGTCTTCCCCAACACCCATTACCGATCAGCTCATCACGCTTGCTTCACTATCTTCCCTAGATATACCCAGAGATCTCTGACCTCTCAGCGAGGCCTGGGTGTGTCATACAGCCGACATGAGATCCCACTACTTCCCGCCGAGCATGGCCGTCTGATCTATCATCACGGGCTCGCCCCCAAGTGCCCAGGCACGTGAAACCCAGGATATCGCCCGTCTCCGCATCAACAGTTGCCTTCACGAAGCGTTACGACTTTCGAATCGTAGCTCATGAGCACCTCGGGGTGTTCGTATGGCGGCCACCAGTGTCTTTTGACATCGCTCAGCTGTGGTTTATATGAATTACGGACGGCGTGAGGACTTTGATGCTGGCCAGCTGCGAGTTTGTGAATTATACAAACGTCAGTAGCATACGGGTTCAGGCAATGAGCGAAAATGTCGGACGACACGTGGATACAGGCTGGGCCACAATGCACGTCGCCAATGGCAAGACTCAGGAGCAGTCGGCGCAGGAAATCCCATGACATGTCCACAGAACGTCGTTGCGGTTCCAACCAACGGGAGACCTAGCTTACTTACGTCGGGAGTACGTCTCGGCGCTAATAGAAGATGGCTTCCTTCCCCTTCGATCTTCACCCAGAGGCAATCGTGATTTAAACCAAGACTCCCGAGTCGGTCGAAGGCATTGACTCAGTATTATGGATGGGTGCAGCGGGACATGGTCGACGTCCTCGTCGCATTTGAGTTTGGAAGAAGCAGGGAAACGACAAACGTTCTCATCACTTTCGGGCACACGTCAGATGCAATATGTGCTCCCCGTCAAAGTTGTCCGTGAACATAAACACGTTTATAAAACCCAGTCAACTCGGGTGCGTTACATACGTGGAATCAGTCCATCGCCGACTATCGAAGTCTACCCAGAGTCTCCAGCACGTCGTCCAACGAGTCCTTCAGGGGATGGCCAACGCCCACGTGCTTCTGCAACCGCGCGGCTATCCCGAGAATCGCGCTCGTGGAGTGCACATAGCGCCTCCTCATACCCTCATGAGCGCTGACGATCAAGGCAGTCGCCAATTGAAGAGCGGCAATCTGAGCTTCTTGGACAAGAAGCGGCTGCTCGGCCTCCGGGACGTCCCAGGCGGCGACGGCGGTGACGAACGCCATCCAGTCTTCTCTCGCACCGCCGTCCTCTCCCTCGACGATTGGTAACAAGACACGCACGATCTCGATCCCGCGCGCCGCCTCAACTTCGTCGTTCACCCGGGACGTGTGCTGCAGGATGGATATCAAGTCCTGTGTGAGGGCCTGCCAGCCGTTGTGGGTGGAAAACTCCTCCAGCCCTGCCTTCTCGACAAGAATACCCTCCAAGCCGACCAGGATAGGCGACCGGAAATCGAGCTTGGCTGGTGAGCTTAATTTGTACAAGTCAATCAACATGTCAACAAGACCCGCAGCCTCTTTCCTCAGAAGCTCGTTGTCGTCTTCGCGGAGCCAAAGGGCCAAAGCACGGACGACTGCTAGGATGAGAGGGTCTTCATGGATGTTGTCCTTCTTGGACTCCCAAGAGATGGTCAGTCTCTTCCCTGCAGACGTATCTGTCTCCTTTGTGCGAGCATCGGGGTGCAAGCCCAGAGCACCCGCTACAGAGGCATCCCACCTGTCTCGGAGGAACTCGATGGCTATGGACATGGCCTCTGAGATGGTCCTCCGAATCTTCAGCAAGAAGTCCGGTGGCATGATCAAGTTGCCTGGCGACGATTGCTCATCATCTAAGCTTCTCACGAGATACCCGACGAAGTGTGTTGCAACATCAAAGGCCGAGCCTATGCGCTGGGCGACGGACGGGTATGTGGGGTCGTTGAGGAGCTCCAGAAGCCGCGGCAATGTTACTCTTGTATCGGTGAGTAGGAGTGTGATTAATAGGTAGGAGAACGGCTTGTCTTCCTTCACGTCGCTTGTGAAAAGTAGCTTGGCGGCTTCGGTGTGATACACCTCAAGCAGTGAGGCAGCCGCAATGGTGTATGCATTCCTGGCCTCAGGTGCGGGTCTGCTCGTCAGCAGCCTCCTGATGAAGTCGATGACAGGCTTGATCCACTTAGGATTCGATGGAAGTGCCTATAGTAGTGTAAGTCAGTTGCCTGTATCGTCTGGACGGAGTAAATACCTTGGGGTCGGAATTTCGGAGGAATTTGCCGAGAAATTCGAGCAAAGTAACTCCATCTGTGCCAGTGAAGGTTGAGACTAAAGCTCGAATGGTACTGTCGATTTTCGCTTGTAGGATTGTCCTGTCCTCGGCAAGGTCCATGCAGTTGATGTACGCGAAGGAAAATATCTCGAGAGCAGATGGGTTATCTGGTGCAATTTCAACCAAGGAGCTGACATCTTCTATGTCGACAAACACTTTGGCGCCTTCGGGGTAGACAACCAGAGTGAGAATCGTCTGTACAATCAATTGAGACGTCTCGCCGGAGCTATTTTGGTCATCAGCTTCACCATCCCTCCTTGAGTGTCTCTGTCTGACGCACCTCTGTAGCAAGGCAGACACCAGCAGGGGCAGCCTCCCGACAAGCCGCTTGTCTCTCTTGGCCTGGTCTGGCAGCAGTGACGTGAAGGTGTGGATGACTGAGACGGCGAGGTCCAACATATTTCTGGCATCTGCTTGGGCGGACTGGGCGGACGAACCCGTCTTCACTAGCCGGTCGAGGAATTTTGGGGAGATTGATGCCCATAGGTTCGAGACAGTCTCGGCATCGTTCCGGATTTCTTCAGAGTTGTCCAGGACGCTCTTGAGGAGAGCCAAGCCCACAAATCTCGACGTGTCGTCTTTTGCTTCCAACATGGTCTGGATTTGGTCAAGGGATGCCGTTTGCTGAGTAGCTTGCGTCGGGTCAGGCACCTGCGAGGGCGCGGCCGTAGGACCTGCAGATCCATTAGATGAGTCTCCCTCCATGTTGCGGTAGTCTGTAGACAGTCGGATATTTTGGGTTAATTCTTTTGATGTTGATAGTGAAGTTGGCGCAAATCGTTGTAAGTCGCCGTTGGGTACTGAGTGAAAGAAGTTCTCGCAGGTTCCCGCAACCTCCCTCAGTATGCCGTTGATCTTTCCTGGATATGACTTGATGAAAGAAAAATCATCCCCTAATCGTCAACTGATCTGCAAGCGAAAGATGCGAGAGGCCAAGACCAGCCAAATGACGCCCTCGTGAAAAAATGCCCCGCGCAGATTGACCCAGCAGATCGTAGAAGCAGTCTCCACGCTGCACTCAACATCCCTGCAAGCGCTCATTCTGGGCGCTGTCCCTGGCGTCGCATCAGCCGCAGAAAGGACCTCCGAGTGGTCCGAGCTTTCCTTCGAGTCAGCCACGCGCGGCTTGTCACCGAACAGGTATCCGTCAAAGAGAGAAAGGTGCGACCGTGGATTAAGGAGAAACGACAACAAGATGGCCATCCCGAGGACCTGAGAGACGATATCCTCAGAGTCGCAATATGCCCGGCCACGCAAACAATGATTCTTCCGCCTCGTCGTCGTCGCGACCGCTGAACAACGGCAGCAGCAGCAACAGTAGTGGCAATAGCCCGCCGGGCGATCGAGACGAGCTGGAACTCTGGAGCGACGACGAAGACATTGCCGACGTCCTTGTCGAAGACCCTATCCGCGAAGACCTCAACGAACCCCTTTCCTTCAAGCGCAAACAGAAGCAGAGCGTACTATCGACCCCCGGCCGCTTCCTCTCCGCGATCACCGGCTCAAGACCCGGCACGGCCTCCCCACACTCCTCCCCGCGAGCTCGAACACCCAATCAAGATTCGGGCCGACAAGACTTCACCTCTCCGCGCAGGACAGGTGGTAATGCCGCCGCAAGCCAGAGCACAAAAGATGGCGCGCCATTGGACTGGTACGTCGAGGGACCAGGTAGAAGAGTGGGATATGAGGACTTAACTGCGATCGATTGGATCTTCGAATACACGAAGGAGCGCCAACGGCTGCGCGTACTATACTCCGGCGCGACTGGCCTCCTGGGATACTTCCAGCAACTTATGGACTCGAGTCAAGTCTGGGTTATTCTCATCTTGACTGGCATGGCGGTGGGAGCCGTAGCAGCTGGGATTGACATCACCACGGACTGGCTTGGCGACCTGAAGACGGGCTACTGCTCTAGCGGTCCAGAGGGAGGCGCATTCTACCTGAACAAGGGATTTTGCTGCTGGGGATATAATGAATTCTCCAAATGCGCCGGGTGGACGCCCTGGGCGAAGGCACTGGGAGTCACGTCGTCGGTCGGAAAGTGGTTTATAGAGTATTTCTTCTTTATTTCCCTATCAGTAAGTCATGGCATGCTTCTGGTCGCCAACTCGTGTTAACCGATTCGCAGGTCGTCTTGGCATCAGCAGCGGCACTTCTGGTGAAAGAATACGGAATCCATGCGAAGCATAGCGGTATCCCCGAGATCAAGACGGTGTTGGGAGGGTTCATCATCCGCAGGTTTCTTGGCAGTTGGACCTTGATCACCAAGTCACTGGGATTGGTACGTCGGAGAACCTTTAGACGCCATCTAACGGGCTAACATTCGCAGTGTCTTGCTGTTGGCTCCGGCATGTGGCTGGGCAAAGAAGGTCCTCTCGTTCACGTCGCTTGCTGTTGCGCAAACCTGTTCATCAAGCTATTCAAGAACATCAACGAAAACGAAGGTGTGTCCATGTTCTCTACTACCTCTGAGCCGTATCTAACAATACCCCAGCTCGTAAGCGAGAAGTTCTGTCGGCAGCTGCAGCATCCGGTATTTCAGTTGCGTTTGGCGCACCGATTGGAGGTGTCTTGTTCAGCCTCGAGGTTGGTGACGCCTGCACGTCAGTCTGCTCCAGACTAACCGTCTCCAGCAAATCTCCTACTACTTCCCAGACAAGACCATGTGGCAGAGCTTCGTATGTGCCATGACTGCTGCAGTGGTCCTTCAAGCATTTGATCCTTTCCGCACCGGACAACTTGTCATGTACCAGGTCAAGTACAGCACTGGCTGGCACGGCTTCGAGCTCATACCCTTTGCCCTGCTGGGTATTCTTGGCGTACGTATCTTGATTGACCGTGTTAGAAAGTCCGCTCACGTATATGGCAGGGTATTTATGGTGGCTTGTTCGTGAAAGCCAATATGGCCGTTGCTCGGTGGAAGAAGAACACGCCCTGGCTACCAGGGCCCATCAGTCAGGTCGCCATCGTTGCGTTTTTGACGGCGCTCATCAACTACCCGAACTCCTACATGAAGTTCCAGACGTCAGAACTCGTCTCTAACCTTTTCGTCGAATGTACGAAGTACGTCGATGATGAGATTGGACTCTGTAAGACAGGAGCTGCCTCGGCACCAACCATCGTACTGCTGGTGTTTGGAACCATCCTTGGCTTCTTCCTCGCCACGATCACCTTTGGTTTACAATTGCCGGCTGGAATCATCTTGCCGTCGATGGCTATCGGAGCTCTGAGCGGCCGTGCGGTTGGTATCATCATGGAGATTTGGGTCACTAACCATCCGACCTTCTTCCCCTTTGCCTCCTGCGAGCCAGACGTACCCTGCGTGATACCAGGGACTTATGCCATCATTGGCGCAGCAGCAAGCTTGGCCGGAGTCACTCGAATGACCGTCTCGATCGTCGTCATCATGTTCGAGCTGACCGGAGCTTTGACATACGTTCTGCCCATCATGATTGCGGTCATGATATCGAAGTGGGTTGGAGATGCTTTCTCTCGCCGGGGCATCTACGAAGCTTGGATACACTTCAATGAGTATCCATTCCTAGACAACAGCGAGGAGATGGTTATCCCCGACATTCCTGCTTCTCAAATCATGACGCGCATCGAGGACTTGGTCGTCCTCACGGCAACGGGCCACACCATCGCCAGCCTCAAAAACATACTTGATACGCACCCTTATAGGGGCTTCCCAGTCATCTCGGATCCCCGTGACGCCATTCTTCTGGGATACATCTCCCGACAAGAACTTATATACAACCTCAAGATGGCTTCATCGCCTCCACGATCTCTGCCGCCTGAGACAGAGGCCTACTTTTCCCATCAGCCGCTCGCGGACCCGCGCACGACACTGGATCTCCGGCCGTGGATGGACCAGACGCCGATCACCATGCCTTCGCGCTCCGGTCTGCACCTGGCAGTCACCTACTTCCAGAAGCTCGGCCTCCGTTACGTACTCTTCAGCGACCGTGGTGCCTTGCAGGGGCTCTTGACCAAGAAGGACGTTTGGTACGTCCTGAACGGCGCAGAAGAGACTCGCAGAACGAGTGGCCTCAGCAGAGACATGGGAGTTCAGTCTGGCATTACGCGAGAAGACGCAGGCGGCGAGCAGAGAGGTCTGCTGAGGGATGATGGGCACGAGGAGGGAACAAGCCCGGCGGATGACCGGGGACCGATATTATGAGTTAGAGTGCGATCTCAGGAACGGGACAGTGTACGAGAATCCTAGACATGAATGCAATCTTTATGACGCTTACTTTACATGTCCACTGGTGCGGGGGCACACATGGTGTTGTTATAACCCTGGAGCCTTGTCTTCTCGTATCGACACATGGGCAAATGAGTGCTCAACTGCAGCAGGCATAAACCACACTGCATCTGTTTTACGTGGAATTCTTATAGTCGGCGCTGGCGATGGTGAAAACATTCTTCCCAGGATTCAGTACACAATCTTCAGCTGCCGTACCACCGACCTCGTAACAATGTACAGCTCGAACATAGCTTCTCCCATCAAGCTCGCAGTCTGAAGCGGATAACGGAAGCAGACAAGAACTGCTGCCTATGGCCCGCCAGTATCGGGTGAATCGTCCAGAGAGGCTCCATCCGCCAAGGTTCCGCCTCAAGGTGTCAACCACTTCCCGCCTCAACTCTATACCTCGCTCCCGCTTCACCAACCAACCTTCGACTCCGGCCGCAGCAGGACATATATCATTCGATTCAACTCATGCTATCCTAACAATCAGTTCAAGGGGCCGTGGCTTAATGGTAAAGCGTTCCCCCCAGACTCCCAGAGCTCCGCGTTCGAATCTAGAAAAACGAAGGAAGAACAAATGCTTAAATGAAGAAGACAAATCTAAGTCTCATATGGGAAACCGGGCTCGGGAGACTGGGGAGAGAGATGAGGGTTCGAATCCTTCCGGCTCCAATTCTTTTTTGTTCTTCTAATCTTTTTTGCTTCTATCGCTGGGTTGTGGTCCTGGACACGTTCGTGATGCTGAAGCTGTACTTCAGTGGTTTCTTAAGCGTCTGGTCTTGCGGGTCCGCGAGGGGATGTGTTTCCGTTTTTCCAAGCTTGATATTCAATGTTTTTATCTTGTTCTCCTTGCTTACTTGGCTCTCAGGTTTGCCATTTGACAATGATCCTTCCCCTGTATTTGCCCTCGAGCCCTCGTGTAAGTCAATCTCTCCGCACTGCTTACTGGAGAATCAACTTCAAAAATAGTGAAGAAACAAACGTTCACTGTAGGTACTGGAGTCATCAAAACTTTGTAAGTGGGGAGCTATCATTCACTCTGGCCTCCATGTTTGGGCTGACAACGGAGGCAGAAGATCCAAGGTAGCATCTCGTGCCCTCACAATGTCAGCTCGATTACGATCAGACATCCGTCTAAATTGACGTCAATCTCTCAATGATATTAACTTTTCATTTCGGCCAAGATCTATTATGCGGAAAATCCTCCGTATTCCTTCAACCCGTTGCCAGCAGGGTGAAGGAAAGGCACATGGTTCGACTCTGCTGACATGGGGGGAAGCCTAGTCGACGCCTCCAAGGGGCTGTTCATCGACTCCTCACGGAGCTTATGAAGTCCTCAGTTGCGTCACGCCACGAAGCCAACTAGTAGCTGTGGCTCATCATCTGGCTGATAGTAACAAAGAAAAACAGAAACAATAACATTGGCCTTGACGGTCACAGGAGCGACATCAACAATAATAACGGAAAAGAAAAATCCAGCCCATCACAATGACGACACGACACCAAGATTTCTCTCACTCTGCTATACATCTCAATGCAGATTGCGAAATGTTTCCTCGGAGCCGCCGATTAAGCCGCCCTCTGCACTCAGGATTCGGTCACTCCGTCAGCAACAGAGTTCTTAGATGCATTTTGAGCAGGATCGCTCTTGGCTAATCCTCGGAATCCTTGAGCTTATTTGATAACTATGTTGGAACAGGTAGGCAGGAATCAGTATCCGACTTGACGTGGCCGAGCAATTCGACATGGGATTGCGTAACAATGCATTGAGATAGGATTGCTTGGTTCAACAGGACGAAGTTTGTTCATCCTAAAACCCTATTCCGCGATGCCGACGCGACGTAAGATCACTTTCAACAAAAAGCAGATAGGCCACAGGACGATTCTAAAATCGTTCAGGGCTACGGAAGGGTAGAGCGCCTCGAATCAGGATTCCGAACGTCAATAGATTACGTTGATGTCAACACATATCGAGAAAACCGAAGGAGATGGATGAGCGAGACTTATTTGAATGAAGAAACACAATACTTTTGATAAACTACCGTGATATGGCCCACTCATTGTAAATGCTCAATATGAATATCATATGTTTCCCGCTTGATTCCAAACAACGCCAAACAAGAATATTCAGGGTATCTTCCGAGAAAATAGCACTCTGACCGCCTGTTGATGCAAAAGTCGAAGCACTCGCACGCACACGCATTGTCAGATCGTCACCCCCTCATGTCGATCAACATCTCGCGAGAAAGCACCTGGATATCACCCCTCTGATCCCCCAGATCGACGTCTGGAAAACCCGACCATGAATCACGAACCCCCTCATACCCTCCCTCACACCCTGTGTTGATCCTAGTAGCCCGCTGCTGCCCCGACCCTAGCGCCATGATGGACCATCTGGGCGGTCTCCAGTCAGGAAACATATCACAGACAGCACTCATACCCGCCTCCATCTGCCTCATCATCCTCTGCTCCAACGCCCCGTGCGGGTTCGCCTCGATGAGCTCAACGTGGTCGTCGTAGACGGGATTCTCGTCTCGCGGCACGAAGATGAGGTGTTCCAACTGTGGCATGCGCGCGTGGATCTGCTTCAGGACCTCCACTGTCAGGTTTGCGGCTGACATGCTCTGGTACATGGAGTCCACCCAGAAGAGTGAGTCGTTGACGGCGAGATGGCGGACGTTGGCGAGGTCGTCGGGGTCGCAGAGGGACATTACGGTCAGAAACTGCGCCTCGGAGGCCATATAGCCGTCGCGGGCCCCGAAGTAGAGGACGTCGTGGTCTCGGTCAAAGAAGATCTGACCCGGGTTGCGCGTCATGCCGAAGCAGAGGTCGTATGACTTGAGGGCCTCGAAGCGCGACTCGTGACAGACGTGGAGGTTGACGGGGATAGCGACGTATGAGGTGCAGCCGCTCGTCGACGGCGGCGGGGTTTGGGCGTGCGAGGCGAACGAGAGGGATTTTGCGCCGCACCTGATGGGCACGATGCGCGGCGGCGGGAGGTTAAAGTTCCATATCCTCAGGCGAAGTTCGGTGGGGAGCTTCGAGAAAAGATGCTATCGTGATGGTATTCGTGGTTAACCGGGCTGTACTATGACGGGAGATCGACGGAGCTAGCAACATACGAAGTGGTCCAGGGGCCGCTCGCGGCAGGCGTCTATTCGATTTTTCGGTGCCGCCGTCGTCGACGTCGGGTTGGGTGCCATGATCTACGGGAAGGTTTGTCGAAAAATGGGCGCTCGAAACTTGACAGATGCGACGTTCGGTCGATGATGTTGGGAGAATTTGCCGCGGAACAGTAGATAGTTTGGCCAATGCGGGACATGATGACGGAGGGGTGGTAAGTGTGAGAGGTTATTATATCGTTCGGCCGGCGCGGCGGGCTGGCAGCGCCATCCCAGGCAAACGACGACAAAGGATATGCCTGCCAACCTGCATCCCGCAAGGTCTAACTCGACCCGAGACATCATTAGACTTCTTTGACAAATACCCAGCCCCGGTCGACAGGCTCCTCTCAATAATGTAGGCCAGGCTCGTCTGTCAGCCGGGTGGTAGGTAAGATACCACCAGCCTGCATAACCAACTTCTCGTGAATCATGACCATTAGAAGCTACTGGGCCACGCCCCTCCAGCCTAGAGACGCATGTTTGTGTCAGGGAAGAAAGTGTGGCGGCCCAGAACCCGAGGCTTTGGGTCGGGGCGACCGGGGTGGTTCAGCAATTGAAGGATTCGGATGGAAATTTTCCTACATTGACAAGCCGGGGAGGCTTCCAATGACAGCAGGATGCCCGACGGGAGCGAGATACTCCAAAGCGGCACCGATCGAAGGGATAGCCGTATGCACGACAGAACCACAGATGTATCAGAACCAAGCCATGGCTTCGGAACCTGTTGCTTGAATTGATGCATTTCTTTTCGTATTTCTGCCAATGACAGCTCGATACACTCTTGTAGACTGGCCATAGTACCTGATCTTGCTGGACGGAATTCTGAGGGAAAACGTCTGCATAGACAGAGAACTGGGTGTCATCAAGACCTGTCTCGATGCCAGTTCCAGGGACACAGAAACGGGAGTCCTGTATCCGGACCCGCACCCGCATCCTGCCAGGCATAAGGAGCTGCTGTTTGCTTGGGCAAACTGCGGGATGACGGCAAGGCCCCATCTGTGGTTCTCGTAGATATCGACAGGAGGAGAATTTGTGTATCCAGCCGGCCGTAAGGCGCCCTGTAGATCGTCGAAATGCAACGACGGGTGATGGGCGCGTGGTTGGTCCCAGTCAGTTGGATGAGCCAGGGGTCAAGGGTCGGGACAGGGTATGTCTCGCCGGCCGCTGCAGTCTGCTTATGCTCCAGTCCGTGTGAACCACCCTTCTGATTGTTTATTGGTAGACAGCGTCGCTGTTTTCCCCGTATCCCTCGCTTGGCTGTTGGCAATCTCAGCTGAATCTGAGTACGTACTAGCCGGCCGCCTCAACGATGTTCATGTGCGAATATCGGTACGGATATTGGAGGCCTTTCTATCAGGAACCTGCAGGAAGTAAAAACCGATATTCCGATTTCCCGACACAACGCTCTTCTGTCCTATGCATACGGGAGCCAGACCATCGCACGGAATTGAATAGTAATCGAGTCACTGGCTGGTTGGCTGACTGGCTTGCGACTTTGGACGGTGTCGCTGGCTTAACCCAAGCATCTGGGTCGTTTACCCGGAGAGACGGACCTGGGACGTGGCGCCGCTGTGTTCCCCCCCCCATGGCGCCACTGTGAGACCTAGAGCAGGTGAAGCGCCCTGTCACTTGTTGTTGACTTGACGGCGTCGAGCTACGAACCCCGCAGTCTTTGCCTGCCGAACTCCGACATTGGCCATTTTCAACGGGAAACTTGAGACTGGCGCTGTTTGCTTCCTAGAGGCTGGGTCGATCGGTGTTTCTCAGCTGGCGGACGTTGAGGGCCAAGCAACAATACTCCCGCCTCATCTGTTGATCTTCATTGATGTGCCTTGTTCGCAAGTCGGAATTGACAGGCTTGAAGAATGGTGTTGGGAGGTTGGCATCATCTTGCGCTGCCTGGGAGATGTTTTCCCGTTTGGCTAAAGATCAGCATCCAGGTATGAAGGGAATTGTTGGCTTGTTGACATGCGGAGTATGCGGCTCAGGCCGACTGACGCCAATGTTCCTGATCACGAGGGCCAAGAGTCGTGCGGCAGACCCAGGCCCACGGATATGGGTGGGTGATTTGCTCGTGGAAGAGGTGAGGCTGAGAAGGTTGGCACAGGCTCCATGTGACGAGACTAAGTTGCAGGGGTGGAGGAAAAAGAAGCCGTGCAGTCAACAGTGACCAGTGACCCGGTGCCGTTGGCGAACGCCATCCGTAATTGTTGCTTTCCATTCGCTGATAAGTGTGACAAGACCAAAATGGCCGCTAATGATGACAGCCCTGTCGTAGACGGTCACCAGTAGCTGCTGTTTGGCCCTGCACCCCTGATAGCCTTGTCGTGTGTGTGCTGGCGTGCGGCTACCATGCAGGATATCTTGATTTCTTACCTGACCCTTCTGCAAAAGGGAGTCTTACCCCTGTTGTCGAGACACCCCTGGTGATGTGGAATCATTGAGGAAGGTTTGGGCAGGTAGAAACGCCACATGCCCAATGTATGCTGCATGTCGCAGTTGATAGACGAGACAGGCTCGTGGTGACAGAGACTTGGGAGTTCCAATGCAGCCTAGCCTCCAGAGACAGGCCTTGGCAGATAATGTCAGCGGGCCATCACGAACTTCACGCCGTCTCGATTCTCAGGGGTGGGCGTGAGCGCTCGTCTTGGTACGAATGCCTCGCGCAAATTGTTCGAAAATAAGAGACCGCAAGTTTGCCCAGCAACAAAATCCGACGCGGTCATCCGAAGTTGTGATGTATTTGACGCATGTGCGAAGATCTTCTCGTTTCGACCGCGGAGAATGGATGGCGCAAGCAGACCTGTCAACAAGTGCCAAAAGAAATGGAAGGTTCGGGCCCCATCAAACGGGTCTCGGGAAGAACACTGTGAATACCGCACCAGTGTGAACTGGCATGGCAGCTTAGGTAATCATACTCGAGTTGGTCACGTGAGAGAATTCTCTTTTTTTCTTTTTTCTTTTTCTTACTCAGCTGGTCGTCAAATTGAGCTTTCGTTTCGTTCCACCGGCAGCTCTCCGTGTCCCCGCACATCCCGCTTGACGTGAGCTTATTCTTCGGATCACCTTTTGCGGCGCGGCGGCAATAGAAAAAGCCATCAGATTGGTATCCCTGTTCCGGAGCAGCCATGATTGTGACTCTGTCCAATCCAGCGAATGGGCGTTCACGCTTCGATTTATTTCAGGCTATGAACGTGCTGCCATTGGCCTCATCACAGGCCGTCCCGCTCCTAAGCGCCTGGGTTCTGGGATGACCAAAATAGAGACCGGCATCTGCGGGCCTCTGACCAATCTAATGCCGAACCTCTCTCCAACCGTTCCTGATCATCTCCTTCTTCGCACCTATCCACGTTGCAAGCGCGGCTATCTTGCATCGGCGCGACGCTCGTCACGATAATTCTGGGTCGAATCTCCCTTCCCCGGAGGTTGGCAAGATTGCGTGCCGCGTCCAGACACGGCTCAAGGCGCCTACTCGATGCCTATCCATTGTATTTGTACACACGAGAACCCCCGCCTTGAAGTTTTGAGATGACAGAATCAAAGCAGTGCCTCATTTCCGTTTCTTGTTTCCTACGTCTTGTTTCCTTCATCACGGTCGATTTCACATCTTTCCTATCTTCTCTTCTCCTAATTCACTTTTACTTGGAAGACTTACACACACACTCTCTCTACGTCCGCCATGTCTTCTGACGAAAAGAACATCCCCCAGACTTCGGGCTTCGAGGTTGATCCCGAAGACACCCAATTCGCTTCGCAAGCCCGCTTTCTTGGTACAATCAACACAGCCAGAGTTAGCTTGACTGCTGTGGCCCTGCTTGCCGGCATCACCATTCTCGGTGTATCAGCAGATGCTCTTGCAGTCTACGACGCGACTCATGTCCCAGCCAGCTACCTCCTCCCGCTCTGGCCGGACGCCTTCGACTTGAGGCCGACAGTAGCTCTCGTCGCTGGCAGCTCCATTGTTCTTGTTGCAAATCTTGTCTCGTTGCTTTTCAGCCGAGTCCAATCAGTGAGTCAGATCCTTGTCTGGGGTAAAATGCGCCATGATGAATAGGACTTGAGCTGATATCAATCAGCTGCGAGGGCAAACCCTGTATCACAATGCAGTGACGGTGGCCGCTCCGGCAGTTGGCCTCCTTGCCGCAATCGTCGCCATGTCCTTCTTCTACAGCATAAATGCGTCAACGACTGTGGATACCCTTCAGAGCTGGAGCTGCCGCTGGTCTGACGTTGTAATGATGACGCGGCCGCACTTTGGCACGCTCTGCAAGCAAAGCAAAGCCGGTCTCTACCTCTCAATTCTGTTGGTACCGATCGAGGCCATCGTCTTGGGGGCTGGTGCGTATCAAACGATTCTCGAGAGAAACATCAGCAGGGCCAGCGGTGTAGTTCAAGGAAGCCGCAAATCCGGGAGCCCGGTACCCTCATCGGTTCGAGACGTCGAGGGAGAGGCTCACTAGGATGTCGGGATCGGAGCCGTCCAGACGGCGGGGTCGAGCTTGACACCTTATCGGGCATCAATTAGTTGATGGGGGCCAGTGACGGGCGACGAGCCGCAAGCGGATGCTGTGCTATCATGGATTAGGCGTTCAGGCCAACGCGGGATCTAAGAGACGTGGGAGCCAGCTACGTCACGCAGTGTACAATAATCGGAACTTTGCATGGGTAATACTCTTTGCTACTCAAAAGACGACCACTTGTCGATGAAGAATCATCGGCATCTTTCTTTATCAGTAATTTCGTCACGATTCAGCAACGACTTGCTCATGACCGGATCCGGCGACGCTGATAAACCAGAGCGTAAGCCTACGGCTATGATGGATGTAGCCAAAACGAGATTCCACCTACGCAACTGTTGTTATGAACTTGAGAAGCTGGGAAAGCACCAAAGTCGAAATCAAGACCGTTTGCGGACGAGGTGGAGATTCAGACGGTGCCGTCGTCCCGGCTATCAGGGACGCCGGGCTAGTTTAGCCCGGATAGCTTCGTTTTTGCAAGGACTCGACTCGTAAGTCAGCTCAGAGTTGTCAGATCAGAGAGGCAGGTCGGAGTAGACGATGCAGGATCAAAATGTTAGAGTTGGCCGAGAAGGACTAATGTAAGCCAGCAGTTCGTCTCGGTGGGCGAACACCTAAGCTACTCACACGCGTAGAACACTTGAACATCCATGACATTCAGATGGTTCACTCCACCCAGAGACCATAAGCTACCTACTCACCCAGCTTAGGTATTTTCAGGGTGCTGAGCAAGCTCAGGTAAGGTACCTTAGCTAGTTTGCTTCCCCGTCATTTCAGTGGAACGCCGCCCAGGCCGCTAGAGGGAAACACGGACGCCCACCAACATTACCTTAGCGTTAGACATGATGCGCAAAAAGCACGCGGGAACCATTGGATTGGGTGGTTCAATTGCAAGCGTATTCGACTAGACGACCTGAGATGAACGCCGCTTGGACCCTCATCCTCCAACCTCCACCATCCACACTATTATTATTTCTCCGAGCTCTTAGGTGTGGTACACCTTCACCTGCCTTACAGCTGACCACGGCAACTGGGAGGATCAGGGCAGCAAAACTACCCGGAAACATGTGTACTCCGTCTCATCTTTTCCCACTCCGTCAGGCTGAGTGAGGAAACCCACGGCCTGGACAGCTGTTGGTTCGCCGCCAGACCCGCGCGTTTCCAGTTTACTAGCTGATTCGCCTCTCAGCTCACAGCATTCCAGACGACGCAGAGTGGTGCAATCGGACGACACGATGGAATGTGTGCCCACCCAAGACAGGGCAGGACAGTCTGGACCAGAAGTATCAGGAGAGGCGTGGTATCCAGAGATACCTTACCTCATGCTGGAGGGAGCAAACACTCCAGCGTCGCCCGGTGCCACGCCCGCCCATTATGCGGCTGGCCGAGCAGCTGGCTGCGGCATGCCGTTGACCGTCTTGTTCAATAACTTGATGACCAATAAGCTACTACAGAGAGCAGTAGCCTGAATGGGACCTCCATCACGCGCTTCGGGAGCCACACTAACCCGCCGCTCATGGACCCTGTCTTTCTATCTACCTAGAGGTACTCTAGCTCCTCGGTGGAAGACTGCCCTCGTTTACGTCTTCTTTTCCATACCATATCCTCTTATCTGTGGCCGCGGGAAGGTTCCAGTGCTGCGGATTCCCGAGAAAGCTTTCTGTCGCAGACACTCGGCCGCATACATCTGGACACGGCGGATTCGGCTACAAGAAAGTGTGAAGACCATGGAAGGCAAGGAAGCAGGAATACTTGATGCCTGCGAGTTCGGCTACTGCCACACTCGAGGATACCTCATGGTCGCAATTATAGACGATCCTGGCAGCGAGCACAGTACAGTCCATGCACAGGCACAGGCATCTGGGTAACATGACGATGTCTTCCAATGCCGTGAGTTTAATAAAGCTGAGGGGATACCCTCTTGGACGTCTTTCCCTACCTTTCCTTAGCAGTGTTGCCTGGTAAGAAGGCTGTGGAACGATACGACAGGTTAGGGCCAAGCTAGCACACATGGTCTGGTCTGTCTTCAGTTGGCATGAGGCAGAGCAGAGACAAACCACAGCTTGCTTGCTACCTTGGTCGGACCAATACCGATATGGAAGACGTGAGGAAAGTTTGTCTAGTCCGGTCCAGTCCAGCCTGCTTTCTTTCTTTCATCCTCTTTCCTCTTTCCGTTCCTTCTGATCAACCTGTCTAGCATTGAAACCGGGCTCGTCAAGCGCGAGGGAAAGACTCAGGCGCGCTCATCAAGCCTTGGCTGTTTCCGTTTTCAACCATCATCTCACGTTTCTGAGTGGCTATCCGCCTCTTGCATCGATTCCGTCTCAACGACTCGTGGCCCTCGTAGCTCTTTGCGGTTTACTCTGGCTACCGGCAGAAACAGCTGGCCCCCAGTCCTTGCTTCCATATAATAGTCCCTTCAGTCACCACAAGGTCGCACCAGCCTCTTGGTATACGTCAAGCTGTTTGTCTTCTGTCCGACCATCGAAATCTCCCATTATCATCCATACTCTACGCAGCTGCTTGGTCTCGTGACTGTGTCTGAGCAGAAGAGATAAGGAGATCGGCAATCGACAATTCAGTACCTGAATCTCGCATCCGAACTGACGCCTTCCTTCATCCTTGCGGCGCCGTATTTTTTGCTTAACTATCCGAGTACGATACCCTGCGTCTCGAAGCGCACGACCGAACCACAATCTCTACAGCTTGACAGCTGAACAGATTACGCCAAGTCCAAGGGGACTCTAGTCGATAACATCGAGTCAGCCCAAGAGCATAGCTTGAACAGATTTCGGTTGGTGGCTCCTCAATAAGTGTCAAGCTAAATAGGATTTTGCGCCGAGGGCGCGACTAACACGGCCGCTGCTAGTAGGACGCCGCTTGAGACGACCACAACTGATACACCCCCAACGAGCTCCAAGCACTCACACAGCCGCCTTTATCTCAGCATCGACCCTCGCAACCGTCGCAAATCATGACTGACCGCATCTCTCCGCCTTCCTCTCCGCAGGATTCCAACACAACCGGCAGCATCAACGAGAAGCTCAACTCGCCCATCACTCCCGAGAACAAGCGTGTTTCCATTATCGCGAACTCTGGCAAGTCCTTTGCAGACCGAAAGATGAGCCGTCGCCTTTCCACGGCACCTACGGGTCCTCCAATTGTCGAGAGTGGCAACGATGGCCTGACAAGAGACGTGAACCACTCCCTTCCCGGCGATGGTCTCCGGAACAACAGGAAGTCCAAAACCCAAGGCGAGTTGGCTAAGCGCCGGAGCTCCTACTATGAGGAGGCTTTCCAGGGCGACAGGGAGGCCAACGTGATGAAGGACCGCGTCTATGGCGAGGCTATAGTCATGGTTGAGCTTCGCACCAATGTTATCGTACGCAACTTGCTGCCTGCCTTCATTTGGGTTGCTGTGACTGACTTCGCCTTTAGATCAGTGACGAATTCAGCTTTATCACGGATTTCTCCTACCAACTCTCAGTTAGATACCAGAGACCCGTCTCGTCGATCGTGGTTAGTCTGCAGCACGGAGCTTGTATGTTGTTTGGGGGAACTTTCGACCCGGCCTACACCATGACCATTCACGCTCTGCCCTGCGAGGTTGGTATCACCAAGAACAAGAGGAATACTGCTTTGCTGCAAAAGCACTTGCAAGAAGCCATCGGCGTTGCGCCTGTGCGTGGATTCCTCAAGTTCATGGAAGTTCCTGCGGAGAACATGGCTGTCAACAGCAAGACCATGGCGTCCCACATTGCCGAAATGACTGGCGAGGAGGAGGAGACTATCGCTGAGCGCCGCGCCCGCAACCGCAAGAGCATCAGTGCTAAGGTACGGCAACATATGTGTACAAATTTGGATGAAATACTGACATTTCGTAGTCCGTTTCTGCTCTTCGTCATGGATCCATTGCCGGAGGTAGGAAGGGCTCTATCTTTGACTTCAGGAGAGAATCTGTTGCAGCTCCACGAAGGGACTCGGTTATGCCACCTCCCAACGAGCTCACCCCTCCTCACAGCGCAACTGATGCGCCTCCCATTCCTGCTATCCCTGAGCAGCACGTTCAGAACGCTGTCACTACCACCACTACCACCACCACCAGTGACGAGAAGGACACACCAGTCAGAGAGGTCGAGAAGGCAGCAACAAACAACAGCAATCTGGCTCCGACGAAGAAGACCAAGGCGGCAAAACGCAAGAGCAGCTTCGTCACCTCGCTCTTTTCTCGCACTCCCAGGAACACGCCCCCTCCCATGCCAACCGTGTCTTAGGCGACGAGATTCGTAGACGACTCACAATCACTACATTACAACCATCTTTCTTTTGTATTGCGTCTATCACTGGGTTTAGAGCAGTGGTTCGTTTAGATTGGAAGGCTGGAAACACCAAGCACTGCATAGTAAAAATTGGAAGGAGGAGTTTTTCATGCCAGCCTGCTTCGCCAGGCGGCCTGGAGTCATACATTGTGGGCGCTAATTCTGTAATGGTATTTGTACTGTCTGCTACTCAAGGCATTAATAGGAGTAAGACGGATTTGTAGTCGACCAAACAATTTCACTCATGCTGTACCGGCATTCAACAATCACAATTCTCAAATGCTGCTCTTCATTGATGAGAGTGTTTGTCGACGTTATGTTTTCTGGGAAAGTGGAAAAGTCTTTATAGGCTTAAACCGGTTTGACTCTTGATGGTTTCGACGGCAGTTTGCCCATTGAGTCAATGTGAAGGAAATATTGCAAAGTCTCGCGACAAACTGCGGTTGATTCCTGGTGGTTTGCGTGGTAGATGAAAGGGGGTAGGGATGTCCCGTCGTCTCGCTTAAATTAATTGGGGCTGCCAGGATCGCAGACATGGAACAGCTGAAGATTGCACTCCAGAGCCCCCTTCCTTATCTTATCGCAACCCGCATCGTCATCCTCCCCAACCCCCGTTCTGAGGCACGTAGACTGCCAATTGCCTCACCCCATCGTTCGCCTTACGGATTGCCCGCTCCACAGCTGCGATTTATTAGTGAACTCGGTCATTTTACGGTGATAGGCTGACAGATACCGGCCGTTGCGAACGACATTCGGCGACAACGCGACTACGAGTTTTCTGAGTTTCGGTATTTTGTGAAGTTTTTTTTAAATTTTATTTTCGACCTTGAAGCACGCATCAGCGACGTTTTCCTCGTTCGATCCGTTCCAGACCTGTTACCGGTACCGGCCCGGCTTCCTGGGTGGACTTGCCGCTACGGACTGAGAGGTTGACTGAGCCTCGAGGGAGGCTGGTTTCTGGCGGTGCTGTGCGGTATCGCGTTTCCTCTCCCACAGATCTCAGCCGCAAAGGGTGAGGCTCACGCACTGAAAGATGGAGGTGAGATCTTGCATGGTTTCTCATGTGTCTACCCCCTTTCCCCCCAAAAACTCACTCATGCTGCATCGTCCACTTTTCATTCTTTCCCACCCTTGTCGAGGTAGGATTCATGAGGCGAGCTGCCTGCGGTCGAGTCTTGGATTTCTGAGATTTCCGTGGTCCTAGATATCGCGCCAGGGGAGATGATGCTCGTCAACTTCTCACCAACTATCTCGCGAAGGATGCGTCTATGAGCTTAGTCTTCCCCTCGCCAGCGATGGTCCCGGACGGGTGACCAAGGATATTCTTGTCCGACGGGAGATCGAAGTCGTGGCCTCGTCTGGCGAGGGACGGGAAAAGGGCTGAGCTGAGCCACGGTGTCATGGATGATGCGGCGTTGTGCGACGGTGAGATCATGCGCGCCAGCGTCCTCGAGTCCACGGCTGGGCGGTTCGTTCGGAGACAGGTTTGAGAAGGCGAGGGGCACACACCGCGAACGTTAAATGGGCGTTTTCTTGTTATTACGAACGATGCGTTCTCTCCCACCCCTGCGCGTTTCCGTCGCCGGTCGTATTCGAGATGATACGTTGCCTTTTCCTTACGACAGATTGTTTTGACGAGCAACGGGCGAGGGGATCCCGAGGGGGGGGGGGGGGGGGGTTTTTTTGGGAAACGTTTGGGTGGTGGGCGGGGAGTTTTTGTCGAGTAGGATCCCG